CATGGACAGTCTGGTGTAATAATATATTTGTATCGGGTGCTTTGTGGAGTGGGTAAAACTGTTTTTAGTGGCAGGCTAACTATGGCCATTGACTTGCGCTAGCCTAGCAACTTCCCCAAATACAAGGACTGGATGGATTATTTTAAAAAGTGTCTCCACATATCTACAGTCCTCTGGCTCACTAGGAAATGAGGCCCTATGTCCAAAATTCCAAACTGTCCCTTTAGTGCCATATTGTGGAACATTCCAAAGTAATAACATCTCCATGGATACAAGCAGGAAGCAGAAATCACTAGTAATGTTACTTAATGCACCTTTAAATATTTTCTTACATTTCTCATTTATAAAAAATAGTACGCATTTGCAGTAGATAGAAATAAGCTTGCACACATACAATAAAGCTAGTGTTCTATTAAAAATAAATAAATCAATAAATAATCGGAACATTAATTAGACATTTGACGCGTCTGCAGTCGTGTTTACAATTCCACCATTCGTAACAATCCGGCTATAATTCACGACTCGAGTAAACCATCAATATGAATGGAGCGCTGCACCTGACGGTCTATTGTTAGTGTGTAGCCGGTCTCAGCGTGCTAAATGAGTTTCAGGCTTGAGTGGGCGGTTTGACGGAGCAAGGTCAACACACAGAGGAACGACTGGAACAAATGAACAGATGCTTGTCAAAGGTCCACTCTCCCACCCAAACTATCAACGCGAACCGGGAATAACCTTGGGCCAGTCATCAGTAATGCCATTGTGTTGTATTGTGTTATCGGTCAGTAAGTGCAGTTAGCAGATTTATATTGTGGTGAGCTTTAGACGAGTGATTTGAGTTTTAGCTGTGCAGTTGTTACACTCCACTCTGGATGATTTTTTTTTTTTTTTTAAAGCTCTGTTTCTTGTAAATTTCCTTCCTTCTCTTTTTTAGTTTATTCCGAGCAGTTTCTCGATAACAGCACTCTGCCATAACAAGTGGATTTCCCAACAATAAGAAACATTAACCATCTTTTCCATTCATTTAGCTTTGATAAGAATGAATAAAATGTTGAAATTTACGTCGTGGCACTCAGGGAAGTAGACAGAGGGGGACAAAGGGATCTGTTGTAGGCCCAGAATTTGACTCTCTTCATATTAATTTATATCAGAGTGGAGCCCATGTGATGCTTTCCGCCCCAGGCCTCCAAATTTCTGTCGACGGGCCTGGTGGTACTAATGTTGACTATAGTGCTCTTATAGACATTTCCACTATCATTCTGGTAAATGTTTAAACAGTAACAATTACCAAATCCAGCTACAAAAAAAAAGCAATCAAAGCAAATTTTAGCTAGACCTCAAAGTCAAACCTATAACTGTAAAGACAACTTACTGTAAATTTATTTTTTAATCTCTTGCTTCTTCCAAACCCGACTTGTTTCCCTTTAAATGTTATTCCATTGACTATAATATTCCACAGTAAGCCTTCAAATGTGTCTATCTCCTTGGGGAATGTTCTGAAGTATGATTTTAATATCACACCCACAAATATACTGACATTTAAAGGTCCTGTATTATGCAAAACTGACTCTTGTGAGTTTTAAGTCATGTTGGAATGCTGTTACCTCATCAAAAACATACCTGGAGTTGTGTTTTGTTTCCTTCACACATGGTTGAGTAAACCTTTGTGATGTGTGTGTTTGTGATGACAAAAATAAATAAGTGAGTAAATTAGAAAATAACGTAATATGGGCCCGTCTGTTCAAATACAATGTAGAAACAAAATATTGCTGTATGCATATAAGAGTTGACTCTATAACTACGTTTACACAACGGGTATGTTGAGAAACAAATATTTCCCTCCCTCCATTTTCCAAAATAACATCGTGCACATAGCATTGTTTTCAAAAAGTTCTGGTGCATAAATACGCCATCAAGCGGCATCATACTACGCCAAGCCTATGGATGGCACCTGGATTGGATTCATATCTGTAGCATTTATTTCATTAAAGTTGTAAGTATTACTCAAAAATACCTGGAAAAATGTGCATTACTGAGCGGGTTCACCTCTCCACAGATCTGTTAAAGAAGTGGCAAAATTGCTGACCTCCGAGCCTCATTCATCTCTGGTCATTGTTATGATCCATCAGCTGTGTGTGCAAACGAAAAATACATGAAAAGTGTTTGCACCAGAAGAAATGTGACTGCTGCTCTGAATGCTTCCACGATCATCATCATAGCAAAAGGTAAACATCGGTCGCACTTTTGGCACATCAGCTCCTAAAACTCCATTTATCTCATTTTACACGCAAACTTCAAACCATAGTTTTCCAGAATCTCCACTCTAGCTGGAGTTTAAGAAAAAATCGTTTTCAGAGGCGAATTTGCCATTTGCATGTAAAAGATTAGTTAAAATGAAGGGAAATGTCTGTTTTTAAAAAATAAAATTAACAGGGCCTATTAAAGTGAAATAAATAAAATGTTATATCAAATGTTATAACAGTTTATGCTATGCTAAAATCCTGAGTAGATGCCAGTTTGAAAGATGTTAGGATTACAGAATTGACCTTTATCTTCATAGGCAGACATGTCCAAGGTTGAAAATGTCACAATCCACAAATGTCAATGTTGGACAGATTTGCACATTAATATAGCTTACCTCATAATACAGGTTATCTCTTTCATCCTGTACAAAGGAAATAAAAAATACATAAAATGATAGAGATTGTATAAAAAAAAAAAAAAATAGATACAAGGTGGAAATAAGCCCCCTTTATTCAATATTGATTTACATTTTATATAAAAATTACTTACATTTAATACATTTCTTCAAAATACAAGCAGCCAAACGACATACAAATCAAATACAAAATTATAAAATTTCTTATATTTATCATCTTCCTTCGCTGTAACAGATGTGTTTTCATATACTCTGGTAAATCCTCTCTTGGCGCGGTGGCTAAATCTCTTTCTCCACGTTATTTCCATCTGTTGACACGTAAGACCTAGAAAAATATGGTTTTCAGTATCTGTCCTCTCAATGTACAGTACGGGGTGGGGAATCTGATCGCAGAACATTCAAGGTGGGCTTTAATCTCTTCACCAAAAGATAAGTTGGTTGCTATATCACCGTCATAACAGGTTGCTATGAAGGACGGACATGGAAAAGACGGGGGACCTATATGGAGATACATAGAGTGTCTTCAGTGGAAATACAGTAGGTCGTACAAAACCAGAAGTGCTTATATGAGCTCTATTGTCGTTAATGTAAATGTGGGACTAACTAATGTTTATAGCCTTGAGGACAACCATTGATACACACATTTCTGTAAAATTATCCAGTATCCTAATCCCTTCTTCTTATTACCAACCAATACACAATACCGTTAATCAATGTAAGAACAAGTAATGGGCAGGTAGAGTACTGCATTTCAGAGTACTTTGTGGCTTATTGTAGTACTCCAATGTATAGTACTGTGCAAAAGTTCAAGACATGTATAAAAACGCTATAGACAAAAAAAAAAAAAAAGAAGTATGAGTGTATAAGCAGAACGAATACAGAAAATACAGAGACCTATGCCAAGGCGCTGGTCTCTTCTCGCAATGGTAAATGTGTGGTGACCAGACCTGAATGCATAGGCTAGTTCAAATGTCAGTCAGAGCCACAGAGCCCTTCTATCCACTACCATAGACAGAAAGTTTTACAGTAAAATAGTGTTGCAGCTTCATTGTAAAAATCTATAAACACGTGAACAACTGGAAAATATCGTATGTTTTTCCAGAACACTAAAAGCTAAAAGCAACGGCCTTTTATGTTAATTGAGACACTGGTTATGTTTACATGCACATCAAAATCTGATTTTTGTCTGTATTCTGGAGATGTTTTTTCAGCTCTGGTACCGATATTAGTACTTTGACTTTAAGTATGAACTGATACCGAATCGATAACTCATTACAAAATGGTTTCGATTGTGAATCCATTAAAATTCCTGAAGCTTTGAATGAATACAAGTAAAAAAAACTTACATCAGCCATCAGATATTCTTATTACATCAGACCTAAGCAGGATATCAGCTGAACCGATATTATGGGACAATATTCGATCCAAATGAAACAGAAAATGTACACCAACGTTTTTGTAGAGGTGCAAATGTAAGGAACAGTAAATAAAAGTGAAAAAATGCATAGCATACTCAGATGGCCGATGTCCAAAAGCTTTTTAAAAATTTTAAGTAACGTTTCGGTAAAAAAGCTTTCGTCAGATCGTTTTTCTTGCTTTGGACCACAGTATGACCACCGATATCCGATCTAGCAACATTTTCTGGATCGGCACTGATATCTGATTATTGAAATGCTTGATATAAGTGTTCTGATTTATTTCTGATGTGTTCAAACCTGGTTTTAACAAGGCAAATTATGCAAAAGATGGAAAAAGAATGTGGCAACAACAACAACAAAAAAAGTTTATTAAGAAAGACTTGGTTTTAAAATTACAATTTAACTTTATAAAACTAAAGATTAAGTGACATCAGATGTTTTTGATCAGATTTTGTGCATGTAAACACACACCAAAACTCTGTAATTAGGTAATCTGATTATCCCAGTTATCTGATTTTTGATACCATTACAAGATTACACAAATGACAGCTGCTAACATTTGACTGTAATTTTACAATAATCCAAATGCACACCAAAATTGCACATTTTCCTTGGCCTATTACTGACCTTTTTCGCAATTTCTCACAACTAAAATTAAAAATATAAATGAAATGCTCTGCCTGTAACTTTCGCACAGTACTGTCTTTGCAAACCAGCAGCTTACGTGGCAAAATGACTGACGAAAACATACAAAAAAGCAACAGTCAAAGTGAATTCTCCGCACACCAACCACATGAGACGATATGCTGATGCTAAGTTAAACCTAAAGAGCTTCGTAGAGAATAGAAAACTCTGCTTGTCCTCTTTACGTACACTATATACATTGTACACTGTGGTATAAAAGAAGTAGAAAGTGTAAAGTTAGGCTATGCGGCGGTTTCATGAATTGTCCCCTCGAGTTTCTTTGGGAGTAGCTCTCTCCTCTCGTCAATACTGATGACCGGCTTTCGACAGTTTTGCCCGTCCAGGTAAATCTTTGCATACACTGGATTGGAGTAGTTCATGGGCTGTGGACAAAGACAGAGAAGTGTAAATATACGGGTGAAAACGTCAATAGACTAGACTACTGTACAGATGCAGTTCAGTTCTAAGTGAAATGCATCTTTGTCAAGCATGAAACATGGTAAATGAGTCAAACATAAATTTACATAAACAGGGATGGTTTGAAATCTAGGGTGAGAAGAAAGCGATGGTGAGAGTTGTGTAAGGAAGGGCATCTGAAGTAAAATCTTAATGCAGTTTACAAGGGCAGAAATGTTTGCTGTAATAACCAACGCAGCATTTAGTGATTTCACGAAGTTCCACATTTAAAAGTGCACTATGAACTACATGCAGTGGTGGATGGTCTGCCACCTGCTCCATGGACATGTGGCTGTTTTACTGTACTATAAGTAATAAAAAATATATATGTATATATAATTGAGTAAATGCCATACTGTCCTGACAAAGCACTAACATTTCCATGGAGTTAAGCAAGTGGGGTACCCTCCACCAGAAAAGTTCCATAGTTTCCTTTTGTATGTACCAGATGGAATACTGTACACACATTTCACTTATCATTTTAGTTGCAGCATTATCTCACTGAGCATACACAATTTTACCAAAGCACCTAATCAAGCATTTACAACTTTTCATTTGACCTTTCCTTTTTCAGAGTCATCACCATAGTAACTAATCTGCGAGCCCTAGTGCCTTCATTTGCATAATTATCGTTTGAGTCTTAATGCCCTTCCTTAACAAATGTGATGGCCAATTACTGTATTAGTTTAACTTTTGAGTTGAACTTCTAAAGCAACACCACTTTTCCACAGTATCATAACTTATTTACATGCCTCTATCTATTTATATGTTGTTTTTAAGGCCGTGACAGACTTAAAGCTGCATTAAAGGATTTGTAATAGTCTCCGGGGACAGAACAGACCATTGGAGAGGAGCCATTTTGAACACCACAAACAGCAGCATCATTACGAGGCTTTTAGCTCTATTTTGGGTCCGTGTAAATGGAACATAAATATATCAGACCCACTGGAGGTCTGCGCTGTGGTGACGTCAGGCTAATAAGAGCTGTTAGGCCCAGTGGGGAACAGTGGAGAAATATCAGTCACTGTGACACAGGCATGTAAGTCTACATGCACACACCATATTCACTCTGTATTTGTAAGAAATACTCTAAGAACTACATCGGAGGTGGATAGACTACATTAACTGTATGTCAAATACTTTTTGCCCTTGAATGAGGAAATGTAAAAAGCTACCTTCCAGGAGAAGACTTACAGCCTTATTACCCAATTTTTAAACCGCCAAAGAACCAAATGTGTATTTAAATCTATCAAACTCTAGCACCTCACAAACCCTTTGGCACATCACGAGTATTCACCGAAATGAATCTTTGGGCACAGGGACAGGTTCAGAACAGCTTTTTACAACAACAAAGTGAAGTAGGGGTGGATCGCTATTCACACAGCCAATCCTCTCTCAGCATTAGGCACTTTCATCGAGGTTTCAATCGATAAAAACACTTTATAATTAGATGCAGACATTGCACATCAGATTTGGTCACAAAGTGCTACTTTTATAATACACTCTCTGGGTGGGGAGTACTCATTTACAAGAATAACACTGGCTACACCACCCAAATGATGAAATGGATATTTGCCACAGGTACAAATAACAAACTAAATTGAACCCAAAGTCAGTGGTATCACTCTTATTTTATGCTTAAATTTCTATATTATAATATTTTGGTTAATTGTAACACAATACTGCAGATGCCACATACTGTAAAAATATAATGTGGTAAACTCTGTCTACATATTTACAGTCTGTGCTTTATTTTTACTGTTTAATTTGTTTGTATTGCCCCAGCATTAAAAACATGCACTTAAATAAACAGTCATGAAGCATTAAGACATGCTATGAAAAGACTACACCAAAACACATGACAAAAACACAGAATGAAACTTTATAGATGAACACACACACATGCATTTACAATACAAATACATACTAGACATGTCCTAATATGTATTCTCCATCATTAAACTAAAATCTACTGTGACCTTATCCAAAGATTGTATATGGACATACACTTGTTACACTTGATGTTTTCCAGTGCTCTCTGACTTTGCGGATAAACGGGGAGAGAGTGTAAATCACCTGTCCAGGGATTACCTCCTTGGGCACATTGTTCATGCCCAAGGCTCGCGGGTCACTGGACTTTACACACCAGCCCTGCAGGAGACAAAAGCTGCAGTGTTAGCATGCACAGAGGAAAGAAGGGAAGAAAGAGAGAAAGAGATAGATTACGTGCTTGTTAATATTGTGAATCTGGTTTGTCTGTTGATTTTCTAACTTTCTGTTGGTTAAATCATCAGTTTTGTTGAAGGTTCCACATTATGCAAAGTTTACTCCTCTGAGCTTGAAGTTGTGTTGTTACCTCATCAAAAACATACCTGGAGTTGTGTTTTGTTTCATTCACACATGTTTGAGTATTCCTTCATTATTAGTCTGTCTTCATCTCCAAAGCTCAAAATGCTCTGTTCCACCTTATGATGTCATGAAGTGGCAGTTTTTCAGTCAACAGGTACCTTTTACCATTTGTTCAGGGGAAAATGGCAATTCCAGGGCTGAAATGATCCAAATGATTCTAGTAAAGGTGTAGGGAGTTTAAAATCACAGTGGAGCACTTCCTGTATTACCAAATGACATAGTAAGTTGGAACAGAGTGTTTTCAGTTTGAGAAAAGAACTCAGCCTAAATATGCCAGGTGTATGTTTGTGTGTTAAACATGTGTGAATGAAACAAAACACAACTCCAGATATGTTTTTGATGAGGAAATAACATAATGACATAGATCGTAAATTTGCTTAACATGGGCCCTGTTCTAATGCGAGTGCTGCTGTAATTGAGGCTACAAAAAATACACTGAAATGGAAATGGTATTGGGTTATAAAGTACATTGATAATAATGCACTATGGTATGAGTGAATTATAAAATGTATTTATAAAAATGTATGGACTATAGTAGGTTGGATAATCAAAACATCACACATTTTTAAATTACTTCAGTATTTCAAGCTGTACGATTTAAAGGGACAGTCCGGAATTTTGGACATAGGACCTCATTTCCTAGTTAGCCACAGTGTTGGCAGACGTGTGGAGACACTATTTTATATTTTCCATCCAGTCCTTGTATTTGAAGAGATCGCTGGTGCTAGGCTAGTGCATGTCAGTGGGCATAGTTATCCTTCCACTAAAAACAGTCTTACCCACTCCACAAAGCACACGAAGCAAATCTATTATTACACCAGACTGTTGATGTGAATGTCTGTGTTGATAAAATAATGTTTGAAATAAAACTAACCTTGCATTGCATGAATCGTCACGTGTTGAGGGACTATTTTCTCAGCAGCAGCGGTAAGATAGGTGCTAGGTGATATCACTCCGCCGCTGCCAAGCTTTCTATCAGGACGTACAACTCGCTGCTGCTGCTCAGACATAAATCCTTCAAATGTAAGGTTGGTTTTACTTCTAAAATTATTATAATGACACAGACATTCACATTGACAGTCTGGCGTAGTAACTGTTTTGCTTCGGGTGTTTTGTGGAGTGGGTAAGTCTGTTTTTAGTGTCAGGCTAACTATGGCCATTGACATGCACTAGCCTAGCACCAGCAACCTCTGCAAATAGAAGGACTGAATGGGATATTTTAAAAAGTGTCCCCATGCGTCCCCAACACTCTGGCTCACTAGGAAATGAGGTCCTATGTCCAAAATTCTGGTGCACTATGTAACTTTTCTAATAGTGCATTCATCACTTTTGCTATTGCTTTACCTGGAATGTTCCATAAAAATTCATGGAGACAATAGGTCAAGTTACAGGTGAGATCTCTAAATGAAGGCCATGCTAGCAAAAGGAATGCATTTGTTTCAAGAAATGTTACTGTGTAAATGCATGAATATAGATTTTAGGGCCATAAAGAACATTCCAGGTGAAGCCTCAGTTGGCATGGACTGAAGCTGTGAAAACTAAAGTAGTTTGAATGAAGCCAAAAGCAATTATATAGAAGGACCTCAATAGAAAACTGTGCACTGAAGACACCTTTAGCCCTGCTGTGAACAATTCTGCCTTAAAAAGATAGAAGGTATAGTACAGGCTCAAGTCTATGTGTTAGAAGCAGCTCAAATAGGCCCTTATCTGTAGAGTTCAGATTCTCTCAGAAGTGGCACTACTACTGATGCTAGGTTATAGAATTGAGAATAGAGGAGCCAGTGTGATTTGATCCAACAAAGGAGCAACTACCACATATACTTTTAAAACTTAATAAAAAAATGGTCAGAATCGCCACAAATCATGATGAACTAATGTATAATATGTACCATTATAGTGTTACCAGTATTATGCCTGATCTGTTACTATGTTTAAGTACAGTAGAAACAGAGAAAGAGTGGTGGTAAAAGGAGAGAGACAAGAGAGGCAGGAGAAAACAGCATCATGTTGACATTCAATCCGAGTCTCAGTGTTGAAACTGGAGCCAGATTGGAGCGAGAGGCAGATGTCAGTATTGGCAGGGCAGCAGCAGCAGCAGCAGCAGCAGCATTAGACTGGAGCAGAGCTAGGTGAAGGGAGTGGGGCCCTATCATTCATCTGGGAGCCTCAAATTAGAAAAGGACTCAGGGGTATAAATGAAATGTGTCAAAACTATTTTAAAAAGTTCTTAAGATGTATACTACAAAGTGTACTCAAGAAAAGAAAAGTACTGAGATAAACTTAAAAGGAGCTTGTTTCACAGCAACAAAGTAAAATGGAACAAAAGTGGTTCAGGTGATGCTCATCCTGTAATTGGAGGGTTGGTGGTTCAAATCCCACTCTAACCAGTTCACATTGTTGTTGTTTTCTTGGGCAAGGCACTGGACTTGCCTAGCCCTAGATGGTTAGAAACTCCAAAATTACGGATTGTCACCACGATTGTCATTATTCTTAATATAAACAAAGTACCGTATTTTTCAGACTAGAAGTCGCACCGGACTATAAGTCGCACTTTTTGAGGAAATATATTTTATAAAATCAGAGACCAGGAAATGACATTTCATCTTGAAAGGCAAGGTATAGTAATAGAATAGAGAACAACAGGCTGAATAGGCGTTAATCTGTTAATGTAACATATGAACAGTTATTCAGATAATTATAGCATAAACAACATAACATAAGTTTACCAAACTCACGATCTCACTCCAAATCACTAAATCCATTGAATTCTTCCTCGGTGTCACTTCTGCGCAACCTCCACAGATAAACCATATATCCATGATGTAAACATCAGTTCCAGTTAGAATTATTCTGGCCTTTCTGAATCCTGACAGAATGGTTTCTGTTGTCATTAAAGTTCAGGCTTCGTCGATCCTATGACTTCCAGGAAACTTGCATGGCGCACCCGCCCGGTTGCCGTGAAGCTGTGTTCTCTCCATTCCCGCTTTCTGGCCGTCCCTCACAAGTTTCTCGCTCACTCCAAACTTTGTTTCTGCTGCTTGATTACCGTTTTCAGCTGCATATTTCACTATTTGCAGCAGAACGGCGGCTTTTTCTACAGGAGGCATGCGCAGTAGAATGCAAAGTGACAGTGGTACAGGAGTAATAGATACTGACACACAAGCCTAGAGCGCCCTCTCGCGGCTGTCAGTCTGAAAATTTTAATATATAAGTCGCATCGGAGTATAAGTCGCAGGACCACCCAAACCATGAAAAAAATGCGAATTATAGTCCGAAAAATACGGTAGTATTGAGTAATTTATTCTGCCTTTCAGCACTACTACTATTTTTATTTCACTTTTAACGATAAGTACAATTTCTACAACTATGAATACATTTTTAAACTGTGTAATTTGTCATAATACAGTTGCTATACACCTTTCTCTGAATAGCAACCAAAAAATTTTATTCTGTCAACTAGAAGTGTGAAACACCCCTGAGCCATATTTAGCATAATCATTCAGGCCCCTAATGTACTACCACTCTAATATATATAAATATATACTGTATATTGATCAATTACCACTAGAACTAGACATTTCTGTTACTTTCATGTCTTATATTGCATTGCATTATATTCACATACATACTTTAGTTATATGTGTTTATTTCAAGCATCCAGATATATTCCTACAGTAAATTGAACAGAATCTGCGCCATTTATCATATTAATGTTGCCACGGTCGCTTTGCATCTAATACAAATTATTGTACAGTTATTTTGAAAGCAGTAACTATTTCCGTTTCCTAAATTAATTACATTTTTGCCAGAAGTTCTCCAAGTTTGTGGTAAACACTCGTGAATGCTTATGTAATGAATGAGGAAGAGCTGATTGTTGCCCTCGGCCCGGGTGTGATGGATGCATGTTGTTCTCACAGATAAGAGGTACACTTTGCAGCACCCCAGTTTCATAATTAGTAAGTGCCATAATGGTGAAGTTAATCAAGGCCAAATGAATCAAATGAATTAGAGGCACTCTGGCAGAACACTGGCCTATTTAAAGTACCAGAGCTGAGTTAGGAGAGACAGTCGACTCTACGCATATGCCTAATTGGAATAATAGTGACAAATCAAATAATGAAAATAAAAGCCACAGGAGTTAATTTATTTTTAGGTGTGAACACCATTTACTCTGAGATACAGTTTGTCCATGATAAAGATTATGGTATTTCCTGATCTATGTCATCACAAATGTACCTGCAGTTGTGGTTTGTTTCATTCACTCATAATTAACACACAATTCCTGCATATTTAGGCTCTCAAACAGAAAACAGTCTGCTCCACCTTGTAATGTCATGTGTTAATACAGGAGGTGCTCCACAGTGTTTTTACTCCATACACCTTAGATTGAATCATTTAGTTGATTTCAGCCCTAGAATTGCCAATCTCGACTGAACAAAAGTTAAAAAGCAGCTGTTCACTTGAAAACTACCACGACTTGACATCACAGGGTGGACCAGAGCATTTTGAGCTTTGAAAATGTTGACATTCTAATAATAAAGGAATACTCAAATATGTGTGAATGAAACTGATTCTGATTATTAAATTAATATTAAACATCTCAGGTACTTTGATTACGAACATGTGTACTGTGTTGTTAATCAAATTCCATTAAAACATGCAGTTTTCAATAAAGAATAAACAAAGTACAGTTGCAGTAATATTGTGTACTTAAATACACGTTAAACTTTTATATAGCACCTTCATATTTTAGCTCTGTAATCTTTGTAGCTTGTTTATTTCAGTGTCAGTATGTCGTCTGCATTGATTGTTGTGCACTTTGAGCTTCTTGCATGTTTTCCAAAGTGTTTTTTAATTACTCATGACAAATGAATTAACCTAACCTAACCTAGCAAAGACAGTGAATCTTTCAAAAGTAACATGCAATAACATCTTCTGTCACCTGACTATTAACTAAGTGGCTGCCTGGCATAGTAAGTTGACAATCGATTACAATTTTCAATTACATCACTGAAAAGAGCACTGACAAAACACAGGCTAACTGAGTCCTGTTGGTTTGTCTGTGTCTCTATGCGATGCTTTGGAAGAATATTCCCTTGAAATGATATGTCTACAGACAAGTGTTATTGAATAGAGTATTTAGCATTAATTACATATATATTTATGCATTTCTTTTCTGAATCTCAAGTTGTTTTTCTCTTTGAATCATACTGGCCCTACATGAATGATGGATGTACATTCATATGTGTTTTAATTGGTTTTGTACACACAGCATGGACACTTGACATGTCTCAAGGGTAAATATCATTCATGGCTTTTCAATCGTATGATGCAATACAAGTCTTTGAAATCTCCTGAAAGCCCATTGGCAGATACGAAGAGTGTGTAATTTTATACACTATAATGAGTGTCTCTAGGTGATATATTTAGAGTGAGTCAAGCTCTTCTGTCTGTGGCGTCCAATGCAATTTCTATGACCAGCTGGCTCTATGCTATTATGTACTACTAAGTACTATGATTAAAACATTTTTTTTAATTAAGAAATGGTCCCCCTCTTCTGTGCAAACACTGTCGAGTTAACAGATAAATATGAATGTCAAGGGCTTCAATTATGTTAAAGTTTACATTTGATGGTACCTAGTTCATTATAACTACACGTTAATAAGCATCAATAAAGTTTATACGATTCAGACTTAATATATACTTAATTAAGGAGTTAGGAGTTAAGAGGGTATTAATTAAGTTACTAAACCTGATAATTATTAATAAACTATTTGTTCATTATGAATTAAGCCGAGTTCCTGCTGTATTAAAACTATTTAAACGGTAGTTAATCATGTGTTACTCATTTGACACTAATTATGAACAGCATTATACGAATGAAGTCACAAAAATGCAAAAAAATAAATAGTAAATAAATATATTTGTAGTCACAGTTTCACCTGAGTACACCTTGTGAATACTTTTCCAGATTTTATTATAATTTTCTTGTTTCTTAGAATCAGTTTTTGATATTTTTTTCATGGTTTATATATTGAAATGCAAAGCATCTTTCTATAATTAAATGAAACAAAATGGGATTCTTCGTACTATTCCCACACATACTTCTTCATACAAAACTCTTGATACTGCCTCTTCCTTCCCCAGCTCTTGTCCTCTTAACCCCCCCTGCCCACCTTATGAGGGTCCAGTGTGAAGTTGGGCCGTAGCAGGCTCCCGGCGTCTGCGTGGTTGTCATGGTCCACCTCATACATGTTGTACGAGGGGTTTCCGATCTCCACGTTGATGCCTCCGTTGGTCATGGGCTGCCTCTGGACGCGTTTTCCCCTGGGAGGCACAGGCACATATCATTATCATACAAATGCACTATACGCATGGCTCCACACAGCATCACTCACAGCACAGAGGACCACTGATCTTTGAAAGCACCTAAAAGCACATCTGATTGCATGCTGTTGCTAACATCCCCGCAAAGAAGGTCACCTTTTTATGATGTCATAAATATGCAGCATATGGTTTATTTGATGTGAGATTGAAATGTGTGTAGAAAAAAAAAGAGAGAATCTGTGGATAGGATTGTCATGCTTTCAGCTTGATCAAAAATAACTTCAAATGGATTGACTAAGAAACCAACAAGAATGAAATATCTAATCTTTGCCTTAGAAATCACTTTATGTTGTTCTAGTTTCAAATAACGTGGTTCAGGCTGAATAGATCACTCAAGTTTTTCTTCAGTCCATAGACTGTATATATGACGTAGCAAAAAGGCCCCTCTCTTTGTAAGTGCTGCTGTGAGCCTCTTCATTTGATCTTAAAATGTTCGTATATTGTAAATTCCTCTTCCTAATTTGGAACTAACTATGGAACTTGGCTCCAAATCCGCTCTTGTAACTGCTAGCCTCACAAGCTTCACTGACTGGAGCTGAGCATGATGGGTGACATCACACTCCCTTAGTCCACTTCTTAATACAGTCTGTGTTCAATGGCAGATCCCACCAGAGCACACTGCCATTGTGCCCTTACGCAAGACATCTCCCATCATGCAATAGTGTATAGAACTGGAAGACTGAAAGTCTGTAAGTGGGAATAGGTATTTCCTTGATAGAAAGTGCTTTGAATGCCCATTGAGGGAGAAACATCACTGTGAGTTACTAGTGAGTAGTAGATTTAGTTGTAATAGTACAATTGTGTACATAATAAAATATTATTCTTTGAAAGCAAAAACAGAGGTGTGCATTTTACATTCAACACATTATTTGTTGCTCTTTTTGTTTTTAAACCAATACATTTTTAACATAGCACAAAGGTGCATGTTGCTCGGAGCACGTTTAAACAAGCATCATTTTGTTTTAAAGCACAAACACATCCATTTATCTTCAAAAGCTCGGAGGTATCAGATCTCCTTTGTTGACTCATATAAAGGATTTTTCAGACCATAAAAAAAAAAAAAAAAAGACTGAGTTACCTTTGCCTTCGCTTGCACACGTAGACACCAGCGACCACCATCACAATCAGGATGACCAGCAGAACCAGAGGCACGATGATAGCTATGCTCCCTGCAGCCGCCACACAGGGAGAGATGGTGCGCACAGATGAGGCAAGATTGAATTGAAAACAGCTCAGATGGACTCAGATAGGCCTATATTGTATTCAGCCAGTGGTGTAACAAAAGCTTCAAAGCAAAAACACTTTCAGATAGTACAGAAAATATACTGTTAACAGAAATAGCTGACGGCAAAGTAAGTTTACATATAACTGCTCAGTGCGTAGAGTCCATAGATTAGAGGGAAAGCGGTATTGAGAGTGATTCAGCTGGGGATAATTCATGGATGTAAAATAGCTGGAATTTTGGAGTATTCTCAGAGCTTCTGCATGCAAAAATAACTGACAATAATTATGCCAATTGTAGCAACATAATGATGTGATGTGGGGCCTGAGCGAGCAATATTAAAGGTGCATTATGGAACTTTTCTGGTGGAGGATAATGTCAAATGCTTGTCTTTACAGAGATGTTTTTACTTTGCTTGTGATGTTCCACAGCATGGCATTACATGTGTTTGAATCTATTATATTAGCTATTTTTATCGCTAGAAAACATACTTTCTGACTGTGAACGGGATTGCCTCTCCACAGATCTGATTGATAACTTTGTCTGGTGACTTGGCAAGTGCTTGTAAGGTTTGTTAATGTCATACTCTAGAGCAGGGGTGTCCAGACTTTTTTCATCAAGGGCCATATATCTAAACACAGATGAAGCACAGGGCTGATCGAGGACCACAGACTGGTGCTCAGTACAGTGATCATGCTAAGATCCTTAAAAACTTGCAGTAAAAAGTTCATTTGGGCCAATTCACCTAGAAGCCTGAGGGCCAAAAAAAAATTGTCTGTGGGCTGCATTTGGCCCACAGGCCATAGTTTGGACAAGCTTGCTCTAGAGCATTCTGGGCAAAGCTATGACATCTCCACCGAAACATGAAGGTAGTCCACCCTCCACCAGAAAAGTTCCATAGTGCCCCTTTCAATAGATGCTGTAAGTTGGACGACAGCATAATGTTTTAGCTTACAAATGATTGATTCTAAATAAATAAGCTCAAATAAGCATTGTGCTATGACTCTACTGTATTTCAAATGTCATTTTTATATGATTAAACTTTTGGGTTCTATGTTGAGGAGTTAAACTTGCAAGAGGCATTTTCAGTGGAAGCCTATAAAATATTTTACAAATATTGCATTTAATACATTTCAACTCAACTCAACGCAATTTGCCTTAATGGTCTTAAAAAAAATCTCACACTTGAAACTTCTGCTATGTCTACTTGGGACTTGAAATCTTAAAGTTATAAATTATGACTCAAATATAGCTTTTAAAACTGGGTACTTAAAAACTGGCAGGTTCAATTATGTATTATTCAAACTGCCATTCACCAAGCTTTTTATTATAGACCAACTTGTAAGAACGGCAGTCTAAAATAGGTCTTTGATGTGAAATAAAAACACAGTGAGAAGTCCATAGTGCTGATTAGGAATTATTTATATTCACAGTACATACCTCCACTGGTATTGTCTGATTTACTGCTTTTGGGGGCAGGCCTCTCACACTGGGTCCCGGCCCAATTGGCGGAGCATCTGAAGAGGTCAAGAGACAGGGTAAATAAAACATACACCAGTGAACAATACTGCAGTGGTTACCAAACTGTAGCCCGGGGTATTTGATGGTCTTTGGCTCACCAGAAGTAAGATTGGATTTATTTCTTGGGTTGGGGATTAAATTTGAAGTGTACCACAGCGATGTCCTGGTTTATCATTGGTTTGGACTTTGAGTAGTTTTAAATTTAACTCTGAGACTAAACCAATCTCAGTCCTAGATTACACTAAAATGAAAAAAATAAATTAATTAATAAATAAATGAATTTGTTTGAAGAAGCCAAATGAATAAAAATACGAGGGACACACTGATCCAATAATGGTATCAGGCATCGGCTTCCAAATATTGGTTCAGTCGATATTTTGGTTAAGTTTATTTACTTTACTTGTATTTACACAAACCTCTTCTGTAGTGATACATTTGGATCTCTTTTATCTGATTTTATTTTTGTTTAAAGGAAATAAATTCCATTTTCTCTGCACTGGTATTGGTTAACATTGGGTACCGGCAAATACTTAAAGTATAACAATCAGTATCGGAAATGAAAAAGTTGGATCGATGCATCCCTAAAAATGTAAAAACTATTAAACCATAATTATCTTTATCATAAGGAATGACACTGAGAAAATATTAAGGGAAACCAATGAAATTAAAATTGTAATTTAGAATGCATGTGATTTCATCTATATAACTTTTTGTAGTGTTTTGTAGTTATAAAAGATATGGGTTTAAACTTCAGTCTTGGTTATAGTGACGTTTAGGCCAAAATCTAATTATTAAATAGATATTTAAAGTCCAGTCCTGTTATTCAACTGGTTTACAAAAGTACTGGTTTAGTCAGAGTAAGTGACATGATTTTCACTGTGGTTCAGCCCTGCAGTACATCAGCTATTCTCAAATCACATAAAAATGTTAATTTGAAAACCAAATATTTTCTGGGTTGGAGTTTTGGTTTGCACAGTTTGAGAACCACTACTGTGTCAGAGCTAGCAAACATATTGTGAATACAGAATAAAAACTAATCACTATGAACAAGAACATGATGTGACATGTTACACATTATGGTCCACTGTCACTATGGAGAGCTTTGATCCAACACAAAATAAACAGCACCTGCATGGAGCAACATTACCACGTCCAAACAGGTGTTCTCACAAAACAGCCCGTTGAATATTCAGTGTTAGAAAATCGGCAAACACATTGAAATTTGAAAACATGGCTAAAGAAATATTTGGATTTTCGATGTGCGTAATGAATGACCCGAGTTAGAGAAGGTGGAATTGGATTTTACATGATTAATGCTTAGTAACACAAGAGCAATCTAGTTAAGTAGATATTAAAATGGAATGACAAGATTACATGCACCACCAAGCTATCGGGACTTATTAGATGTGTCCAGGAAGCAATGAGAATAAGAGAGATGGTACATTTCTTATTCTATATTTATTATCTGCAGTGTGTTTCCTTCAATATATCCAGTGTATTGTTTCTCTGATATGAAAGTGGGTTATTTGGATGAGCATGGTGCCTTGTGAGGTTACTGGCTGGAGTCAAGTTTAGTCCTGGTGTAGACTTAGGTTTATTTCTGGTCTAGTCCTGGTCTAGTTCTGGTCTAGTTCTGGTCTAGTCCTGGTCTAGTCCTTGCATTGTCCTCTTTTAGTCTTGGCCTAGTCCTGGCCTAGCCCTGCTTTAGTTCTGGTCAAGTCCTGGTCTGATCCTGGTTTAGTCCTGGCCTAGTCCTCGTTTAGTCCTGCCTTTGTCTTGGCTTTGTCCTGGTTTAGTCCTGTCCTTGTCCTGGTTTAGTCCTAGCCTAGTTCTGGCCTAGTCCTGCTTTAGTTTTGGTCAAGTCCTGGTCTAGTCCTGGTTTAGTTCTAGTATAATCCTTGTATAGTTATGGTTTAGTTCTGATAGAGTCCAGGTCTAATCTTGGTTTAGTCCTGGTCTACTTCAGATCTAGTCCTGGTTTAGTCCAGATTTAGTCCTGGTTTAATTCTGGTTTAGTCCTGGTTTAGGCCTGGTTTTGGCCTGGTTTAGGCCTGGTTTAGGCCTGGTCTTGGCCTCGTCTATTCCTGGTTTCGTCTTGTTTTAATCCTGGATTAGTCTTATTTTAGTCCTGGTCTAGTCTTGTTTTAGTCCTTGGTCTAGTTCTGGTCTAGTCTTGGTTTAGTCCTGGTCTAGTTGTGGTTTAAGGCCAGGTTTAGTCCCAATGTATTACCCATTGTGATCTGTTTTGCACAAATGTAAAGGCACAAACTTTAATAATCCATAGGAAAAATGACTTTGACATGGTAACTCAAAATATTAAAATAATTTGATTAACAAAGAGAATTGTAAGAGTAATAGACATTGAAAATTTGCATAACAAAGAGGAAAATCTGGACCAGCATTATGTACATTCAAATTGTAAATTTTTTTGCTATAAAATGGAAATATATTTCTCACTCTCATCTCTTCCAGGACACACCTCACAACTACCGTCCCGTACATAGGCAAAATGAATCACATCTTCAAATGTCAAGATGTCATGAATTTAAATGTGAGCCAGGAGACCAGTGAGGAGTACGATCCCATGGTAGTCATCCTTAACCATAAAAGCCCTTACGATCATTACCTGTGTCAGAGGCATTAAAGAAACATGGCTGGTCAATACGGAAGATATTGAACTCCCATCATGCACCTGGGTTTGATAGGCGGAGATTGATGACCACAGCACAGAAAGCAAGTCACGTTTTATTATGTCCCTGTGTGTTGAGATGGGCAGAGCGCGAGGCCGTGCAGTAACCCATAATGTAATAAGTGCCATGGCAGCTAATCCCTCATTAAAATGCCATCAAATACGTGATTCCATGCAGTTACAATGCCAGTACTGCAAATATTAGCACTAGCAGCGAGGCTCTTTCAAACAAGATTGTTATCTGGAGATGATAGAGAAAGTAGCAGAGGAAATTAGGCAGAATGAGACAGTGTAACGGAAGTGAGGTGAGTGCAATTACAAGGCTAAATGCAGAGAGCGGAAAAAGACACGGAGGTAAGCGCTAGGTGACTGGTAAATAGTTATTTCAAAGGGTCAATTTTACACTATTTTTTGATCTATGTTATAATATTATTTCCTCATCATGAACATACTGTACCTGGAGTTTTGTTTTGCGTCATTCACACATGTTTAACACGCAAACCCTGCATGTATAGGTTGTGTTCTTCTCTCAAACGAAAACACTATGTTCCACCTTGTGATACAGGAAGTGTTTTAAAACTCCATACACCTTCACTAGAATCGTTTGGATAATTTCAGCCCTGGAATTGCCAATCTCTACTGAACTAAAGGTAAAAGAGGTAGCTGTTCACTTGAAAACTACTGCTACATGACATCACAGGTTGGAATAGAGCATTTTGAGCTTTGGAGATGTAAACAGACTAATAATAAGGGTTACTCAAACATGTGTGAATGAAACAAAACACAACTCCAGGTATGTTTTTGATTAGGTAAATACAATATAACATGCCTAAAAGCTCACAAGCTCCATTTTGCATAATGAAGGACCTTTAAATGTTATATGAAATCTTGCACATACAAAAATAGTCTCAATAGACTAAATTAATGAATAGTTACAAAAGCATATTAAACGTAAATTATTATTACTATCAACATTATATGCCAAGGGCGAGGCATATAATGTGGACATTGAGAAAATATGCTACTTAGAGATGTCATGCAATAAGATAAACAATCAAGACCCTGTAAGTACATGCACTATGAGCTCAAAATCCATACTGTGATTTAGAAACAAAGTAAACTACAAACAGAAGAATCTACATCTACAGCTAATGATATGGCTGCCAAATTTCCTTTTTTTTTTTTTCTACCCATCAGTGGCATTCTGTTCATTCCATGGTAACAGCTTGTACCAATGTGTTGATATACAGGAGCTTTTTATAGCAAATCACTTTTTTGTTAGCATGAAAATAAGATACAATTTTAAGATACAATTTTCTATCATAGACTGTATACATAAATGGACATAGCTAACCCACTAGGCGCATTCCAAATAGGAAGTGAGCATGGGGGCACTCCCGGCTCCATCAACTCTGGTTGCAATTGACTTGAATTGAAAAAAATGTCACCCCTCTCTCTGTAACTGTCTTAAAATGTTCGTATTCACCTACTGTACATGATCCCGATGTTTTTATTTCACTATTTTGTCCATAAATAAATTCTGGTTCCTAATATGAAACTTGCTTGGACTTACTTACTTGAAGCTTCATTTGACTGGAGCTGAACACTATGGGTAACATCACACCCCCTTGGTCCAATTCTTTATACAGTCTATGTTCTCTATACAACATTAAAAAGTTGGGCAAAACCAGATTTGAAAATGACTCAAATTTGACATCAAAATTCAATATTACTAGGTTTGTTTACGTCTGTTATTTCAATGAAATCGAAACTTAGGTTATCTTAGATTTTTTAGAAGTATGTTAATTGGTTTACAATCTGAAACATCACCAAATCTAACCAGAATACATTTGAATTGAAACGTAAAAGGTAATCCAAACTATCACATTTTTTATACAAACATGTCCTTTCACTTCTAACTCTACTGTTTCTAGGCACTTATTACATGATAGGTCTCTACACGGCAACACTTTGCTGTGGCTGGGATGAGTTTGAGCGGAAGACGAAGAGGAAGAAGAGGAGGTGGTTGGAGGAAGAGTGGTGATCGGGCTCTGAACAGCTGAAAAGTGTCCAGGCCGAGGGACCTACTTGCAGCGAGGTTTGTTAAGAGCGGTTAATGTGCAAATTCCTTCGTTTTGACAGAAGTAATCGCAGGGGTTGGCCAGCTCGTCGCAACGCTGATTCTTGAACCCTGATGTGCAGCTGCAAAAACAGGTGTATTGGGAGTGATGAAAAAGCCCACAGAATAACGTTTAACCTTAAGGACGATTGGAGAACAGAGACTGGTAAATTATAACGCTGTTTAGAGTAAGCTGTCAGGATTTATTACTAGCAAATACTGTATATACTTCCTTAGGGGTTTTTAATGTTGGACAGTAATACAAGGCTGTAAATGAATTTTTACTGAATTGAAATTTTACTAGCACACTGTTATTTGAATATCTCAGTACTACAGTTCTCAGTATTGCTATGAGCGGGAACAAATAAATAAATAAAATGAATAAACACAATAAATTAAAGGGCCCATATTACACTGTTTTTTGGTCTATATTAATGTTGTTTTCACACAGTTTGATCTACTATGCGGTAACACAGGAAGTGCTGACTGTGTTACATTACTCAAACAAAACACTACTCCAGATATGTTTTTGGTGAGGTAACAAGAGTCAATAATTTTGTGTAATATAAGACCTTCAATGAGCTAACTGTAAAAGAGTCCAACAATATATGCATTTAAATTGAATTACCAAAATAAATATTATTTTTCAGTTTCTCTGGTCAATCAGCGCGTCTTAAATTACATTGAATTTAACAGCTTTTTTCTCTCGTTTCAAAATACGGCACATACATATCTTTCAGAACCAAAGATTTACTGTCAGTTGTCAGTTGAAAAGATTCTGGAAAGTTTTAAACACGCTCCTGACAGTTGACGAAAACTAAAATGTTGTGAATGCTACTTTTGACATCTTTTCAAATCTAAAAGTTGAACTGGTGGCACCATGGTGACAGGCAAGCAAGAGACTTTTCCTTCCTTGTACCCAAGAAGATACATCGCAACAATTAAATGAAACAATCACAAAAAAAAGAACAACACTGGTGAATACACGGCCACATAATTGCTTTGCAGTTTTTGACAACAAAGGCAGAAAATGGGCGGACTCAACTCTTTTCCAATCTGTAAAAAAGGGAAGAAAGTGTAGCTAAAATATCTTCAAATAGAACTTTTGTGTTTTGATGAAAAAGCAAAACATTAATGGTATATGGAGTGACTCAAAGCACATTCTGAAGTGTTTCCAATGTGAGAAAGATACATCTGTCAAAACAAAGATCTAATGCAGCACAGATGTCAGTAAGAATCACCATAAAGTCCAAAGACAAGAAGGAAATTAGACTTTTGTTTGTGCCAAGGAAAGCAAACCTAAATTACTTGTCAACATCCTTATCTTGCTATGATGTTTCTAGAAGATTATAATGAAAGAGTAAAAATGCCCTTGTATTGTTTAGCTTTGGGGGAACATTTAGTTTTTCTAGTGAAGCTTAATGCACTTTCTACATAAATATATATATTTTTTGGATATTCCCATGGTAAAAACTGTATGCTCAATTATATGGTCCAGTATTTTTCAGCCCAAATTATAATTTTTTTTTCTTCTATTACTATGTCTCTTCCTTTTCAGTATTTAGTGAGGGTCTGGCAAATTGCTGTTATTGCTTTGCCTGGAAAGTTCCACACTATGGCATTAAAGGGCCCATATTTTGCTATTTTCTGATCTATGTTATAATGTTGTTTCCTTATCAAAAACATACCTGGATAAGTTTGTTTCATTCACACAACATGCAAACCCTGAATATTTACTTTGAGTTCTTCTCTAAAACAGAAAAAGCTCCGTTCCACCTGGTGATGTCAAGCGGTAATACAGGAAGTGCTCTGCTGTGTTTTTAAATTCCTTCCTACACTTTCACTAGAATCATTTGAATAATTTCAGAGCTGGAATTTCCGATCTTAACTGAACTAAACGTAAAAGGTAGCTGTTACTTTGAAAACTACCACTACATGACATCACAAGGTGGAACAGAGGATTTTGAGATTTGGGGACGTGGACAGCGTAATAACAAAGAATTACTCAAACATGTGTGAATGAAACAAAAAACAACTTAAGGAATATTTTTGAGGAGGTAACAATATTATAACATGACTAAAAGCTCACAAGAGTCAATTTTGTGTAATATAGGACCTTTGAACAAATGCAAGACTGGTTGAAAACTATACTGTGTAACATTCCAGGATAAACAACAACATCCACATGAGCAAGTGGCATACTCCTCACCAGAAAAGTTAAACAGTACACAGTCATCACTACTATTGCATTACTTCTGCTCTGCCACTTTCTGCACTGATGAACCTGGAGAAAATATACATTTACTTTGTGGCATTGAAGGCGAACCTTATGATTCCTTCACACAGACATATCCATCATCCCTGATAATCTCTGGTCTTTGCCGCGAATAATAAAGCGCATTATCGGGATCTGTTAACCTCATCGAATAAGATTGGATCATTTGCATAGAAATTGATTCTATCCCTGGGAATTTGTGAGTGATGACTGCAAGTTTCAATTTAACTACAGTGGACAATGGGCAGTGCAGAAAAAGCCGCACGAGTTGGCTTTAGAAATGGATTTCCAATTTCCGCACTGAGGTAGATTTTGAACGGCGGCGCGTGTGATTGCGGTCTGAGATGGTATTAATCTGTGTCATTTGCTCTTTCACAATCGTATGCCCGTGTCTGCCAGTCAAGCTTTGTCTGCACCCCCCATTGACTTTCTGTTGGCCACATGTACCTCTGCGGCACAGGTGGGTTCTATTTACACTGTTACATGTACTTGAGTAGCTACTGCCAATAAATTACACCTATAAGAAGAGTGTAATGTATGACTGAGGGGTTGTAAATGAAACAACCTCAAGGGAAAAAAATCTAGTTTTAAGGAAAATTCAAATTTCTCACCAAGAGAGTGCCTAATGTTTAAGGCTTTTAATACTTTTTATTCTTGTAGTAAAAATAATTTTAAGTAAAGATCTACCCTGGAGATTCAATGTGATGCGATGTTTCAAAAACTTAAAAATGTGGATTAGAATAGATCATTTTTTAAAAGCATTTTATCGCTTGATTTTGAATTTTGTAGAAATACAGTGCTCAACAAAATATTATATTTAATAATTTAAATTGAAATGCAAATAAAAAATAAAGTAGGCCTAAATAGTAAAGCATTTCTTGTATATTTTTCAGTAACTTCAATAAATTGTTTGGATTTTACTACTTTTACTTCTAGAGTAATATTATTTTGAAATAACTTAAAGTATGGCTTGAGTACAAATATTGCCTGCTAAATCCATCTCAATTTGGCTTCTTTCCTTTAATCTTTTACAAAATCCTAGCGTGTCTTAACTGCGAGGAGGAACAGTATGAACTCTCTAAATGGCATGATTTGAAATGGGCCGTGAACCTTCTCTTTTTGTGATATCTGCCTAAAACCTTAAGCCACGCGGAGGTGTCACACAGCATAACATGGTGCAGTGCTCCTCAACCTCCTGCTGTGCCTTGGCCTCCTCATAGCGACTTCAAACCGATTTTGCAATGGGGATTTCTCTCTTGAGGAAGACGTCTACGTGCTAGTGTTGCGCTGGAAATGGTACCCCGTGTAGATTTGTGACTCTGCTTTCTGGGGGCACAGTACCAGCGATTTGATGGGTAGAGTGAATAATAGTAGCGTGAAGTTTTTCTTCTTATCCCTCCGTCCGCCCACTCGCTGGAGCCATTACGCGGTGACTTACTGACAGAAAGGCAGGTTGGTGTCGGGGTCCAGGTGACAGGTGCCGCCATTGTAGCAATATCCGTCACAGAGTTGACAGCTGGGCGCGATTCTGCCATTTGTGCAACTGCAAGGTGAAGAAATAATGGAGCTAGTGACAAGTGCAGACTTTAATACAAGGAGCAACAAAGGCTCAGTGCTGCTTTGGTCAAACATGGAGGATAATACATGAAGAGAAATCATTACGGAACTATAGGTGTGGACTACATTTTCTGGTTGGGTGTCTCCATGGAGATGTAATTGCTTTGCTTAGAATGGTACACAGTATGGAGGGCCCACATTACGCTATTTTCTGATCTATGATGTAGTGTTGTTTCCTGATCACAAACAAACCTGGAGTTGTGTTTTGTTTCATTCACACAATGTTTCATTTCCGCCTTCTGATGTCATGCGATAATATAGGGAGTGCTCTGTTGTGTTTTTAAACTCCATACACCTTCAGTAGAACCATTAGGATAATTTCAGGCCTGGAATTTCCTATCTCTGAAAATAAAAGGGGTTACTCATATGTGTGAATGAAACAAATCACAACTACAGGTATTTTTTGAGGAGGTAACAGCATTCTAACATGAGTTAATATTGGACCTTTAAACCTATCTATCCACAGGGAGACATGCAGGCCAAAGCTGTGGAGAGGTAAGCCCACTTGCACTCATATATCTGAATAAATTCACAGTGGATAAGTGTGATACCATACTGTCGAACATTCAGATCAAAGCAATAACATCTCCATAGAGACGTGAAACTTACTGTGTACCTTTCATATAAAAAATAAATAAAAATAATATAAATGTTGTAAGTCAGTTTGTTCCTTTAAGCAAATATTATGCTTATTACTTGCAATAAATAGAGACATTTTATACAAGGAGCAAATCTGTGATACTTATAATTATTACCATTTTAATTAAACAGTAAGAATTATAAGCATCACAAGTGCAGTGTTTTACAAAATCTTACTTGCTGTTTGAACTGAGTATCTGACACAAATTAGTACCTCATTCTGATGCACTGCTAAACGTCTGTACGTGTGCACTATAGCTGTAGTGTTGGAGAAAATAAGGTGCTTGGACTAAGTGGACACGCGGTCGGCTAAGTGCGAGGAGTTGGAGAGGAGTTAGCGCTCACTTGCAGACCACATCGCCGGTGTCTTCGTTAATGAGACATGGAGCTCCGTGACAGCGCAGGCACTTGTCCACCTCACACTTGGTCCCCTCAAAGCGGGCAGGGCACACACACTCCACATACCCACTGCTGGACAACGTGCACGCCTTGGAGTTCACGCAGTAGTGGTGGCAAATGTCTGCGAGAACAAATGACAGACAGGAGTGCATTAAAATAGATAGGTCTTATCAAATGTGAATAAAGAGCAGAATAGACACATGACAATTTTGGATTATATCAGGTCTAATTTAAATCTAAAATCAGGTCAGCTACACTAAGACTGAACAAAGCCTAAACAACAATTCACCAGGTCTAGAAAAACAAACAGGATTAATATAAACCTAGAAGCTGAATGACTTGGGAACAATATCTAATTGCAATTTTTCTGACAAGCATTGCAGTTGCGATTTGAGATTTATGTTTTGATTATAGAATTCTGTTAAAATATTTTGAACGCATCTAGAAGAATAGACAAAAAGACTGAAATTTGAACTGACTCTAATACAATAAACACAAACTACAGGATTAGCAGTTTCTATGCAGAATAAGACAAGATGTTTTGTTGTTAGTGATTTTGGTTTAAATGCGAATAATATTGCAGTCTAAATAGAGCTAGGCATGGGCCAAACATCATTTAACATGCACTAATGTGGACTGAAGAGTGACCACAATCTAACACCAGAAACCAGAAAAAACAGGATTAAATAAGGGCTATTCAAAATGTCCTAAAAATAATAAAAAATGAAATACAATGAAAACGCACAATTTGAACTTATCTAGAACCAACCCAGGATATTGTACCCATACCACAGTTTAAGAAACCCATCTAGGATCAGGGGTGACTAGTTAGTCTGGGCTGTACCGGATCTTAATTTGAGCTAATTATTCACACTAAAATAGCATGTTAGTAACTTTCAAGCCCCGGGCACTGCTCTGTTTGACACAGCTAATGATGAGTGCCATTTGAAAAGCGTTGCAAAGGAAAATATGTTATCGCTCCAGCACAGAAACACCTAGAGGTTGTTTGACAGTACATTTTGAGTTTATTTATCTGCAAATGGAGCCAAATAAACGTGGGGTTTGTTGAAAGGGAAATACTTCAAGGGATTGTTTTTGTTGAGCTGAAAGTGTCTATACTACAAATGAAGTGGCTGGCATAATAGAAATAAACTGAATGCAAATGATTGTCGTTTTCATCAGGCTTCAAGTGCCAGTCATTCTGAGGTCAAGAGCGTCTTATTGCGATAAAAAAAAAAAAAAAAAAAAAAAAAAAAAAAGAAGAATAAAAGCAAAAAGCATAACGCAAGCTGTTTTCTGTGCAGAGATGGGGATTGTATCTTTACTTAGGCTAATGTTAAAGCTACCATTTGCCATTTGGAAATAGGTTGGTCAATCTACCCCTGTTGTATTCTCACACTTGACTGACAGAAGAAGAAGAACAGAGAGCACAAGTGAGACTGAACAAAGGTCAGGTGAGGTGAGGCAGGTTTTATATCTGTCATCTACCGGTGAAAAAAACAGTCAAATAAACTTGCAGATGGTAGCTTTAAACTATGCAAAATACAAAATACTTAATTAAAAAATATTCTTGAATATTAATTTACCTGTAATAATCGGGCAGTTCATCAGGCAGTTCCACAGCTCTTTTGTTTACTTTGTTATATTGTTTTGTTGCTAACCCTAACACTAGCTACTGTGTGTGTGAATGGTCATGTATGTTAGGACTACAAAAGCAGGGCTGGCGCCACCTAGTGTCACTGCTCAATTTTTTTTCTCTTCAGCGACTAGGTCAGGAATTGAAATACACTAGACAGTTTGCAAGAAATCCCGGAAGTGCGAGTTTGGGCATCAGCCAATTAGCGAAGAGCCATACATTCTGTGTTGGCAATGATTCCCGAGATCAAGGATTTAAAGCCAGAACAAAGAGAATGTTTGGTGAATTTTATCAAGGGGAAAGACATTATTGCCCTTCTTCCTACATGATTTGGGAAAAGTTTAATATAACAGTTATCCCCGTTAGCGGTACATTACATACAGTACGTCACAACCAAATATCAGCGATTGGTTAAATTAAAAAGAGTACCCGCCTACCTTCGAGTGAATGAATCCTAATGTTGCGAGGTCAGACAGTTTCCACAAAGTGAAACCGGCTGATGAATCAGGCTAGGACTACACACCTTCACTTCACAGTTTCAAATGGGCAAAACAAACACAACGGCTTATGTGCGAGAAAGTTTTCCTATAGTGTTCCTATTGATCCTCTTGATATCTTGATCTTGGTTTAGTCCTGTTCAAGTGCTGATTTAGTGCTGGTCTAGTGCCACTTTTATCACTATTTATATGTGGTCTGTGTGCATGTGTGGAGTAAATTAAAAGCATTTGATTACATTTTGACAAAAATTCTACAGCGTCAGTTCATAAGCTTCCATACACACTTTTGTCTGATTGTATTCCAGGTATATGAAAACACTCACGGTAAAGACAGCGCTCCCCGGTGTACTCGGCCATACAGCGGCACACTGGCTGGTTGCCCTGGGTTACGTCACAGGTACCTCCGTTCAGGCAGTAGTTGTCACAGATTCTTCGCTCACAGAAAGGACCGGAGAAGCCAATGGGGCAGCGGCATGTGGGTTTACCTGGATCAACAAGAAACACAACAATGAATCACTTTTACTGGTCTTAGGGTGTAGAGATAGCAGAGATGGTTTTCTGGGAGTTCCTACAACAGTTTATATAATGCCAATAATAATCTTAAAGCAACACTGTGTAACATTTTGGTGACGGTACATCCCCTGCATAGAAATACAAAGCAACAATACACACAACAATAATTTGGAAGATTCTCTGTGGAAATAAATATGTTTAATGCCATACAGCAGAGCATTTTATCCATGTGTTTTAGTGCAATAAAATATTCACAATTGAAATATTCTTTTATTTGAGTAATTTCTTGGCTAAAAAATTACACAATAGGGCTTTGACATACAAATAAATAATACAAAAAACAATATGAAGTGATTTAAGCATTTTTAAATTCATGAAAATGTGACTCTGTGTCTTGATCTGATTAGTGTTTATTAGGTAACTATTGTGAGATTTGTTCAGCCCATAGATAGCAACAACCTTGTTTACAACTTGACATTTTGATTTAAATGCCAAGTGCTACATTTAATTATTCTTTCTTTCCCTTTCCCAGTTCTCATAAAAAAGGGAAAAAAATGTGACTTTTTAAAATATGAATTGATTTTCCAGTCACACATTTAGGCCTATGGAGTATTCTGGGGCAGTCCATCGCCCACGGAGACCTATAACTGACTATGGTGTAAGAAGAGGAATGGCTAAAACTACAAGCATCCATCTAATCATAAAAAAACACAGCAACTTTTAGATGCAAGGGCAAAGATCGATAAGTCCCAAACATTTGTCACTGAGAGAAACTCGCATCCAACCAAGTCTGGGTCAAGGAGACAGAGGAGCAGCTAAAGTGCCTTTCCATCCACCACTATACTTCACTGTTATTAGTCATACCAAAAAAAAAGAAAAAAAAAAAGGAAAACCATTACTGTATAAATTGTAATTTTAAGATTATGATATATATTTAGGTTTTCAGGACATGCTCCATTGTGTTTTTAAAATCCATACACAAGAATCATTTAGATAATTTCAGCCGTGTAATATATGACATAACAAGTAGACAAATTCATAATAATAATAGTAATGTGTGAATGTAACAAAGCACAACTCCAGGTATTTTTTTTATGAGGTCATTACATTCTAATGTGGCTTAAAGCTCACAAGAGTCAATTCTGTATAATATAAGACCTTTAATACGTTAACATTTTTTTGTATCTATAATATTGCCATTAACCTTTAAGATACTATTAAAATGAACAGTCTGAATTGACATGAATAAGCCTTGCTCTAGGTACTACTTTTATGCTAATATCCCTCGGACACCATTCTCAGGTCTCAAAGTGCTGGTTTGAGGAGCTGCTGGCCACATCGAGAATTTTTACTGCAACACAGGGCACAAGTTGTAACTCATTTCACACCAAACACAGACAGATCCATTAAAGGTTTTCTCAAATTATTGATGAAAGTACAACGTGCTCCCATTCTCTTCTCTGTTAACAGGAATACCCACATATTTTCTGCTTTTGTACAAATAGCTGAAAGGATAAGAGCAAATCTTTTCATAGAGTCATGATAGTTGCTGTCAGAACAATGTTGAAATCATTTCCACCGGTTGCAGTACTGAATTTTATATGTGGTCACAAGAGCAAATATATATAAATATTGCCTTTTTCTTCCCTTGAGTGTTTTTTATTGCTTTGCTTTTGCCACTTGAGAGAAGCCTGGATATAGATAGTCACTCAAACCTTGACTTCAAATTTGAGGACGAATGTTCACTTGCTGTATATATACAAGTATATGCAACTATTTTCAGGTGCTGGTGCTGTATTGTGTGTAAATGATTGCTGAAAACCTTTAGATATATATATTCTGTTCTTGTAAATATAACAGCTCAGATTATTATTTCTCATTTTCTACACTAAAAGCTTAAACTTCATTATTGTCAATATGTTGAATCTATGCTTTGTTGAACATCAGCAGCACAAGGATTAGGGGATTACAGAATGTGATGATGGGATAGTCTCAGAAGGGAGGAGCAAGAGTCAGTTTTCCCTATTGATTTTGTTGTACTTTCCTGTGAAATATCTTAAAGGTAAATTTACAAATGCTGAACCTGATCATTTCTATAAAAACTACACCCTATAACTCCCCTTCTGTATTAAAGGTTCTATATTATGCTAAACTGACTGATTGTTAGCTCTTTAAGCCATGTTAGAATGCTGTTACCTCCTCAAAAACATACCTTGAGTTGTGTTTTGTTTCATTCACACATGTTTGATTCATTCTTTATTAGATTGTCTACTCTCCAAAGCTCACCATGTCATGAAGTGGTAGTTTTCAGCTACCTTTTATCTTTAGTTCAGTTGAAATGGGCTATTCCAAGGCTGAAATCATCCACATGATTCTAGTGAAGGTGTATGACGTTTAAAAAACACAGTGGAGCACTTCCTGTATTCACTACAGGGTGGAAAAGAGGATTTTTGAGTGTTTCAGCCTGAAAGAACTAAATATGCAGGGTTTGTGTGTTAAACGTGTGTGAATGAAAACATAACTCAAACATAACTCCAACACAATATCGGTAGAGTAGTAGAGAGTAGAAAATGTTCCCTTGGTTTTTAATGCGTGGCCCATTGGAGGTGATGTTCTGAGCATATCATGATAGGCCCGGTTCCTAATGGACAGGCAGGTTTTTGTGCGTTCAATTGTCACATCGAGGGCTCCACGGATGATGATGATGATGATCACATACGAGGAAAGTACTGCAAGTTGCTATGGATACAGGCCTCTCATGTGGGTCATAATACATGGGTAATTTTCACACAGTCCATAAAGCCGTGGAGAGATTAATCTGCTCTGAAAAACATCAACACCCTTAATAGTTGGGTGGAGACTCGTCTGAATTATGAAACTTGATTGATAGTTGTTTTCATATATTTTTATGTAATTATTTAGTGGTTTGAAAGGAAAAAAAATATGTTTGGAGAACATTTTCAGAAACACATGTAGCAAATGGCATAAAAAAGGAATAATATGTAACTTTGTTTTTGGTTTAGAGTCCAACACACACATTATTGTTGTTTTGTATGTTCAACAGTGTGGCATAAACTTGTCTGTCTTTATGGAGTTAAGCAGGTGATGTAACTAGGATGTTACAGGTCCAATCTGAGGAAAGTTAGAATGTATATTTTTTCAACACCTGTACAATACAAAAACAATACTATAATAACTATAATACTGTACTATAATTACTATAACAGACATTTTATTTATAATAGCATTTTCAATATTTTTATGTATTTGTGTATTGAAAAAAATGAAGTGAATAGTGTTGTTTCTTTTGGATTTCAATAGAATTTACTCATTTAGTTGAGGATAGTATGGCAGAAATTCAATGTTAATGGATGCTTAGATATTACTTTGCATAAACAAAATTACACATCCACTTAGATACCATTAGTTTTCTTCTTGTTACATTTGAAGCTCTCCCACTTCACCAAACTTTTGAAAGGCTTAATACATCCGTCTCTTTAGAGAATATTTACTTTTAATATGTCATCTTCTAATGAGCAAAATGAGAAAAATATGTATTTGAAGTATGGGCCTACGGCTGCCAAGAGTTCCATTAGGGCCCTGATAAAGCGGTCAGACGGACAACAGCGCGCTCGGCTCTGACACCTTGTTATTTTATAGATAAAACTGGAAAATATCCAGTGTCTAATTGATGATGAGGTTCTGTTCCTCCTCCTTTAATCACTGCAGCTGGGACACGCAGATACCCATTTCAGAGTCATTTCTTTGCTGCTAATCTTCGGTCTGTAAATCTAGTGTTTCTTTTGCCTGGAAGACATATGGCTGGCTTACAGTTGTGATATGTACTTTGTAAAAGGGTGGTGTAGGTGGATTTGTCCATATGATGCATTACTCGGCCAAAAAATATTAGCTGACAAATTATTTTAGATTTGTATGGACCACAGCAGAAAGGAGAACGCTTGGAGTGAGGCCTGGAGTAAGTTAGCTGGAGTTTTGGGAGTGACTGGACAGTTTAATCTGCCTTTTCACTTATGAACATGCTCTTTACCAGTACTTCTCACTATACAAAGATGTTTTTGAGCGAGATCTTTGTCATTTTCTCAGCTTTTGCTAACTCCACAGCAAGTCCATTTTAGTCAACTAATTAATGCAACTGGCACAACCTAGAATTTGTTTAATCGACTACAATATTAAAGTCTGTGGCTGTGCCTTCTTATTGGACTGGTGGAGGGTACACCACCAACTTATTTCTGTGTTCCCCGGTATGGTAATAAAACTGTATATCTTTATGAGACATGAAGGTGGTACCAGCAGATCAAGATACAGGTCTAATCTGTGGAATGGCAACATTGCTCACAGTAAGAATGCATGTTTTTCTAAATATTCTTGAGTAATAAAACAACTGTAATGAAATAAATGCAAGATGGATACGTTTGATGGCATAGCGTGGACATTCCATACAAAGCAATGACACTTCCATGGAGACTACAGGTTACATAGTGAATATTTAAATGGCTTATATTACATAATTTCACTTCCACATCTTTGAGTAAAGCTGCATTATTAGGCTGTCTACATCTCCCACGCTCATAATGCTTCGTTCCATCTAATAATGTCATGAAATGGTAGTTTTCACGTTAACAGCTACCTTTTGCCATTTGATTATCAGAGACTGGCTAATCCCAGGCTAAAATTATGAAGTATTTTTATGAATGATTCTTGTGAAGCTATATGAAGAGTAAAACACAATTAAGCACCCTGTATTACCACATGACAGCATAAGGTGAAACTGAAAATATAACCTAAATATGCAGAGTTTGTGTGTTAAACTTGCATGACGGAAACAAAACTCACCCCAGGTATGTTTTTGATGAGGAAACAACATTATAACACAGATCAAAAAATAGCATAATATGGGCCCTTTAAGGACACCACTTGAGTGAGTTACTATATCTCACCTCTTGCCAGTTGCAGTATCATGTAAATTAGTCATACATAGTCTAATGCCTAATATGCGTAACTGGTGCATATCCCATAACTCCCCCAAATGTTCCGATATCTAGTAATGATAAAGTTATATTTTGCCCCTTTCGATGCCCGTTGCTGGAACCCACATATTTGAAAGTATTTTGTTGTTGCTAATCTCCGTTCCATATCCGCAGACACTTTTGTTGCCTGGAGGACATTTGCCTGATGCACTGAAGCTGTTGCTCACATAAAAATGCCAGGTATGACTAAGACAGAGCTGCAGGCCCACGGTTAAATCTCAGCTTGTCCTGATTTCACGTCTGCGTCTCATTTCCAGCTGTGGTGAGTATTACGCTTTTTATGATGTACTGAAACTACCTCCCAGTGCTCTCAATGGTTTCCTCAAGCACTGGTGATTACCTCTCTGGGTTTCACAAAAAAGATGTACTTACAAAAATGCATGTGTTTTGGGTTTTAAATGATTGTGCCAGATCTAAAGGTAAAAAGAAACTATATACTGAGTTTGTCTTTCGGTATGTCCTGATTTCATTGTCTAAAATGTGTACGAGAGAAAAAATGTTGGTAATTAAAACATCTTTCACAGAGAATTGTTGATTTTTGGCAAAGATAGGCATTAAGATAAAGGACAGCTTGAAAACATTCTGTTGCTTTTTGAAAAGTAGAACTCAAGGTTATTTGATTTTGTTCATTGTTTGTCTAATAAATATAATTAAAAACATTTTTTAATCAGATCTTGAATCCTCTTCCCACTCTCTTCCAACACCCCTTTTGAACAAGCACTGTCTAATGTAATTCTTTAACCTTGTTTTTTTAAGAACCTACATTCTTGAAGGTGAACTATGTAACTCGTCACGCAAAGTAGCTTCATAAATAACTACACCAGCTTTGTAGTAGATTGTCAAAAAGTTGAAAGTACTATACACCAATGGTACCAATACAGATCTGATAATCGTAGCTTGCATCTTTTATGATATCAAATGTCATTCAGGACACAGGACTGTACATTAAATCTAATTGACACATACCGTACGCTGGGCACATTGATATTCATAACATAATGCTATACAGCCATGATTGCCCTCCTTTGCAGCCAATAGGGATGGAGATACTGTAGGTGATTGTGGTGATGGAGGCATGATGAACAGGCTCGTAAATCAAAGATCTCCATTTTAATAGAGCGGTACATCCTCGTTCAATTTCCCCACTGACATCTGCACATATGCATATAGGATGTCTATGGTGGCTCTGTATGCGATTGTCTCTGGAAGGCGTGAAGCGTGAGAGAGCACCTTGACTCTGAGAGAGGTGAGGAGCGCATTTGAGGCTTGTTTGATACGAGCAGCCGTGACGAAACTGCTGGAGTGGCAGATGGCAAGAGGTATTATGGGTAAGAGGATGTGGACATGTGGGGAAGAAAATGGCCAACTGACAATGAGAAGTGATAATGGGGTAGGCTGTCAATGGACTTGGGAGTAATGGAAAATCAGAAGCAAAAACTATTCAAAACAAAGGATTCTATCTTGTGAAAAATCCTCAAAATGATGGCCATATCTGGAAACAAAGACCCATGAATACAAGTGCATGTCAGTGTATTTCTTTGTAAATTTCTTCATGAATTATTTATATATTCCAAAGTAGAGATTGACCTTTTTTTTTTTCATGGGTGAAGCCGATTGTTTAGAATCTAGACTACAGCAACCAATGGTCGATAAACTCTGCCGATATTTTTGGCCTGATATGGAGGGATGATTTTAATATTTTTTTCCAAATTACATACTTTAATTTTACAATGAAAGCATCCACAGCCCTTTTTTACCACAAGCCTTTAAGAGAGCTGTGTAGTCACGTTTTGTGCAATGCTGTTGTGTGTAATCTTTAGGCAGTAGGTCGGCCAAAAAAATAAAAATCGACCTGTGCTGGAGATTTAAGGCCAATAGCGACACTCTGCAGACAAAAAGTGCAGACAAATCAATTTATAATCCAAAGCAAGACAAAATCTGTGGCAACAACCGGGTGGTTAGGAAAGGGTATAGATAAGGAGTTATGATACTACTACTCATTACAATACTGCCATGGATAAACAAACAAATAAACAAAAACTTAAAGACACTATTGGCATTTCATATTTTGTGTTATGAATACAATACCATAATGATTTTATGAGATACTGATTTTTTCCCCCATAATATTTACCTCCAAACACCCAATATGATAAAATGCCACCACAAAAAAAAAAAAAAAAAAAAAAGAAGTACACTGGCTTGTAACTTGAATACTGTGAACTTCAATAAACTTAGGAAAATGCAAACAAACTGAATGCAACATAACTTGTTGCATAATAGTATATACTTGATACTGTACTATAGCATCCTGCTCAATGATCTCAGAATAAAACGTTTTTCTTCCCTTGGTTGATTTTTCAGGGTTATTGCACATTAATGAACATTTCTGGAGATTGTAAAAACATTTCTCATTACAAGTTCAGAATACAAAAAAGTGCTTTGTGCATGTGTTTTTTCATAAATTCAGATTTCGTTTTTTCAAGGTTCGGTGAGCAACATTCTGAGAAATCTAATTATACGGCTGGGGGAAGTTAACTGTTGTTGTTTGCACTATGCTTTCAGTTAGTAGCGACAGACGCTTAGCACATTTTTAATAATGTTTTGGGGCCTTTTTAGTTGTTATTAAAGAGCAGAAGAGCATACGGACTGGAATATTCAGGGGGTGAAAGCACGTTTTGATTAGCTGTGTGAAATCTTAAGTGTGATATTTGCTCTACCAAATTTAGCAAAATATAACATTACAGCAAATACAAAAAATAAACAGCTTTTTACTTCATGTATTTTAAGTTGCTGACACCTCACTTACTCCGACATTATACTTACTGAGATTGGCATACTGTGTGCATATACTGTATATCTAAGCATACATTTACAAATCATGAATAAAACTGCAATGGGCATGGTTAGCAAGATAGCAAATACCAAAGAAATAAGTTAGGAACGTGTGTGTATAACTTATATACATCATCAACTGTCACTTTTTTGACATTCTCAAGACAGTACATGTAGTAATGTCATTATTCAAGACTGTTACAAATCACAGTGTTTATTTTCTTCAGTATTTGTGACACTGACATTCTACCTCAAAAACAAAGAAACATACCTAATATTTCTGTGTAATCCCTCAGTCGTACAGGCAGGTTTCACCACAAAATAAAATTTAATTAAGATTTTAAAGGGTGAATTCACACTATTACAATCACCACATAAAAATTGGAACTCAACTGGGACTAAACCTGTACTAGACCAAATTAAATCTTCATTAGAACTCAATCTGGGCCCAAGCCAGAACCAAATCAGAAGTACAAATGCACCCTATGAATTTCAGCACTGATCCAAGAGGCTTCTTCAATTCTGACAGGGTTCTGAAAGTCACTGCCTTACTGTATATCTGTCTGAAGGGAGGAGCTAAATACATTGGAACTACAGCCCATATTTGTTTTCAGTTAGGAGCATCTGTTATTAGTGAAGTCCAAATGATATGAAAAGACCAGTGCATTGTATTTAAAGTGCACTTACCCAGTAGTGAGCCCGTGCAGGTGCCCCCGTTGAGGCAGTAGTCGGTGCAGTGGTTGACCTCACAGCGCTCCCCTGAAAAGTCTGGCCAGCAGTAGCACCTCCAGTCTCCCTTCTCATTGGCCAGACAGCGCCCTCCGTTCTCACAGGGGGGACGGCACAGTTCACCTTCACACCCGCAAAAAAGCAAAGCATTTACTGCACTGGACCATGTACGAGCCTCTAATATCAAACTGTGAGGTGAATGCACAAGAGGGTGGAGGGTTTTCGATGCATGTATGTGCTCAAAGGATACCTTCATTTAAAGGTGCACTATGTAACTTTTCCGTTACGTTACAGTTCTACTTGGAATGTTTCACACTGGGGCATTAAACTTCTATTTTTGCACCAGGTCAATTTATAGGTCAGGTCTGTGTAAAGGCAAGCCCATTCATCGTAAGAATTAAACCGCTCTGGTAGGTATTTTTGAACAATTAGAAAACACATGTAATTACACAAATGCAAGATAGATTTTTCAGTTCAGTATTGCAGAACATTTCAGGCACTCCAACGACATCTCCATGGAGACTAACAGGTGGTTGAAACTCCATTAGTGCTCCTTTAAAGTGAAGTGCAAGCAGTTCTGGTAGAACTAGTAATTTTATTTGTTTATGCATCAATCATGCTTTGGAACTATTTTTGACAGCTTAGCATTAGTATGAATATTTCACATTTCAAATGCTAAAATAGTGTCCATGTACATATAGAAAACAAGTAACACTAATTCAGCCTCATTTCTGATCATATAAAGCACCTGATGAGGGCACAAGTACAGTCTATTGCTTACTGGCACAAAATAACTGCTAACTTCAAAGTTAAGATGCCTTCCACCATCATGTCATTATGATTTGCTAGTCTAACACTGACCATATAGATATGACCTAAATAGACCCCTCCACACAGAATTTATTATGTTTCATTTTTTGTATTTTATTTGTAAAGTTAAAATAATATTCTACCTGAGATGTTGATGTCCGCACAGGTTCCATTGACCAGCACCTTTCCCTCTGGGCAGGTGCATCTGGCCCCGGTCGGGTTGAGCAGACACATGAAATCACAGGACATCCTCAGACAAGGATTTGATGCTGTAAAACAAAGAAAGATCCAAGAGAATAATCTGTCAGTTTGGCCCAAAATGAATAAACAACAACACATTTTGTCTTCAAACAGTGTTCCAAGGAATATTTATTTATAACATTAAGTGGTTTCATTTAAGCCTTTGAAGAGTGGAATTTGTTCATTGCCCGGAGCATAGAATAAAGAAAAATAAGACGTCAGAAAGGCAGCATCTCTGAATTGAATAAACAAGGTTGGTGAACTGTGTTAAGATTGGCTTTGTCTGATTGGAGTAGCTGTGAAGTACTCTCATCACATACTGTACAGTGATTGGCCCAAATATCACATGTAATAATTATGTTTAGGCTCTACAGATGTTGCAATCAGGAAATCAACAGTGCAGTCCAAATTTCTGCCATGGTTGGCTGATATGACAAGAAATGATCCCTAATTATAATTTTAGTGACAACAAGTTGAAAGGATGATGACATTGACAAAAAATATGAATTTCAGTAACAATAATCAGTTGATTTTTTGCTTCTTCAGAAATGCCATGGCTGAGTTTCAAATTTTGTAGAAAAAGTAAAAAAAAAATAAATAAATAAAGTAAAATTAAGCACACACAAATGCACAGAATATGTCTTCATAATTTCCCACTTTTACTATAAAAATATTTCATTAGTGTGTCTTTTTAAAACAACAGTATGTCCTCTTTTTATACAAATAATACTAATTCTGCTACCACTACTGCTACTACTGTTTACTATTACTGCTACTTCCTACTACTTAATACTACTACTACTGCTGCTGCTGCTGCTGCTACTACTACTACTACTACTACTACTACTACTGATGCTGCTACTACTACTACTACTACTACTACTGATGCTGCTACTACTACTACTACTACTACTAATGCTACTGATGCTGCTACTACTACTACTACTACTACTACTACTACTACTACTACTACTACTGCTACTACTACTACTGCTACTCCTACTACTACTACTGCTACTACTATTACTACTGATGCTGCTGCTACTACTACTACAAGCATCTACTACTACTATCCATTTGAAATAAACAAAGAGTTGCTATGAGACTACGTGTGACGCTGCCCAAATTTCTTGCATAAGAAGCAGCATGAATAAAATGTAAATGATTTGGAAGCCAGCTCTGAAGACATCAAACCTCTGTGTCATGGCATTTTGCAAGCCCTGCACATCCCTCTGCCCATAACCTCCACACACAACATGGCCAAGCCTAATGAGTCTCCGAGGACCAAAAACAGCTGCCCTTTAAGTGAAAAACTGACCACGAGCAGCCCAGACCCAAGCTCCGCGCAGCCATTAAAGCACCCATGTAACAAATAACTAAAGTTGGTTTACTGCATGTAGGAGGAAGGGGGAAGAGGAGGATGGGGGAGATGTGTGTGTGTGTGTGTGTGTGTGTGTGTGCATCGATCGGCCATGTCTAGGGAGGGAGAGAGATGGGCTTTTTACTCCACACATGTGCACCACTGTAATGTTTGGAGAGCTGCTTCAAACCTACTCAATGTTAATGGCTATGGACCATTACGTGTTTACAAGATATACAGTAATCTATACGGTGCTTTATAATACCAAAGAGAGTAAGGAGGGTGAAAAAAGTAGTTTTGCTCCACGCTTCAGGGTTAAGATATACATTCTGGTATAGCGGCTTCCTGTTGTATGCTTGTGTGCATGCTCTTTCTTTTGCTTTCAATTAAATCTTACTACTTGCAAAACATGTTTTTTCATTATGTAAAAGCCATACTAAAATCAGCACACACAACTGAACTTGTGAAGTGGCTCACCAAACCTATTATTATGTTTCAATATTTTAAAAACAGATAATGTACCACCCTGAGTGAAATGACATACGTAGAAGTCCCATCCAGTTTGGTTTATATTAAAGGGAGCTGAGTTGATGTAATTAGCTCCACTGGAGGTAATTACTAGTTTAAATAATCTCAGTTATTAAGTTATAGTTAAGTTCTATCTATCCTCTTTATCCACATAGCAAGAAATAATTCAATACTATATTATTTTATACACTTAAGAATTCCATATTAGAATTAGCGTTTTTTGGTGTCTTCATTTATGACTGATATCTGTATAATTACTTATCTGAACCACATGACATAAAAATGTCCACAGAAACTGCCCAAAGCCTTCTCTGTCAGAAAAAAATAACTAAGGTGTACCATTTTTATATCAGATTTCAAAATATACTATTAAAATGAATCTCTGAATATGACAAACCAGGTTGAAATCACACAGCCTTTTTGTGTTGATTCTGTTTTGCCCTGTGGAATAGCACTGGTTAGCTGGTGTTATAACAGTGTTTGGAAGACCTACCGTCTTGTTGCTTGAATCGATGGGAGATCAAAACATTTGTGGGTTTCTCAACACCCAAACTGAGAAACTCAACCGACTGTTTGCCAAATTTGTGGATTTTGAAAACCTCATGTTTCAGTCCAGTCCCATAGATGTAGTCCTCAAATAGGTCTATTCTGTACGGCTGGGAGATGCCTGTAAAAACATGAACAGCTTTTTCAAACATATCATCTGATCTCAGCTGTACATGTTAGTGAACAAAAATGTCTGTGTGCAAAAGTTAGGATGAAAATAATCAATAAACATGTGCATGTGTGAGGAATATTATCAATATTGCTCAAACCCCACCTTTTAGTACTTTGTTTTTTTTTGTAAAGTATCTCTTAGTATCCAAAAAGAACTCTTTAAGTTTGATTTTTGAAATGTACTTCAATGCAAAAACATCATTTGTTGATGTGAGATACAGTACAAGCTAATATTTTTCTCATAAACTCAAAATAATACATTCATTAAATCAATTCACAAAGAAATAGATTATGTGGCATTATCAAGAGCTTTCAAAATGTCAATACACACAGTTGAATAACATTGACACATATACAGAATAATAATTAGAATTATTTTTTGCTATTTAGGATACTGACTTTCTCTTATAAAGGTTAAGGTTAAGGGTTATATACTTATCTAAGAAACAGTACATTTTTGTCCTTATCATTTCAAAACAGACATGTAGAAGCCACTGGCAAAGAATATTTCAACACAATATGAAATTCCAATAGCAGCAAATACAATATCCAAAATACATGAGCAAAAATAAAATCCAATTCTTTGTGTCTTGGCCTTACCGTGTCTATCACTGATTGTGACTAGAGGATCGGATCCGTCAAACCTCATGCTCCCGATATGAGACAGCTCGGGATCAGCCCAGTACAGCCTCTGATTGAAGAAATCAATGGCCAGCCCTGCAGCACAATGGAGATTTACTACAAAATTACACTAAGATTTGCAAAAATCCCATCTCCAAAAGTGGTTACATTTCATTTGAGCAGGATGTAGTGCTTCCTCCCATTTCCTCTTGGCTATTTAGATTTAAATATATTCACCAGACAAGTCAAGGTTTCTCTTATTTGAAAATAACACAGATCTGCTATCTTGTGCTTGGAGATTTTGTGTTTAACCCCGCGCGAGTACAAGTTGAAACCTGGATATTTCCTCTCTCCCTAAAGCTTTGGTTATTGAGCACCTGGCCGCGGCGTTTAAATAAGTTTGCGTTTTTCTCGGATGATGAATAATTCCTGTAGCGAGCAACCGAGGCACAGCATTTGTCCCTTGAACTAAAGCAGGCCAACGCATCTCCTCAAAAGTAGATCAGCCATGAATGTCTCCCTGTAGACTTGGGCACATCATAACGACGCTGTAGTTAGGTATCGCTCCTCTCTCTCATTTACCACTAAGGTCACTTGGTGTAAAATAAATGCATTATGTAAAGGGAGAATACTTAGTGCTCCCAGGGCTGCTATAGTAGAGTATGTCCAAGCATATCGCCCCCTGCACAAAGATATACCTACTGTGCTTAAGGTAATTATTTAAAGGTGCACTGTGTAGTTTTTCTGGTTGTCTCCATAGAGCTGCTGTTCTACAGTGGCATTAAGGTTACATTATATTAAATAATTTATTAAATTACAGGTGTTAAATAAATTGCTTAAGAATACATTGTAAAAACATGTAAACCTATCCACAGATTTGACCAGTCCGAAAGTGGTCACCTGACTGTATCCATGGAAAAAGAAAAGTCCCCTAAACTTGGACCGGTTTTGTCCTTCATTACTTCAGAATAATAATAATAATTTTTAGTTTAGACTTGACTTGATGTGGTTATATTATAAGTCTTCAAGCACAGGTTTAGAACATAGATTTGGATAGTCCTAATATTCACTTTGTTCTGCTCCATTTTCATCCTGGTTTAGACCTCATTTGGTATGGTCTGGTCCTGGTTTAGTCCTGGTCTGGTCCAGGTTGTTCAAGAAATAAAAAAATAGTTTCTTCCCCAGTTCAGATATATTGTGAAGAAAGCACTTTCACATGGGTAAAAATGAGACCTCAGTGTGCTGTCTCCATCTAACTGCAAAGAGCTTTTCTCAGCCACAGAGCAGTAAGTAAGGCTTGTACACTGTTAGCATGCTAGTTGTTGCTGGGATTGCTGTGACCAGTCTGGTCTCTGAAAGCTGTGAAACGTGCTTATAAACTCATGCTAGGAATGTGTTAGGAAAATGAGAATACGTTTGGACAGCAGTTTTCCCACGTTTTTACGACAATAGATAACAGGTCCAGCACCTTCAAGCAGAAGTCACGCACCTGTTGGCCTTCGGAGGTTCTTCTCCAGCAGAACCCTGCGCAGAGATCCGTCCATGGCCGACTCCTCGATGTGAGAGTGATCGCCAATTACACTCCAGTACATCATCCTGAAACACAACAAACACACTTTATATGTCTGAGTCCATATAGGTTAATGCAGTTGCACATTTGATTATCAGATTATTAAAGATTCACTATGTGACTTCTCCTGGTAGAGGGTCAGCGACATGCTATTCTCCATGGAAATGCTACTGTTTTGCCTAGAATGTTTCACAATAGGTCATTAAATGTATTCAACTTCAAGGAAAAAAGAAGGTGACACCATTGGGCCGAAATCACCCTGACCCCGTTCACAACAAGAATGTTTCTGAGCAAAGAAAACAAGTGTAATTTCTGAATGTACTGTACATATGTTAAGCAAAGCAATGGCATCTCTATAGAGGCAAAGTTACATAGTGCACCTTTAGTAGTAATGGCACAGTGAGTTGCTACACTTTACTAGTAAAACCATGTAGCATCCAAGGTCAAAATTAAATTGCTATAGGATACATAATGAAAGAAACTGTACTGATTAATAGTTCTTTTCACACAATGGCGATAACCACCTGCTGAATTTTCAAAAAGTGAAATAGCGGCATTCATTGTGTAGATCATTTGTTACCAAGGTCACTATGACGACCATTAGAGGGCATTAGCTGGACTGCAAAATGTTAGTGAAAGGGAGCCATGTCAGTGAAATCTATGTACATAAAACACTGGATTTAAGCTAATAAGATAACAGTGTTTGACATGTGCCAGATTAAAAACACTAGATGTATCTTAGTTGCAATAACTTTTTGTCCATGACATTTACAGACAACATAAGTTTAACAGTAATGTATTATTTTACAGTCAATAGCAATGGCTTGTTACTGCAACTGCTTATTTTTGCTGATTAGTTTAGTGTAGTCAAGGAATTCTATTTCATAGAGAAATGTTGTTTTAACCATATAAGATCTTAACTAAGGAAGAGAGAGAATATTTACAAACAAAATGTATAATTAATTCAAACTGTAAATCGTTTATTATTTCATGACTTTTTGATCTAGTAACGCATTTGTTTTTGTTATAACATGTCTTAAGGCACATGTTTTGATCCTTATGGTCCAGATAACGACAATTATTAAAATAGTCAATGATTATTTTAATAACCAACTAGCCAAAATGATTCTGATTATTCTGATTGCTGAAGTTCTTCTCATCATCACATTCTAGTTTCCCCTATATAACAGAGCTGTGCATATTACAGCCATGGAGTACAAGATGCTTATGTCAAAAGGGAGCACACCATAACTTACCCTCTGGCTGGGTTAACCGCGATAGCGTAGGGCTCTCCTGCGATGTCAGTGATCAAGCGTGTGCAGTTGGGCCCCTTTAGTTGGCCCACATTTATAGAGTAGCGTAGCTTAGTCCAGTGGGCTGTGTAATAGCTGAACCAGTGCATCCTCGAGTGATCCGTCCAATAAATATTCCCTGTGACCCAGTCTGCTGAGATGTCTCTAGGTCGACGGAAGTCTGAACACTGCAAAAAAAAAAAAAAAGAGGCAAGTTGTCTTTATATTTTGTATGCTTAAAGAAGTAGTGTGTAACATTTCTGATGGTAGGCTTGTTTAATTCATTGACATGTTCTTGCTTAGTTCCACAGTATCTTCATTGAGACAAGCAGGTGACAGCACCAGGCAAGTTACTCATCAGATCTGTGGAAAAGCATTCCTGCTGAGTAAGAAGGTTAGTAAAAAGTTTAATGTCAAGGTGTAAACATTCGAGGCATAGCAATAACATCTCCCTGGAAACCACCTTTAAAAACAAGAAAATGCAATAATCTTTAATAAAGTTTTTTGTGCTTTATTCTTTCACTCCAAAGTCACATTCATCGATGTAAACTACTTAACAAACTACATCTGCCCTGGCACAGTCTCAAGTGTGATTGTCTTTCTGCACTGCATTGACAAAATTACACTAATGGGTAAGATCAGTGCCAAGCCTAAAAGCACAACAACAATATGGTCTTTGTTAGAGAATCTTAATTTCTGTGCTGTACTGAGCTGGCAGTGAGGGCCCGCTAAATAAAAATGTTCTAATGCCTGTAGGTTTGAACCAGCAACCATCTTTAGACAGCTAGCCGCCACGATCCAAATAGGAGGTTAGCATGTGTGCGCTTCTGGGTAGTTCTGAGCCTGGCTCCCATTGATTTTCGTCAGAATATTGTGGCCTCTCGCTCTATAAATGCTGCGATGAGCCTCATCATTTTAGTCTTAAAATGTTTGTATTAACCTGCTGTACATGGTTTTGGTTTTTTTTCTCGCTGTTTTGTCCTGTAACTGCTTTATAGCGTTTTATTATTTTATTCTATGGGTATACCTGAAATTGAATTAAATCAAATAAATAAAAATGTAGGAAAAAACAGGAACAGGTTACGGCTCTATATGTATCAGATTCCCGGAACCCACTTTATAAAACCACACAAAGCACTTGTCACACACAGATTATATTATTGTGCTATAAGTTTAAGTGGGGTTTGAAGGGTTCCATACAGAAAGCTGTCACCGATGGTCTGCAACGTGAAATATGTAATTGTGTATTGAATGGAAGGGAACATGAATATGGTTTGTAGCCTGTTGATAAAGAAAACAGCTGTATAATATAAGACACTCACAGTGACCTTGACTATTGTACACCAAAAGAAACATGGCTCAGGCTAACAAAACATCATTCAATAGACAATTCTTTTGTGATTTAACAATACTTACAATATTTCTGACATTGCTCTTTGCCTGGCTCCTGTCCTGAGATTCTTTATAGAAAATCCCACCGGGGTTGAACTGCGTGGCCCAGATAAACTTTTGTTGGTGAAATAAAACGTCCATGCCGATAATGCGAGCATTCTCCTCGATGCGGGTGAGCAGCTTGTGTCCTTGGCTTTGGTTAAAGGGGTAAACAAAACTCCTGATCTCTGTGTCATTAGAGATGTAGAGGACGCGCTCCTCTGGCCCTGCAAGATAAGTGAGATCAATGTAAGATAGTTGGCTCGTAATTCACAATTGCGCGTCTAGGTTTAAAGCCCATAGTTAATAATGTAATAGTAATAGTCTAAACCAGTCAAATTGATATTGTCTTGGATAATTTCTTTTTTTTAAAATAAAGACCCAATTTTGAACCATGAGTGAGGATGGCACAGCTTGCTAGCTCTGTTAGCTCTCACTTAATGATAAACCATGTCAGAAATCCAACAGGTCTTAGTAGAAGATGCTACTGCCTGGTTCCTGTCCACCATGTCAACTTAAGGTGGTTACTTTGTGGTAAAATGCCTAATAATAGACACATTTTTAAAATTTTACTCTTTAAATGACCAATTACTATGGCATCTGTGATAATTTTCCATCAAAGAAACCCATGGATTAAAAAGCATAGATGATATCATCTTCTTCATACAGCTGCACATTCCATTCTGGACTAGCATAAAGCTATAGCATCCGATCCATTCCCACAGGGAATGTGAAAAATGTACTGTACTGCATTCATGAACATACATAATAGCACGATACCTTTTGCAAGGCAGTTTCCATTGATGTCTTTGTAATTTCTGTCACACGTGCATTTAAAGGCTCCTTTTGTGTTTGTGCAGTAATGTGGACATGCATCAAACTGAAGGCATTCATTTGTTTCTGAAAAGAGGAAATAGAAAATCATTACAGTTAATATTACATGATGTGAATGTGCCATACTTATATATGGGTTTCTTGTATAAATGTGTAGTGGTGACTCATAAAGCCAATACAAATGAGAGTATAAGTAAATTATATTGCCCCAGACAGTAATAAGTGCCTGCATGGTGACATGGTCCAGTCCCAATAGTAATATTGTAATATATAATATATACACATGTAACACTGAAAGTTTGTTTGTTTTGGACAATTCTTTCTACATTTACTGTTTGTTAGCACAGCATCTAAGGACTAACTTTAGACGAACAAAGGTTTTTGTTCAGTTCTGTTCAAAATTGCAGTTAGAGTCATGCAATATATTGCCAACAAAATAGTAATTAAATTGATGTTTTGAAGATATGGAATATTAGAAGACAGAGTCAAAAGTCAAAAAATTAAATGCATTTTTTTTGGTTAGTTTGTTCTGAATACTTTTTAAGGGGAATTATTTCTGAGGAAAATATCAAGTCAGTTTATCAATTTCCTCCATCCTACATGGAAACAAGACCTTCATTAGTTAGTAAAGCATTAAAAACTATAGTATATTAATCATTTATATTTGAGTTATGGTCAAAATGTCCTTACAGTGCAAAATGTTTCACATAAATTTCACATGACTAATAAAAATATCTACCAATGGAACAAGACTTTTTGTACTTAAAATGTTACTCAAGAGATAAGAAAAATAACAACTCTTTGCACTGAAAATGGGAAACTAAATATTATTTCACTTGAATTGCGAGAGAGAGAGAGAGAGAGAGAGAGAGAGAGAAAAACACATTCCATTGGTAGATAATTTTACTGGTCACGTCAAATCTACTGAAATCAAGTTAAATGTTCTTAGAGTAATTTGAACTTATTTAGATATTACTTTTTGTAGTGTGCTTATATGCTTACAAAAAAACACAACTTACAGTATAACACTACTTAATTGCTTCATTTCAAAATGCACTACACAATTGCACCATTATTTATTTATTTTTTTATTACCTTCGCACTGTCCTGTCTTCTGATTCCTCTTGAAGCCTGGTTTACACTGGCAGATAGCATTAGCATTGGTCTGGTTGCATATGGCATCTTCTCCACATGGATTAGTTTTCTTCCCACAAACATCTCCACTGGAATCTACAAATACAGACATGGACTTTGATTAGGGACCTCTACACGCGATCTTACTGCTCACCTGCTGTGTTTGTGCTTTTGATGTGCCAAACTACGAGGGCATTATCCGCTTTCTATATACCACCGTGCACACCTCAAACACGAGCGTCCATACATTAGCATAAATAACAAAACATCATACATAAAATTAGATTACAAAGGCTAGCGCTGCCGGTGACAGTAGACACTTTTTATCTCTGCTTTGATGTAGTTTGTTCAAGTCAATGGGAGGTGGTGGTGCGTACAGGCTTTGCAGTCCTGCTCGTCTGACCCTCCGTCTCCACAGTCGTTGAAGAGGTCACACTGGAGCTGGATCGGGATACAGCGGCGGTTGCTGCAGGTGAATTCGGTTTTGCCACAAGGACGGGGACGACCGGCAACAACTTCTGTAACAAAAGGAAAGCAAAATATTTAGTGATTTTGATTCAAGATTCAAGTGTGCAGGTTTGTACAGGTTTGTTCATGGGTTTCAGCAGAGTAAACTCTACATAGTCAGGTCTGGAAGAACAGAAGTGATCAAGTAGCTCTAGTTGTCACGGTAATGTGTAAATGTCTGTAGCTATGAACATGCTAGGAAATGTTATATTTTTGACTGTTTTATGTTTCATTTTATGTTGTGAGTTCAGATAAGGCTAGTAGGTGACAAATTTGTTTTTCCAAGGTATTTCTGGGAATATGTTTTCCTCACCTTAACTCCTAATCCTAAATCCAAATCCTAAATTCAACTAAACCCTAAGTTAAAGGGTCCATATTATGCTATTTTCTGATCTTTTATAATGCTGTTTCCTCATTAAAACCATAGTTGGAGTTCTGTTTTGTTTCATTCACAAATATTTAACACATAACCACTGCATATTTAGGCTGAGTTCTTCTCTCAAACAGAAAACACCTTGTGATGTCATGTGGTAATACAATAAGTTTTCCAGTGTGCTTTTCCACTTCATAGACCTTCACTATACATGCTGGTAATTACCAATCTCTACTGAAAAAAGGTAAAAGGAGGCTGTTAACTTGAAAACTACCACTTCATGACCTCACAAGGTGGAACTCAAAGTATGTTTTTGATGAGGTAACATAATTCTAACATGGATTAAAGCTCACAAGAGTCAATTTGGCATAATATAGAGCCTTTGTGTACTCTTTAAAACTATCCATGGCTTTCAGAATGATGATGATGATGATGATCATTTTAATGGGAAAAAGTGCTCACAATGTTGCATATTACAAGAAGCTGACACCTATGGATACTACAACACAGAGCCATACTGGTGTTGAAAGCAATTTAAGGAAGGCAATACTTGACTCACTACAGATTTCTAAACCAACACATTGAAAACACTAACATTTGTGGTAGCGTGCTAAAAAAAAATCAATTTGTGGAGTCAACCCAAGTATAGGATTTCTATTGATCCCAGTATGAAATTATATAAAGACAAAAAAATGGACTTTGACATCCAGCTGTAGTCGAACTGAATGAAGCAATAATAGAGAGCAAATTAAGTGCAGGGAGGATGGCTGGAGAAGGCTGGGATTAAGGAGAGATTGAGAGGGAAGATTGAAGGAGGAGTGGGACAAAGGAGGGGGTAATGGAGTAAGGGAGAGATGGATGGATGTTTCAATAAAAAGACAGAGAGAGGAGAGAGGAAAAGATGAATGGTCTGTCTGTCACTATGGGATCTACACACTGGTACTGCTGAAACATGGCAATACACTAGCATACAAATACAAGGCTGACAGTCATTATGGTCTTATACAATAGAAATCTGTTTACCAATATGTCTGTGTCTTTTCGTACTAGTTGAAAGCTTTTATAGATACAAACTTCCATATCAATATATTTTCCTTCCTCTTAAAGCTAGACATATTATCGCAGTGTGTCAAAAAAAGATATTTCTTTACATAACAAAGCAACAAAATGTCAGTGGTGGTGAGAACAGTGGTTGATCAGCAATATGGCATCTTGAAAAAAAGTGATTAAAGTTTGCTCAGAAATGCACAAATCACTCAATAAACAACTCAGAGGCTAAATGAGAAGGGGAAGAACTATAAAAAAAAATGTGTGTACATTTTGTACATTTTTGTGGCCATACCGCATTGTCAAAGCCTGATCTCGTCAAATCTCGGAAGCTAAGCAAGGTTGGGCCTGGTTAGTACTTGGATGGGAGACTGTTGGGAAAATCAGGTGCCACAGGGGGGCGCCAGTTGTAAAAACTGTCGTTGTGTCCTTAGGCAAGGCACTTCACCCACATTGCCTAGTATGTGGTGTGTGCATGAGTGATGGTGGTGGTCGGAGGGGCTGATGGTCCAGATTGGCAGCCTTATTTCCGTCAGTCTGCCCCAGGGCAGGCATGGCTACAATAGTAGCTTACCATCACTGGGTATGGAGTGAATGAATGCTCTGTAAAGCATCTGTCCAAAAAAGCATTATTATTATTTTGTTTACATATGGTTAAAATGCACGTATTAGCTGCATAGAACATACATCTGACCTCTGCATGTGACCTGCATTAAGTTGGTCCTCATCAAACGCACACATACACAAAAACTATGTCAATTGTTTGTGCTTCGTTTGTGCCGTTTTATGCTACAAAAGGTTTTGTTTGTGTTGCTTTAGGTTTTGAGATATTAATGATCTCAGGCTGTGGAAAAGTATTTATCAGTCCTTAATAAGTTGCTTTTCATTCATATTTTATATAATAATACTGAGATAATTTATCTTCACTAGTTTTGCGGAGTTTGCCACCTTCAGGTGAACGGAAATTACATCATATAATTTCTACAAAAATAATAATAAATAATTTTTAATAATTAATCATTTTAGAAATATACTCGCACAAATGGAAATTGTCACAGCACGGAACTTTTGTATAATTTTCTGCCTTTTTTGAGGCTATTTAACATTTGGAGGGGCTGGATGACATCATTGGCCAAAAATCAAACTGCTTATATCTAGAACCATAATAGGACAAATGAAACTACTTGCAGCACAAAACAGCACAAACAAAGTACAAACTAATGGCACCATTTTGGACAGTTTTAGAACATTTTTAAGTTTCCTGGGGGGCTGGCTGACCCCAATTTGACCTATGAAAGAATTGTTAATATCTCAAAAACTAAAACAGCACAACCAAAACTTTGTGCAGCACAAAACTGGAACAAACGGAGCACAAATGACTGACATAGTTTTTGATAGGTGTGCGTTTGATGGGGGGCCAACTTCACGGAGGCCTGCATTTGGGATGACATAACAGGGGCCTCATTTATAAAGCTTGCTTACGCAAAAATCCGTGCGCGCGCGCTTCCTACGCCAACCACGGTATTTATAAAACTCGCCTAAGGCGTGGCTCTTTGCTTAACTCTACGCCAACTCGGGACCTCCTGTAAGTTCTACGCAAAGTCTGGAGACACGGGGAAAAAGCGACACTCGTGAGCAGAAGTGAACAGAATTTGAGGAAGTGTTTGATCAGAAAATCCACGTATATAGAAGAATTACCTTCTGATTTGCGCATTTAAGTGTTTGGTTCGCTAAAATACGGAGAAGGGCTGTTTATTCCACTCATTATACTCCACAATATTATACATTTGACACTGGTGCACGAGCGCGGCCACGTCCCCGGACTCGGTGTAGCGCAGAGTCCCACAGTCCACACCGCGACCATAGACTTCTATAGAACACAGTCTGTGACCAACACAGAGGACGAAATAATGACCCAACCTGAGAGAAAAACTCTTCCCTTGGACGCAGCAGGAGCCAGGCTTTGATTTAATGAACGCAACTTTAACACTTTTACTTTAGTCTTTACGCACCGAGCGCCAGAGTGACCCGAGTCTGCGGACAACACGAAGCCTACTGCCCGAACCTGACCCCAACCAAAATCTTCCCTACATTTTTGTGTAATGGGGAACTCTTGCACATGAGAGCTCATGTTTAGGGAAATCTCATTCACGAGTCACTTTACATGCTCCTTTTACGGTGAGGTGGAGGTGTGGAGAGGGCGTGACGTGACGTAGGTTTACGTGTGCAAATTGTAGTTGCAGGTGGGATTTATAAAGCAAAGATTGCGTGGTTTGGTGCGTGCGGTGGGTTTTCTAAATACGGAGTTTGCGTGGCGCACGCCTTGTCGTAGCTACTAGACGTACGCACTAACTTACGACAACTCCTGCGCAGTTTTTATAAATGAGGCCCCAGGAAGGGAGCAATGCAGGGAATTCTTCTCCTAATTTTGTTCCAAATTCTTGGTCAGACGTTGATGTGGTTTAATTTGTAAAGGAGAGTATTTCCTACAACTTTACAAATGCATCCTGTTCTTTTTTTTTTTCTTTTTTTTTGTTATAGACAAGATTGGGCATTTAATCTGAAGAAATCTTGTAGTGCTAGTCAGAGGTCAGCAGAAGGTCAAGATTTCTGTCTAAAGTTAGAAACGCACTTCAATAAACTAAAGGAGCCCCATGTGACACACATTATACACTGCTGCTGTAGAAGAGGGTTTGTTGTGTAGAGAAAATAATATGTTCGTGTTTCAATAATATTTTGGACTGATAAGAGTTTTTACATTCAAAAGAAACAACAGTTGAAGCTCTGCATGTCAAAGGAATCAGGCAAGTCTGCTTATCAAATAATTGAAGTCGACTGTTCTGTGTATAATAAAAGAAATATTTTTGACCATGTTATAGTCACTTTGAGTTATTCGTGCATGTTTTATTCATGCATGTTTGAGTAATCTTATTTCTTAATGTCCTGCATTTGAGGCACTATTTCTCATTTTCACCTGTCACTATACACAAACATTGCCTTGTTCTTACTGTGTTTATTCATTTACATTCACTACACATGTTAGATAACTGTAGCCCTCTAATTACTAATCTCTATTTAATAAAAGGTAAAACGTAGCAGTAGAAAAACTACCACTTTATGACATTACAAGGTGGAACAAACCATTTTGAGATGTAGACAGACTAATAATAAAGGAACTCAAAAATGTGTTTATGAAACAAAATACAAACTTATTCAACGAGTCAATTTTGCATAATATAGGATCTTTAAATACTCATCATTAAAACTAATCATGGGTTTCAGAATGGTGATGATCGCTTGAATAGGAAAAAGTGTTCACAATGTTGCATACAACAGGAAGGCACCAAGTCATTTGAGGCACAATTTTTTGTTTCATCTACCACTGTACACAGCCATTGCCTTGTTTGTACTGTGTTGATTCAGTTACTTATTTTTATTTTTCAAAAAAACATGACGCATGTAGGATTCAGCAGCATCATATTTTGACACATAAACAAATCCACTGCTCACTACCAGCCTGGTACTTTGTTGTGATGACAGTTTGTTGTGATGACGTCTATGGCGATGTACCAAGAGGCAGCAGGAAATCAGTGCTGCAGTTCTGAGCCGGGTTTGAACTGATCTTTGATCTGTCTTTTTGTTTTAGATCAATATTGTAATCATGTATGATGTATGTATAATGCAAAATAATAATCTACAAGTGATGGATTATATCAGGAAAAATCATAATACATCTTCTGTAATGACATGTTTGTGTATAAAGTGAGTTTGTGAATGTAAATATGTAAGAGTCTCTCACCACACTCCTCTTCGTCAGAGCTGTCTCCACAGTCATCCACTTTGTTGCAAACTTGATCTGAGCGCAGACAGACCTGATCGTTTCTGCAGCGAAACGGCCGTGTGGGAGGGCAGGGGAGTTTAGCTACAGATGAGAAGACAAGACAAACTAATAGATATGTCTTTCAAAACACATCACAAAGACAATGGAATACTCCCCACTAAGAGAAGAGGCACAGTGCCTTTTTAATTATGCATCAGCAGCCTTCAAAGCAAAGGCTCGGAGTGACAAACCCACCACACATGTCTAAGTCACTATGTTTACATACACAGAGAACTCAGAGTGCACTATACAACTGAATTCAGATTGTCTTTGCCCCAAAATCAGTGAGAATAGGAGTGAATGAGGGGCAACGAGATGTTCAGGGGCGTCTAGTAATTTAACATTGGCACTAAAACTTCACAGCTATAATTTCTAATAAAAACAACTAGCATACATATAACCATACTTTTGGAAGAAATAGCAAATAAGCAATATCTAACAGCAATAACCAATATCTTATTTATTTTAATAATTTGATTTTCAAACATGTTGGGAAATGCATTACTCACATTTTATTTGCTTTCCACTGCAGAAATAAGCACACTGAGGCTCTAGTAGGTTTCACTTTCACTTATAGCTGACCAAAGCAAAACAAAATGTGCTCATCTGTGGTGGAGGAACATTGTTGCTGGTCTAAAATGAGTCAGTAAACATCCAAACACGTCTAATATTTGCCTGGCTGTTTCTTATCCAGAACAGTGAACACCTCTTAGTCCAGGGGTGGGCAAACTACGGCCCAGGGGCCGTATACGGTCCTTTAAAACTTTTAATCCGGCCCGCCGAACTGGAATAAATTACAATAATAAACCTTGTTGTTTTATTTGTCATGCATTTCCAGCGTTTCCCAGTAGATGGCGCACTATATATACATTGAGGTGTGGCGTATTATGTTGGCCGCAATGCTTTATGGGAAAGTGTTCTTACAGGAGTTATTCGGACCATGAATGAAGTAGTTGGTGCTTAAGATATAAGACTGCACTGCTTTCATTTTGAGTTGGTAAAAATCAATCAAATAAAACTATGGACTCTGAGTTGTAATTATTAAGGTGTACAACATTATGGAGTCAGATTTTATCACACCCACAGACGTATATCTATGGTTGAATGGTGTGAGCTTTGTTTTTGAGCTGTTACCAGCCATATTTGAAAACAGTCAACACACGATATACATTCACTTGTGGTGTGCAGTGGAACAGGTCTCAACAGCTTTATGTGTTCTGAATGTTTCACAGCAGTGATGAAACGTGTAGTGCGCGTCTGAAGTCCTAGATAAATGTGAATAAGAATGTAATGAATCTGAGCTCTTAACACGTTATGTCCTGTCTTCTGTCCGGCCCTTCAGTCAAACTTTAGGACCCTATGTGGCCCGCGAGCCAGAAAGTTTGCCCACCCCTGTCTTAGTCTGTGCCTTATCTAAATCGGACTGGCGGTTACATGCATCTGAGTACGAAATGGCTTCTCCAGGTGTGCCATTGGAATCTCTGTGATTAACGACACCTCAGTCGTAGTTCCCAGGTTTACGTGCATTTTGATAAATGTGTTTAAACTGGACTAGGCCAGTTGCAGTATCTGTTTTTCCTGGCGTGTATGTAAGTGTCGTGAGTAGCGAACCCACCACACATGTCTGGGTCCTCATCAGAGTTGTCTCCACAGTGGTCTTTGCCATCACACACCCACGTGTGCAGTTTACACAGAGTATTGTTACAGATGAACTCATCGGCACGGCAGAAGAACGCACCTGCAATTACATACAGCTCAGCTCAACTAGCAGCTGCACACAACAATTCAGACAGAGATATAGGACTAAAGGCTATATAATGATGGACAATTTTATCTTTCGATGTAAGATTTGAATCATTTCAGCTCTAGAAAGTTTGAAATAATGGTCTCATCATTTTCTATAACACATATATTTTTGAAACATTTAACTGGTGCTGATTGTTGCTGTCATATGTAAGTGCTGCATTTTGAATCATTTTACCTGTTCATACTGAAGCCTACACATTTTTACTTATATAACAATAAGAAAAACAATAAAAACTCACCTTTCATTCACTTAAAATGTTTTAAGTCACAAGAATAGATTAACTTCATATATGTAGAATAACTGTGAACTTTTTTGATCACTGGCCAATATGGCTCTTGGCTCAAATAATTTTACTAACAAAAATGTAATTGTATATATTTTGTACACGTAAACTTTCATTACATGTGTCTTCATCATATTACGTGACTTTTTTCTTGCGCTTCTTTTTAAAAAAAAGAAAATACAGCAATGGTAGCAAAAAAACTTCAGCAAAAACACAAAAACTTGAATGGTTTTAATATCAAAGACAGTTAATTTCATACTAATTATTGCTCCAAAAATTGGTGCCACATATACCTTGACTGCAGTTCTCCTCGTCGCTGTGATCCATGCAGTCGAAAACATCATCACAGCGCCATCGCCGTGGGATACAGTGAGCACGATTCAGACACAGAAACTCATCTTCTCTGCACTCCTTCACACAGCCAATCTGTCAACAACAACAACAACAACCTCAAATCAACAAAGTGCCCTGTTTACTGGAAGCACTAGTAAAAAAAAAAAAAAAAACTCTGCAAGAACCGTGATTTGACCTGAGAGAATTATATGTAAAATTATTACTGCATTGAAAATAAATTCATACTGTGGAACATTTTAAGTAATAACATATCTATGGAGACAAATAAATTGTCATTTTGGGGCTCCAATAATCTAGTATTGGAAAACATTTGCAATTAAAAAGTGTCTAGTACTAAAAGTTTATGAATGCAACTTACAGTTTACACATAATAAAACAGATGCAAATGAATAGAACAGTAGATGGTTCTATCAAAATCCAATCAGCAAATAATGATTATATGCTATAAGCTTTGCATTGCCAGAAAAAGTTATACAAAAGATACTTAAAATTATAATTTATAATGCTATACTTCAACATTTAATGAGAGCAGACTGACAGGAAGAAGCCAGAAAACGTCAAACATAGGATTTTTTTTGTGTGTGCAAATTACAGGTTACCCATTAAACTTTCTCTGGAAATCATTTGCATATTCATAGTATTATTTGTCATGCATTTCTTCCATCAGAAGGATTAAGTGTGTGTACAGCATGCATTTAAATGAGATGAAACATGAGGGAGCCCTGACCTCATCGGATCCATCCAGACAGTTGTCGTGTCCGTCACATCTGAGGCTGGCTGACACGCACCCCCCACTCGCACACACATACTCGTTTACAGAGCACGAGGGGGCTGCTGGGAAAAAGACAGAGTCAGACTAATCTAGAAATGTGCACTATAGGTTACAACGAATGCACTGATATTACTTAAAGTGGCTGTACCTGATGTCTGTCAATGTATTTGAGTAAAATCTGTTTTGCCCTAATACAGATATAGTGTAAAAGCAGCTCATAAGGTCAATATGAAGCTGGTGTGTACTATTTGCATCTAATTATAAAGTGTTTTTTTAATTTTCTGAGAACCAGGAAGTGTGCTGTTTGCATTATTTGTTGTTAGCTTTATCTTGACTTACCGCTCTGGCCTCTGAAAGTTGCGAGAAGTGTTTATAAACTTATTACAGTGGATATTGGGATTCCAGACAAGCGTAAGGAATAACTTTGGACCGCTTCAAACCATTTAAAATTAATAGCTTTTTTATTTTTGTTTGCAAGACAGTAAAATCAGGTACAGTGCCTTTGAGGAATAAATGTGCCACTTTGTTTTACTATGAGGTAAAATGAAGAGAACTGAAATGACCAAACTAAGGCAACATCAAACTGTGTCATATGAAGTGCAGATAATCTCATATTTATTTTCTACTTGTAACTTTATTACTTCATTATTTTTCCGGTATTTTTAAACTTCAGTCCACTCACCAAAAGCCTGATCTCTCCATGCATCAACACAGAACAGCAATGTAAACCCTATAAGTTGACCATTATCTCCCTGGGGGTTAAAAATCGCAGCATGACAAACAAGCCTTTAGTCAGAAATAACTGCCAAATTTCAGCATTTTTATGTATCTACAAAATGAACTCTTCTGAAACTGAATGCTTTGTTGAAGACTGGCAATTTGCATGAAAGTGCGAAATAAGTGAACAGTTATGAAAATCTAAATCTGAAGCAGGTACTAGTTCCCATTGTCACGAACACAATAGTAGCGCATGGGGGCGAGTGGACAAAGGAGTAATAATGCCTTTATATCTTGACAATTGCACAGGTTTTTCCTTACAAGTCGATAACTGGACACAGGAAAGATGTGCGGAAAGCAATAAGGGCCTTTAGCACTGACCAGCACCCCATTTTGTGTGTTATCTTCTGGTAAAAGGTATTTGTTTTTACCTGTTCCTTGGCAGTTTTTCTCATCTTCGCCCATCTTGCAGTCTTCCTGTCCGTCGCACACCCACTTTAGAGAGATGCAAAGGTTGTTGTGGCATTGGAACTGGTCTTCTGCACAGTGCGCCTCACAGCCTTTCTGCAAATGTAATACACACATATAGTAACAATAACAATGGTCATTAAAGGTGCACCATGTAACTTTTCTGGTAGATCTCATCTATGTTGCATTTATTCAATTACAGGTGTTTTGCTGCTCAAAAATTCCTACAGTGAATGAGCTCGCCCCTCCAGAGATCTGACCTGTAACTTGGCCTGGAGGCATTGCAGGCTTGTCTCCAGGGAAAAAGACACGTTTTACTGTCATACTGATGGACAATCGGAATTAAGCAATAACAAGAGGAGCAGGTGCCGGACTCTCTACCAGAAAGCTACACACTGAAGCTTTATGAGTGGGTGGATTAATGAAGGCTTTTAAAGTTGCATGGTTTGAAGGTTCGCCAATACTAATTGAACCCTCTTAACCCTATATTAATAATAAAAAAAAATTACTATCCTAGTTATTGTATTTTTTATTGCGTTGTATAGGACTTTGGACTTTAATGCACTTATGGAAATCAGTTTGGTCCAGTTGCTGCTGTTGTAAAGTGTTATACGAATAAAGTTTGATTGATATCAGGGTGCATTTCAACATGTAGATACAGAGGTGAAATTAACTGTGTCTGTAAAGCTACTGCTGAAACAGTAGACTCAAGTACCCACAACAAAGAGCTAATGTGGAGAGTGACTATGGCTCTACTTCATAAGCATATGAGATGAAATACAATGTCCAACATTTAAATATATATTTTTAAAAAGTCATTTTATAGCCGGGAGTGCACTAATTGCTTGTCCCTATGGAGATATTCATTTTTAACTGAGAATGTTCCACAGTATATCATGAAACCTATCTATATCCATGGAGAAAGCAGGTGATGCCACCAGCCCAGATCTGTGGAAAGGTAATAGGTAAAGGTTAAAAACACTTACAATTGAATAAATGCAAGGCATGTTAGATTAATTTCATACTGTGGAACATTCTGGAAGAGGAAAAGTTATTTAATGCATCTTTAAACTTTAATATCCTGGGACTAGGGACATATTAAGGACCTACATTTACTTTGTTTTTACAAGCTAGACTTTACAATTGTGATTTATTTGAACATATATTGCAATACATAGCAACAAGTAAATATATCACAATTTCCTGGGACAAAACTATTATTTTATACAAAGTACTTGCTTCATGGAGAGAAGAATATTACCATTAGAATATAGTGTAATTGAATGGCAACAAGTTGTGACTGCTGTGACCCAGAAATGCCGCAGCGTGGGAGCCATAATACTGGGTTAATAATGGTCATGGTGAGAAATTACATATAAAATGTTGAATAGCACGCCATAAATTAACCAGGAATAATGAATCCTAATAACAAGCCTTTGCCCTTGAATTATGCATCACAGTGCATCATTACCACTGATGGGCTATTCTCCACGAAATCTCTTTACACCATAGAATGCTAAATAAGGCACCAATGCGTTCATTTCTGCGCATATTGTGTAAAATTGTAGTACAAATTAGCTATGGAAAGGAAAAATTAAGACATCTAGTCACATTTGGATTCAAAACCAACTGTTGTTGTTTCAGTAAATGCTAAAGTGGATTAAGAGTCCCCACAGTGAGTGAATATAGGGTATTTCATGCACTAATATACTTTAACTATAATATGTCAAACAATGGAAGTTTGTGCCGAGGTTTGTTTTGAAACCAGGAATGGGAGATGTGTATCACGCTAATAAATTATGCCTTTAATGGGATTATTTTCTGAGCCAAAGCAATTTCATTTTCTCCAATTGTGCACTGAAGCTGGGAGCTCAGTGGAGAGTTAATTTATATAAAATTCACCAACCATGTATTGCTATATTATAGAAATGAGGGCATTCAAAGAGAGTATGACGTAATTTATTGTTCTCCTAGACTGAACCTAGAGTGCATTATAATACATAGTCAAAGCTATATATTGGCAAACACAATTCACACTATAAATTATATCATACCTATGTGCATTAGATTACACTATAAAAATCACTTGTAAGGTATACGTAATGTCTTAAGTATAAGTATAAACCTTTCATGCAAAATACCACCTCACAACTTAGACTAAAAATGTGAAACATTGGCCCTTTGAGCATAACTAAAAACTAAATTTTTCCATAACATGATAATTCAGTTCTTTACTCAGCTCGATTATGTTGAGATAGTAGATATTGTTGATTTTAGCAACTATGTGGCTTAGTCCAATAAGGTTATTGGACTAATAATTCATTTGGTCTTCCAGTAATTTGTGTGATTAGATTCTTTTTTGAGACCAAGAGTTCATTTTCATACCTGACAGTTTCAACTGCTCACTAGCGGTCTTCCTCAGACTGGTCACATGATGATGTCTAATCAGCTGATTTATACAAGTACTGCAAGTGAGCAGTCGAAACTGTCAGGTATGAAAACAAACCCTTGGTCTGAAAAAATAGCTTAGTAACATAAACTACGTGGCTTGGTTGGGTTAAATACACAGAGAAGTAACCTTTCATTGACACAGCATTTCCCTATTAGTCTTTTAGAAAGAGGTACAAGAAGAAATACATTTGTTTGGTTAATTCATACAATATAATCAATTTACTTACATTAAAATTTTCCCTAATTTTGAAAATCTTGAAATACAACACATGCTTATCCTCACTGAAATAAATGTTGGCTAGAAACCACTTTAATTGCATCCCATTACAAACCTCATCTGAGTTGTCTAGGCAGTCGTAGTCCCCATCACACCGAAACCTGGAGGAGATGCAGTCTCCGTTGGCACAGGCGAAGTCCTTGTGGTTACAGGTGACTGGCTCTGCAATACAAAAACACAAAACAGCTTCAAATGACGACAATCTCATCATTTCTCTACAATTAGACAGCAGACAAAAGCGCGGACATCCCCAGACATAGTGACAGAGCCAAAATATTGTGTGTTTAGATTCACACGGTAATACCTTGGCAGTCCCCTCGTTCGGGTTAATTAGAAGCATTTTGTTTGAGGAGTGGAGAAGCTGGCAGAGCACACAGGTGCACACAGGTGAATTTCTGCTCTCACAATGGACTTGGCGCAAGGGGCACACATGGTAAAAGCCAAAAATGCCATACCTGTAGTTTAGTGCAGGGCTCTACCCAAACCAGAGCTGGGTTAAATCTATTGTAGGAACTTTTTTTTTAAGACAATTTTAAGTTTTCTGTCACTATGCAGTACTTTTACTTAAGTATTATATTCGTATTTTAATATTATACTTGGTTAAAAGTAAGAATATCTGGCTAAGTGATTATTCAGGTCACAATATAATTCTAAGAACTAATATATAATTTGTGACAACTTTAGAAGTAAAAATAAAACATTTCAATTCAAGGTACTTCTACAAACTACAGAAGTAAAAATACACAAAAAAGTGTGTTTAATTCAACTGTTTATATAAGATTAGCTTTTTTATTCTGATGGTTTGACTTCATAAAACTGGTCACATACTACAGTTACTTAGTGTGTAGTATTATTTAACTAACTGTATTGTACTCTAGCACCTCTGCTTAGAGAGTGAATCCTGTTCACAGTTTCCTTGTTATCAGTGGCAGTTAGCTGTTATCCGTTAGCCGTTTCAGACCTGTGTTATGAGTTGTGCTTACAGGCGAGAGTTCCCAGCAGGCATAGGGGCACAATAAGATTTGCTGCCTCTGCTGCTGTCTTTGGGTCCACCTGCATAATTCTATTGCATCCAACAGTTGACTGGCTTTTATTTGCATTTTAAGTGACATTAATGGTTATGTGGAATAAGCAGTGAATAAATCACTTGAGTGGTGCATGTTCAGCATAAACACACAATAGGTCCAGACGTACAGTGTTATCAGGCAGGTAAGAGGGCTGGAATACAAGGAATCAGGTTGAATTAGTGGAGTCTGGACTGAAAGTTTGTGAAGTGGGAGTGTGAATTTTGCCCTTAAGGTGACAAGCTTATTTTTTCCATTTAGTTAAGCAAAATTTGTTTTTCTTTATATATTGTAATAACAGTTCTTAGGGTCAAAATTAGACTGCTGTGTACAGTCAGATAATCAGGGAGTGCACTGTTAGCATTTAGTGTGATCCTGTGAATAATTAGGGTTCTCGAAATACATCTGGAAAGTGAGGAATAACTTTGAGTCTCTGCAAACCGTTTAAAATAAACTAGTTATGTGTTTCACATTTTTAAGAGAGTAAAAATACCAGCAATCAAACCAACAAAAACAAATATATAATAATACTACTGTGATACAAATAACTACAACAATGAGATGCAATCTAATGTACAGTGAAAGTATAAAAAATAAAGAAATACACTGTTACTAAATAGATAATAAACTATATGCTTATATCTATGTACTGAGATGAATGTTCCTCTGCATTTGTGAATTTGTGTAACAGAACATGCAAATTTGTTACCAGAAACTTTATCATTATGGAAATGTGAGACAAACAAAACACAAGCCAAGAGTGATGCCAACTCCAATCTCTTCATGTTTACCAGAGGGGGCTTGTTCAGAGCGCCCCCTGGCCCTGAGCTCAGGCGCTGCTGTCAGACCTGTGTTCGACAAAGGCCTTGATAGGGTACTCACTGCAGTTCTGTTCGTCTGAGTTGTCTCCGCAGTCATTCTGGCTGTCACACCTCCAGTGGTCCGGGATGCAGTTGTTATTCTCACAGCGAAACTCATGAGGTCCGCACGTCTTTTCATCTTTGTACATGAGGAGCACAAACAAAAGCACACATGAGAATGGAGTCAAACTGCAGGAATATTAATAGTCTGCTCTACATCCAATTTTCTTGGTGCAATCATCGTTTCCTCCGGGTTACCCCCACAAGCAAGTCTGACGCTGGATTCAGGAGATGAACTCAGGGGAGGAGGGAGAGGAGGAAGAAATACCTGCCTCAGTGCTCACTAATCAACCTCAAAAACAAAACTACATGACAGTATTTTGTAAAAGTGAAATTTCGAGGAGCAACAGGGGAATTATAAGCAAGAAAACAAGTTATAGATTTATTTAGCAATGCATTGGACAGCCCTGTACCTCATTTTTTCCATGTATTTGAACTGAATTTTGTCCCTCAGGCTTTAACTAAAGTGTTCACCTGTCAAAGAATCAGGAAGTGCCTGGTTTGCATGCTTGTTGTTGTTAGCATTGCCATGATGGCAAAACCCAGCATTATTGCTACTTTAAAGTCATTTCTATACATTGACTGTAATGTACTGGTCAGTGTTTTTTTCTTGACAACTGGAACACAAAAACTTGGAAAAAATTTATACTGCAAACCTTTTAAAATTAACTACTTCTGTTTTCCACTTTTTTTCAGTAAAAATCAGGTAAAATTAAAAACATACCTGGAGTTGTTTTGTTTGATTCACACTGTTTAACACACAAACCCTGCATATTGAGGCTGAATTCTTCTCTCATAAAGAAAACACTCCACCTTGTGATGTCATTTGGAGATACAGAAGTGCTTTATTAAATCACACTATTAATGTGTAAAGTGCAATGAATTATTAATGTTCATGTGTTACATGCATGCCTTATAACTGAAGATAAGACCAACACAAGCAGAGTTCATGAAAGTGAATTTTACAGTGATGTTATGTTGATCAGTTTTTTTTCTTGTTTCAGAAGGTAGTGACTTCTGGTCAATCCAGCTCTCACAGCTGTGGCAACACGATCGACAAGAGGAAGATGAAGTCTTCCTCTAAGAAGAAAACTAACGATCATGCCTGCACAAAGACATACATCGTGTCAGATGATAAAAGAAGCGTTTCATGGCTCCTCTAATGAGGAAGAGCCGGAAAACATTTGAGCTTCTGCATTCTTCTTATATGAAGCACATCCCTATGGCTCCGCCTGCCCCATGGTGGTCAAGCCTCTAGCGGAGCTCAATGTGGGGCATTTGGCTCAAGTGTGCCACAAGATGAAGTCTAAAGTCCTGCTTCCCCCTAAGAAGGCAGTTCTGTTTTATGACGAAGCCAACTCCCTCAAGGTACACTGCTCTTTCTCTTGTTCTCTTGATAGTTTGTGAAGTTGTGTCTATAAGAATAACAGTGTGGTGCCATTTTTTTAAGAAACCTGCCCAGGACACTTGCGCTTCATCTTCAAAGGTGAAGGAGAGTGTCCTGGAGAAACACGTCTCCGCATGTTTCAGGAGCACACCGAGGCCTCTCAGCTCCACAGGATCGCAGAGCTCATACCTCTAAGGTAAAAAAAAAAAAAAAATATATATATATATATTCACTCAATTTGCAATTTGAATTTCAATTCAACTTGCACATTGTTTGAACAAAACAATAACCATTGTTCTCATTCAACTCAGACCAGTGCAACGCTTCCTTCAGCCTCGGCTCGTAAGCGTGCATATCCCACCGAGGAGAGTCCTGTCTATACACAGCAGCGCATAGCCCATTCTGCTAAACTTAAAGTTGCATATAAATGCAGTATTTCTTCTGACATCGCCTGCTAAATGTCCCACTGCAACACCGTGCGCACTGGAGCCTGCAACCCTCCTGGTCTCACAGTGATGAACAAGAAGACAATGGGCTCATGGAGGGTCTAGGGCTCAGAGGCATCTTTTACCATTGGATGACCGGACGCCAATGGTCCACATAGACACTATTTACTTTTATTAACTGCTGTTTGCTTCTGCAAAACAGAACAAAACTCAAAAAAAGTGTAATGTATTAAACTTACCTGGCCTTCAAATTTTGCGTTTTCACTTTTTGACAACAGAAAATATATCTACATCATATCAGTCCTTACTTTAAATATAATCATCTGGCACAACACATACACAGAAGCATTAAACAGGAAATCTCTATGTTATAATATTATCTGAGAGCCTTTCAAATACATGCACTCAATTATACATCACTTATAGTAACTTTCACTTTCTCATTTGAACCCACTGATTGCAAAGAGGTCATAGACAGTTTGTACAGAGATGAATTGCATGTACATTTATTATTGTTTATGCTTTCCGTTTTGTTCGGCATTTTCACAGTAAATATATATATATGCCTCCAGTGAGCAGTGATATGTGTTCTGTTTACCAGAGTAAATTATTCTTCAGTACACAGCCATCCACCTTAGCAATAAAAGCAGCTATAGGTGAAAACGGCAAACAGACTTCTCTTAAGTTTAATTCAAATAATTGTCACTCACTCCTGTCTGGTATTTTCTAACCAACTAATTTATACAATTTCAAACTATAATGTCATGAACTAAAAATCCTCAGACAGCTGTCAGTGTCCCTCCAATCATTCAAATGTATAGTATCAAAATCAATTGATTTGCCAATGCCAAGAAAATGGCAAACATAATGATTTATGGGAAGAAATAGAGGAGGTATTTCTAGTGTGTTCTGCTTTGTACTCTTACCATGTGAGCAAATGAAAATATGAATTGAATCTAAAATAAATAACGGTTATTGGTGCTATTTGTTACGGCATACAGTACAATACAATTTCTTTTACGAATACTACCACTATTTTACATCCTATTGCATATATAAGCAACAAATAACCACACAAACAAAAATAAATACAAAATAGTTTCTGTTGTATGATCTGTCAAGGTGATGTCATTACCATTCACACATTCTAATTCAAATGAAAAACATAGATTAAAAAACAACACCCGTAAAACAAAAAACAAAAAAAATAGATTTACGTTATTTATGTAAATTATCTGTTTTGTGGACATCTGTTCTTGGATTTCAGAATGATCAGAATCTACAACGGTTGCCAAGTTTGAAAACAAAACATCTTTTGAATTGGACAAACTCTTGAAAATGTTGCAGACAACAGAAAGCTCAAAATATAAGCCTATAGCATACACGCTGACTTACTAAGTGCAGACAAAGCATTTAACACATAAGGCTTTCTGTTGTAGTGTCATTCAACATTCTCCATTTGTGCCTGGCAGAAAGAGCATGAGATGGTTTGATACTCGCACTAGGCTACTCTGTCAGATGGCTTTTCAAAGTCGGGCTAAAAGCTCTCTGTAAAAATACCAGCAGACATCATCAGGGATAATGGCCAAGGTAGAGAGTGAGGGGGGATAGTGCATTTGGCCTGGCTGTCTTTCCAATGTGACAACAGGAGGCGCCGATCAGGAGGGAAAGAGTGAGTAGCACGGTCGGGGACATGAAGAAGAGATTCATTAGGAAGTAGCTCAGTCACTTAGAGCGTATAAAAGATGTGACGCAGCAAAGATGGACCTACTCTTCTCCCCTGTTAAGTCAGACCTCATTACGGCGCTAACACACACACACACACAAAAAAAACTTCCTCAAGGCTCTGTAGTAATTCAAAGTGGGAATTTCTGCAGTGAAGCTCCAACACTGTGTAAGGGAGTGGTTAGAATAATGCGGAAACAAAGTGCCAATATATACCAAGGTTAATCAGAAAAACAGAACAGAATAACAAAACAATTCAAGGACAACAGTAGTGCCAAGAGGGATCTAAACCAGCACTTATGCAATAGTCTGATATAGTATTTTTCCAGACGCTCAAAGTTGCATTACAATTTACTTCAATTATAGCCACAACTGACCAGAGGCAGACTCACACTTCACATTCATACTAGGCAAGGTCAATGAAGTGTCTTGCCTAAGGACACAGTGGCAGCTGGCAGAAGAGTCACTGCTGCCTCAGTGTCGTGTTTGGAATTCCAAGTACTAATTCCAAGATCTAACAAAATCGGTCATTGACAAAGTGGTACGCTGCTTTGTAAAACATATTTTTAGTTCAGTGTTTATCCTGGTGTAGTCCTTTGTCCCTTCTTAAGATGTAGGTTATATTTCTTTACAAAAAAAACCCAAAACTATTTAGCTATTTAGTTAAGATATTGTTTAGTCTTGGTTTGCAGTAGTTTTATTATTAAGTTCCAGCCTAGTGTTGTAGTAGCTGATTTTATAGCGACTTCATCCCTCAGCTCATGATTAGCATAACCAAAGTACAAAGGGATTTTTTTTTTGGAAAGTGAAACATCAGGCATCAAAGCAGATACTGTCTTTTAATGCCACTTAAAAGGCTGTTATATGCAAGGCACAGACTAATAACATCGCCAACAACCGCTATTATCCTTCCAGTGTCACTCACAACACCTGGCAGACAGTACTCAGGGAGTAGAGAGAAGAAAGCGCTTTTCTGGGCATTAACATAAACATGTAAACTGCAATTTAAATTTATTTTTCAGAAAAGTCTAGCTTATTTAGCCATAGGGAGTTTTTTATATTCTGTCTATCCTTGAAAATTACTTTAGCTTCAAATAAAGAAGTATTTGAAAATGTATAGCCACAAAATGTTCAATCCATGGTTTGTATTTAATAACACTGGACTGTAAAATTACTTTTACTATTTACCATTACTCCCTTCCTACTACTTACATTTAGCAGAAGATACAAGCTAGAATTGTTACCACTACTCCAACATACATACTGCAAATGCTAATAATATTACCTCTATACGTCTACTATGACTATTTGGAATAATTTGCTTATTATCTTGTAGAGATAATGGTGGTAGAAGCCTTCACCCCTTTAGTTGTACTGTGAGTAGTTTAATTTAAAGGTTAGGCAATTATGCTATAAGACAAGTCGCAGTATATTTTGATGTACCCTTCTTGTTACTGTTGTCTTTTCCTTGCATTTGCTACACACCGACTATGAGTTTCAGGGTGATTAAAGGTCCTATATCGGGGTCTCCAACCTTTTTCCACCGGCGAGCTACCTTTACAAAAAGAAAATGCCTAAGAGCTACTAGTTTTAACAGTAGGGTGACCAGATTCTAAACTCAAAATGTGGACACACCCGGGTTCCGATGTTTGGTATAAATAAAATTGTGAAAAGAGCGTGAAACATCATAATCTGAGGGGCTTCTGACACTGCATTTATTGCTTTGTTGTCATTTTCAAACACAGTTTTCAGTATTTTGGCACAACAAATGACAATTTCCGCTCCTCTTTACTGTTGGCAGGGATCAGATTAGATTAGATCAGAAATTGTGATAGTCCTGTTTTAGTCCTGGTTTAGACCCAATGTAGTCCTGCTTTAGTCTTAGTTTAGTTCTGGTTTAGATCAAATTGCTCAAAAACAGGGACACCTGGGACATCTCTTGTATAAAATTGGGACAAATCACTGGTTTTGTATAAATCTGATGGGACAGGGGACACAGGGCTCAAAACTGGCACTGTCCCAGGTAAATAGGGACGTCTGGTCACTTTATTTAGCGGTCACAAGAAATTGAGCATAGGAAAGCCTTAGATGGGAAACAGTTAGATATTTATACAGTATAAACCTTTATGCATTTATTAGTGCACAAACTTAGTCATTGATTAGTTAGTTTAATTAGTTGATTCAGAAATCCCTTGGCGAGCTACTTGGAAGGGGGTGGAGAGCTACTGGTGGTTCCCGAGCTACAGGTTAGAGACCCATGTCCTATAGTATGCAAAATTTACTATTGTGAGCTTTTACTCATTTTAGAACTTTGATACCTTTTCAAAAACATACCTGGAGTAGTGTTTTGTTTCATTCACACATGTTTGAGTAAACTTTTATTATTAGTCTGTTTACATCTCCAAAGCTCAAAATGCTCTGCTGTACCTTGTCATGTCATGTCCTTGTAGTTTTCAAGTTAACAATGACCTGTTACCTTTTGTTCAGTAGAGATTCACAATTCCAGGGCTGAAATTATCCATATGATTCTAGTGAAAGTGTCTGGAGTTTAAAAAAACAACAACAGTGGAGCGCTTCCTTTACCACATGACATCACAAGTTGGAGTGTTTTCTGTTTGAGAGAAGAACTCAGCAACAAAACACAACTCCAGAGATGTTTGTGATGAGGAAACATTACAGCATAGATCAGATATAGTGTAATATGGGCTCTTTAATATTTGCTCTAGTTTTGTCTATTAATGCAGCTATATAGATAAAGTAAGTGAGTAAACAGTCTTTTACAAACTTGCTGCCTTTCTCTGTCCCTAGCTGACCAACAAAGAGCGTTAACAGATGGAGCATGCCACGCTTTGGTCCACAACACAGCCAACATACACACACACACACACATTACAATTATCTATTTATCCGCCTGTCTAGGTTAGGAACGGAATCACAAAATATCTATTCAGGCCCGACGGCAAATTAAAAATTGAAGGCGTGATGAAAGGCAGCCATTCTCAGAAGAGGAAAAGAGACAGCTCGGAACCAGCTCTTTGAATTCAGACATTTTATTTTTTTCATTTTATGTTGTGAGCGATTTAAAGACAAAAGAGGAACCGACGAAAGGAACAATGGAACAGAGCACGGACGACAAAGCGCCTGGCAGACTAGATCCACATTTGGAGACATATCTGATGGCTGATAATAAGAGCCTAAATCAGACTAAAAGGCTTCAGTTTGATATGATGACTGACCACTGCATTGCTCTGACAACACAGGGCTTTGTAGCAGCGATGGAGACCGATTTTCATACAAATACTAGTACATACAAATAACTAAACTGGGTCTAAATCCTGTCTTTTAAATTGGGCTTTTAGGAGAATGTGGCTAACACAGGACGTGCAATGGTTTCTAGACCCTTCTGATCAGATACTTGAGGAAAATTAATTTACTTATCATATTGTTGTTTTTTTTTTAAGTATATCGCACTTTGAAATCATGAATCATGTTTTAAAGTGTTTGTTTTTCAGCCCATATGCAAGACATGTAACCTCAGTGGCACTGAGGATATTAACAGCACAGTGGTTGCATGAGTTGTAATACCAGCTGTAGTAGTAGTAGTAGTAGTAACCATAGTAATAGTCGTAGTAATAGTAGTAGTAGAAGAAGCAGTATCTCTAACAAAGGTAGTACATAGTGGTCACAGTAAACACTTGTAGTAGCAGCAGGTTTTCTTTGATTAAACTTTAGAATAAATCATTTGTTTACGTTTACTCAAGAACTTCATAAAATAGTACACTAATTAAAATTATAGTTTGTTTTTAGATTGTTGGAAAATGACATTGCAGAAGCAGTAGTAGACACATGAGCAGTAGCATCAGTATAAAGCAATACATGTAGTTAAAGAAGAGGTATTTACTTCACATTTGCATATGAATCTGAAATATTTCCTGCAAGCAGTGACTGAAAGTTCTCACCATCCCCTTAAACTGGAAAAAAGTCTCCAAGGTTGTTTATTTGCTACGGTAATAGTGTCTTTGACCTAAACTCAATTTGTTTGTGTGAGTCTGTGAGGGTGGGAGGCGCTGTGAGTGGTGGTGTGAGGGTCTCAAGTGCCTTTTTGAAGATTGGACTGTCATCCTCCTAAAATGCCAGAAACCTGAGATAATAATGCTAAGCTGTCCTTCAAAATATTCTGTTCTCCTCCTCCAAACACAAGGAATAAACTCTGTACATTTAGATGCAATGGGCTGAGTCTGAGACAAGCCAAGTGGAAAATGGCTGCAGAATAAATTAGGCGTTTTGTGCTTAAATTGAAAAGAACAGTGATGTCTAAACTGGGCTAATTTATGATTAATTAAGTGGCACAACTCACCACAGTTAGCCTCGTCGGAGCCGTCAGCGCAGTCTGGGTCTTCGTCACAGACCCACAGTTTGGAGATACAGTGCATGGATGCCTTACACTGGAACTGGTCTGGAGAACAGGTGCTCTCAGCTGCAAATACACAGGGATATTGCTGGGTTTCAGACATCACAATATAGGCAAGTGATTTTAATACAGATGGAGGCAGGAGAAATTTATGTTCAAATGCAGATTTTTGTAGTAACACAATGAGTTCTGTGTAGTTACTAACAGCCAGCATCAAGTTCAATATTTGTGAATTTGCCTTTTGAATATTTATTTTGAAAATACCGTGATATCAATAGGTAAAAAAGGTGCTTGCCCCCAATCTGAGAGTAATTGGAGACAGGAGAACATTGGGCTGACCCCGTATTAGCCACCGAGGTAAACAGCAGTGGCTCGCATCTACTGGTCCTCATTTAGGAAAATACACATTGATATCGGATTGATGATTTGGTCTGAGTACTCGCTAATACAACACCTGATAAATGTGCGCTATCGGAGCTTTTACAGATACTAGCACCAGTATCGGAACAATCCTATTTAAGATGAAACCAACAATTATCAAATTAAAACTCTTCACTAATAATAAATAAATGACTTTCAGATTTATAACATACAGTGTCAAAAAACAACAGATAAAAGCTGTACTGATTAAAGCTTTTGTCCTATATAAAGCACTTAAGATGTCCTCATATCCCATTAAGGTTTCATTAGACCGAGCCTCTGTGTCTGCTCATTGTAAAACCGCATTTTAATTTCAATGGTGAGGCGTTCATCATAAAGACCATTGTAAACTGTGTCCAATCAAAACCAGAAGTATTATAATGGCAGTAATTAAGCTACTATTTAATTAAACCATTTTCAAACATTTCTTTTTAAGGCTTGTCTTTCTTCTACTTACTTCCTTTGCACCGTGCTCCCTCTCTCTCTCTCTCTCTCTCCCTCTCTCTCTCTCTCTTACTCTGAGCTATTCTGCAATCACATGCAAGACAAATGCAGCTATCTTCACTGCTTGAATGGGGTGTGATATTCTGATGAGTTACATCATGGTACTGAAATCTGTTCTTATCCTGGCACTGATTCAATATCTAATCCCCATCCGACAAGAACAGGCTCCAACAAGGACTGCGGCTGCAATAGAGAGTGGTGTCTGTGTGCTGCTAATGGGCCCATGGTCAAAAGATACAGGTGACCCAGTTAAAATGAGTTTAAAAGTTGGTAATGAGATTTTAGGAGAAGAAGAAGAAGAGGAATCAAGTATAATGCATATAGATATAGAGGGTTATACATATTTAAATTCAAACTAATTGACTAATGCATTTTGACTCAAGAGATTTTGATTTGAGCGACATATTATGCTAGATTAAGGGGACAGGGGACAGGGGACAGACTCCAATCGCTTTCATACATCACTCTTCCTTCTTTCTTTTTATGTTATTTTTATTATTTTTATTTTATATTGCCAGCCTTTATTAGACAAAACAGTAATAGCTTGAAATGGCAGAGAAGAGTGGGGATATACATTCAGCAAATTGTTTTACTGAGGCTCACTGTACATAAACATTACGTAAGTTTGCTGATAAAGGGTCCACCAAATGTTTGTCTATGGAAATGTTATTACTCTGCCTTTCATGTTCCACTGTATGGCATTCATACTGTAACACTTCATAAATATGACTTGTAACTTAGCCCGCAGTCTCTGGAGTCTGGAGATAGAAACATTTAATGACCTACTGTTCCAGGGGGGAAAAAAAAGCATCTCCATGGACACTAAGACCACTAAGAACATGTTACATAGTGTATGGTTAAGTAGTATAGTATAGTATAGTATCTAGCCATCATTTCTTTTCAATTCATCCATTTTTGTCTAACCAAATTTCCTCACATCCTGAACTTCTCCATTTCTTGACTAAAAAGTTCTTGCGTCCTCATAAACCCCAACAGAAAAACAGACGCTATTATCAGGAGTATTACTGTGTATCTTTAACATAATACAGGATGCAGTAACATTAGACTATGCAGACAGTGTGGGCAACCTGATCAAAAGACACCATTCACATTCATACACAGCTAAAAGCCTAAAAGCCTCGAGCGGTGATGGCAAGAAGATGACTTACGGCAGTCGGTCTCGTCTTCTCCGTCTCCGCAGTCGTCCTGGCCGTTACAGCGCAGGTTAAGTGGGATACATTTCTGTTTTCTGGTGCACTTGAACTGACCCGACAGGCAGATGTAAGTCTCTGTGAAAGAAAAGCAGGGACCAGATCAATAGTGTGAAAATAAAGGCGTGCTAACACGTGGAGCTGGCACTGGCAGATTACTGACACTTCCTGGGTGGGATTTTGTGTCCATGTGTCTGCGATGATCTTATTGTCATTTTATACACTGGAAAAAAAACATGAACCTGTTTTTCTCATGTATTTGAGCAGTACATATATATTGTATTATCAGCTCTTGAGGATGCTATCAGCATATGATTTTTTTGTGTGTTTTATTGTCTGACAATCAGGAAGTGTCTCATCAGCATGCTAGTTCTTGTTAGCACTACCAGATGCTAGAAATGCATTGCGTAAGTAGGGAATAACTTTGGATCATTGCAAGCCATTTTAAAATTAACTAGTTCACTAGCACATTTTAAGACAGGAAAAATCGAGGACAGTGCCTTTGAAATGGATATGAATCTTGATTTGAGCAGTCTTGAACTGCCTTATTTTATCTAGGTTGTATGGCTAGATTTTTAACATTTCAAAGTACATTTTACTGATTTCTGTGTTTTTTTTCTAATTTCAAGCAAAAAATATCTTTACATGGAGGAAGAAGTATTGTAGTCATATGGTCCACTCAGACTAGACCAAATAAAACATTGAAGCGACTTGGTCCACTGATGGATTCACTTTCTTACTGATGAAAATACACTGAAAGTCCAAAGATCATTCTAGAACTAGTCAAATGACTTGAAATAATTTGAATTAACTCAAGATACATTGTAATGAAGTGTCATGGCAGCAATCTTGAATATTATCATATGTTTCTGTATGTGTTTCCATTTCATAGGAATGTACACCACAGTAAGCCCATTTTAAAAGTATCCTTCAGCTTGGTAGGTCTGAACCATGGGTAATTCTACAGTGAAAATAGTGGATGTTGCTCCTTGTTTTATTCAATGCCTTGACAAAGACATATTGGGTTACTTTGCTTGAATCTCAAAGAGGAAGCTGGTTTGTTCCAGGCATACTTATGTGGTGCAACAAACAAGAGAATGTTTATACTTGATATATTATCCATATGTTTAACAACAATGATCACATTCATCACTTAGATTACCTAAATGTCTGCATATTGATCTCTTAAGAATATCCGTACTTATATTACTAATGTTACATAGCTATTAAAGGGTTTCAAACAACACCGCAGTCACCACTGATATAGCAGTTACACAACTGAAATCAAAAGATTAAACAGTATATTTTAACACAAAAAATGGTTTGGATAAATACTTCTTTCACCATTTAAGATTATGCTATGTTTTTGATAAGTTTCCAATTGACTGTCAACTGTACATAATAATGCTTTTATTTAGTTCATATTTATATAGGAGATAAACCAATGCAATATACAGCAATATCAGTTGTCCAATGTAGTAAAGACTAATTAATGATTGCACAGTAATTGTGCTTATCAGTAAAAGTAAAAGGCATGGTTCGTACCACAGTTAGCTTCGTCTGAGTTGTCACCACAGTCGTTCTCTCCATCACAGATAAAAGGAGGCAAAGCACAGAGCCCTGTGCCGCACTGGAAACGGCCCGGCTGACATTTGAATTCAGCTGTAAAAAAGACAATCAAAATCACCACAGGAGCAAAGAACAGCCTGAACTTAACCCTTTCAAGAAGTACAAGTTAGGAGCTATTCAAGGCCCCATGTTTTGTGCCGAATCTGAATAGATCTGTCAATTAAAACAGAAGATTCCTGCTGGCAGACATACCACCTGCATACTGACATGGAGACGGATATGTTTTTGCCCATTCTTTGGAACATTCCAGGCAAAGCAATAGCATCACTATGGAGACGGGCAAGAGCCATGCTTTCTACCAGACTATTTTTGAAGTCATACTAAACATTACCTTGTGTAAAGGTCATATTCACAACAACGCATCACTCGTGGTTGACAAAATTATTCTGATAATTTAGATTAATTTCATCAACCTAGTCACATACTTCAGGAATGGTACCAGATTTTGTTGTTTGGTCATGGTTAAAAAAAATTAGTAATTGTGATATTTCTTCTCATAATAAATGAACACTAAAATTCTATATTATGTCATCTTCCCTCACATCAAGAAAACTCAATCTCGTGTCTACTGGGAATTGTGCCTCATCTCACCCTTATTTCTGACAGCAACCTTCTAAAACATAGAGCTATTTTTGAAATCATATTAAATGTGTAGCCTTATGTTTGTAAAGGGCATATTCACAACATCATAACACTCACGGCAGTCAGCGGGCTCGTCTGATCCGTCCCCACAGTCGTCCACCGTGTCACATTTCCACCAGAACGGGATGCATTCGTCAGTCCCACAGCGAAACTATTACAGAGAGAAAAACACATTTGAAGTCAACATAAACACACAGATTTTCAACCTCCTTCAAAGTCGAAATCAATGCACGAGGTTTCTCACAACTCGCAACATATGTCAGAAGAGAAAGCACAGTGTTAAAGACCAAAGCAATTTGTCTTAAGGAGAGAAAATGACTGACCGCAGGCAAAAGAGGAGCTGTATGTTTGAACTACAGCCAGCAGGCATAGCATTTTAACCATGGGGTATGGGCGAAAAGGTTTTTATACTATGTATAAGCATTTTATACCATTTGCATGTAGATTTGTATGTAAAATATAGTGCATTAACATTTGGGTGCAAAATATTAGCCTAATAACGGCCTCTAATATTACACTTACTTACAGATGCAGTGTGTAACTTTCTGAAGGTCTCACCTGCATGATTCCATGGACATAAAAATTGAAATTATACTTTGGAACTTCTCAGTGGAGACAGATTGACTTTATATTTATTCCCCAGTATGGCATAAAACCTATGGAACAACTTCTCCATGGAAACAAGCAGGAGGAGGCCCTCCTCTAAGCCAAATAGGAGTCAGGTTTGTGGAGATGCAAGCCTGCTCACAGTAACGATACATGTTTTTCAATGCCATGAACACAACCAAAAAAATGAAAAAAGTGGCAAAAGTTACATACTGTCCTTTTAAATATTATCTGTATATCTTTAGAACCACAATTATTTAAGTATAAGTAAGTAAGGTGGGGAAAAATAATTACTTCCTAAGATCTTTTTTACTGATGGGGATGTATGTATGACTATATTCAAAATAGAGTTCATATTTGTTTAGGATAAATACTGAAAGATTTAAAACTGATAAATAAATGCTAAAAAGTTTGTAACACTTTAAAGATTACCTTAATCTCCTCCCTGATGGTTCTAGACTTCACAGTAAAGCGCTGTCCCACTTACCTGGCTGGAAGTGCAGTTGGAGAGGCAGGTTTTATTGTCAGCGGCCAAGTAAAAATTAGTTGGACAGGCACATTTGTGTTCTCCACCGGGGGACAGCAGACACAGGTGGCTGCATCCTCCATTTGCGATCTGACATTGGTGTTTGGGAACTGCGGAGTAGGACAAAAAAGGACAAGCGGTGCAGCTCAGTACGCATTACACAAATCATTTGCTTCTTAGCGGGGTAAAGAGTAGCCAGGGTAACAGGATACAGTGGGGTAGGAAGGCGTGGGTCTGTACTGTGCCAGATGGGTCTCGTACCTTCGGGCTGGCGCAGGGAGTGGTAGACCTTGATGGATTTGATGGCCTGCCAGGAGTTGAGGAGCTCCATTCCCTGAGCACCAGTGGTCTTGTGAGCACGGCGCAGAGATTTGGACTTGCCATCGGTCCAGTAAACAAAGTCCTCAAACAGGGTCAGAGCCATGACCCCCTGGATGTGATCGTAAGACACTGAGGAGGGGCAAGTTTAAGAAGAGTTAGTATGATTGTGATAAAAGATGTCCAATTGCTATTTAACTCTCTGGATTAAATGTGACCTTTTCAGTACTACTGATGTTCATTTGACAATATTTGTGACAACAGATTGATTGATTTTAAGTCCTTTTTAGATATTGGGTTATTGCTGGATTACAGATGACATCACTATATTCAACTGGCCAATAACAATTTAACAAAGATGGGGCAAGCAAACATTGTTAAAATGCTGTTTTATTTGTTGAAATATAGCAAAATGTATGTTCTAGTAATCACTAAAGGAATTTTCCTTTTTCTCAAATTACAATGCATTTTAGTGATTAGGAGCAACTAGCTCTTGCCCCCCATTTAGCTGTATGACATCTTTGTGAGAAAATCCCATATTCAAGTAGCAAAATTACACATGATTTTCAAAAACATACATTTCCATAAACCTGTAACAACCTGATAAAGGCTTTTAAAAATAAAAACCTTACCACTATGATCATTTATCAAGTGAAACCAATGGAAGTAATGATCAGCAACAGACAACTGTAAATGTAGTATCACAAAAACAGCCCCAAAACAAATAGTTTAATAAAATATCCATATGCACTAAATTGCAATGAAAAACAAATGAACTGGACTAAATGTTATTAAATAAATTATATCAACTTGCTCAAAATTCAAATAGGCAGTATGTTAATAACAAGATGATCCTCAATACAACTTGCAGTATATGTCCAGACATAATACAATAAAAGTTCAAATGTAAGGACCGCCACTAAGTCACCTTTGTGTCTTTGGGATCCGTCCATGTTGGAGAAGAGGATGTGGTTGTCATCGGCCCAGTACAGCCTCTTGTTGGTGTAATCAATGGTGAGGGCAGTGGGGCTCAGCAGCTCTGAGTCAATGATAACCGTCTGGCCCCTTCCATCCATGCCAATGCGCCCAATGTAAGCAGGCTCGCAGCAGTCCACCCAGAAGACAAAGCTAGCACAAGGAGAGAGGAGATAAAGGTGTATAAGCATGGCAAGAATTCAAATGAACGCTGGTAGAAAGGTAGAATCCCTAAAATGAAAGCTGGCTTTAGGAATTTGAGAAGACATCCATGTTAAGCATTTTAAAATGGTTACTCTAGCCTCAAGCAGTGGAATAGTTGTATGGATTATGTTTTCATGTTACACTTTTTGTGAACTTCAAATGATTGCTGTTCTCAAACCTGGTAACACACTCACCTCCAAGTATGAGCCAATCAGCAGCCCCTACCTACAGATGATTATCAAATTGCTATTCAATTCATCATGTATTCATTGTGTCAATTTAAGTAGCTAGAATACTTTAGAGTATTATGGCCTACTTAAAAGTGTATTTTGTAACTTTTCATGTGGAGAGTTTATCACCTGTTTGTCTCCATGGTGATGTTACTTGAGCTGGGACATTCCCTTGTATGCCAATAAACTTACCTCTGCACAGTAAGATGAATAAACTAGGGCAAGGTGTGTTTTAAAGGTCAGATCTCTGAATGATTTTTAGCAATTAAACACCCATAACTGAAAAATAGATGAGTGAATGCAGTACTGTGGAACATTTCGGCAAAGTAACAACATCTGGAGACAAGCAGACTTTCAATAAATGCATATAACTAATGCAAAAGGGATAACTGATGTGAACTAAAGCTAATATCGATGGTAAAATCAATCATAATAGTAAAACTTGAAACTTAAAATATTTTGGAGTATTATGCATTTTGTTACTGCGATATGAGTGAAGACTGAGTACCCAGTCTGAGGGTCCAGGGAGAGGTCTGTGGGGTTTTTGAGCCCAGAGCTGATGAGCACTGTGGGGTAGAGACCATTAGCTTTGGACACCTCCAGAGTTTTCCTCTCAGCATCACACCAGTAAAGATTTTTCCCAATCCAGTCCACAGCCAACGCACTGGGAACCGAGGTCCTGTGTACAATCTGGAAAAACAAGAGACAAGAAACTCAGAGTGAAAAGCAAGGCATTTCAATTTATTCACAGGATGAATTTTCTCATTATAGGTGCCATTTTCAAGACTTTTAAAATTTTAACAGGGAAAATATTGTTAATTTTTATCATCATATCATTTTTATCACCTTGAGTAGTCACCTGTCAGACTTGCTCATGGTCACAAACACAAGTACTTAATAGTACTGTAAAAAGTCCCAATTACAGTCAGAGAAGTCTGTAAAAGCTATTATAAAGGAATATTTGTAAATGTATGTATTTTTATCTTCACTGAGGATAAAGTTAATGGCAGACTCATTGTACTTGATAACTTTGAAACTGGAATTGATAATTCATAGCTTCCTGTTGTGACATTTTGAATATTCACCATTCAAAAAGAAATACAATATTATATAGTTTTAAATTATATAATTTTAAATTGTTGATTTATATAACACTGGTAAATCTGAACCAATATATACTCTAGATAATTTGTTCTTTTGGCCAGCTTGGCTTTAACTATTATATTTTCCCCTCGGAATAAATAAATGCAATTCTGATTATAAGGTTTAAAAACGAAAACAGTATTTTGAACCATTTTGACAGCAGCTTTTATGTAAATGTCATAGTAAGAAAGAACTGCAAGGCAAAATGAATTCAGTGACTGTTTTACCTCGGTTGAATGTTAAAGTAACTCTAGCAAGGAGAGAGCTTGTAGCGTTTCTGATTGAAGTTGAATGATTGAAAATTTTATTTTGAATATAAATGTAATTCTAAGGTGTTTTTTTCAGAATTATGTAAAAACATTACAAAACCCTGTATGAAGTCTTCCTAAAGTCTCCAAAATGGTTAATCTCCAAGAACATAACATGGCGTGCAAAAACAAAATCCTCCTCATCTATATTCCTCGATGCGCACTTATTATGCCAGCTGGCAGAATAAAGCCAATCCTCTAAAAACACAACAACTTTGTCTGTAGTCCCAGTAGAGTCGCAATCTGTCATTAAAAGACATGATGGACTTTGAAATCCTTTCTGTCATCATTTGCAAAAAGTATAGTCTTGGCAAAAAGACCAGAGCCTTCCCTTATAAGCAGTAATTGGACCCGTACTTAGCCTCAAACTGTCACTGTTGTGTCACTCATTGTGAAGTATTTTCATCAAAACTGCCTCCTCGGGCAATAAAGACGATACAGGCTGCATAAGGCCTGTCCCAGTCTCAGTATCCAATAACATCTCCCCTTTCAGTCCATTTATCAGTGTAGGGGGATATCCGAAGACCGGACACAATTTATGGATAGGGCTATCATGGACACAGATAAAGTTGTAGCTCAACTTTGTGCTACTTTTTTGACATTTGAGTGACTATTTTTGATGTTCACTTTATTCAACCTAAGCTTTATAACCTAAGCCAACAGTGGTTCTGTTCAAGATTCTCGCTCAAGATCTGGAGATGGGTCACCGGGTACATTGTAATCCAACTGCTCCTGACAGTCCACACTTGTCCCAGTGGCATTGAAAGAGTCAAATGAAGGACAAATCCGTATGATACAAAGAGTCTACAAATACAAAAACATATTTAATTTCAAGTGACACAATAAATGTCTTAGTGCTATCTAATACATTATATAAGATTAAAGGGTTAAATATTCATGTATTTTTGATGAATTTTGTTTTTTGTTGAAATTATCGACAGAAACTGATTCGATTTTGCCTCCTCTTGCGTCTGGTGAAGATGATTATTAATATTATTATATAAAAGGATACGATCTAACCTCTTCTTTTTATACTGTTGATAATTATACACAAAACCCACTTGAAGCAATAATCAGTGCTATACTGTTAAGCATTCAAACCAAGGAACAACAAAAGAAATCTATACCCTTTTCTAAAACAAAACAAGGAGCTCACAAATAGAAAGAATAGAAAGCAGCCATACATCTTCAGTATGACAATTGAACAACAGACAATAACATTTCCGGAGGCAGAGACTAGCACAGCGCCGTATCTCCTTGTGTCCCTGCCATTCCCTGTTAGCCGTGAGAAGTGGCCCGGGCTGCTCTCGTATCAGCAGATATCAGTGCCTCATCTAATTAACACAACGTGAGAATCCCAGTCTCGCACAGTTTGTCCTCTCGCTAAGCAGTGGCATCGGCTCCAACTGTGCGGGCGCTGGAAGCAATTGAGCTGAATAAACCTAATGCTCTAACACAGACAACACAGCACTGGTAATGAAATATAGGACTATTGTATGGGCCTGTAGCACGTTCTGAAGTATGATGCATTTACGTAAAAAAAAAATTGAGATAAACAATCAGTACTGAAGAACATTACTAGGGATACTGTGTAACCCAAAACAATTACACACAGTTAAGCCTTTTCTAAATGACCATAATCATATCTCTCAAACAGTGCTGTAATGCAGAGTGTTTCTCCCCTCTCTCTCCCCCTTATTTAAACTACAGCTGTCCTGTGCAATAAAAGCTTTTAGGCTAGGAAAAAAAAAAAAGAAATAAATGCGTAAATAAATAAAAAGTATGAATAAACACTACTTAATTCATTAAAAAGCCTGTTCTCATTAGTCAGTGCTGTGCTGTGTAATAAGGGTTCTGAGAGTCACTGCCTTATATTTGTCTCAATGGAGGAGAGAACTACTATGAAAATAACAGGCGCAATTTTCTTTTGCAATAGGTCGATATTAAATTGAAGTTAATTATCTGAACCTAGACACCTATAATAAGATAAGAAAAAGTGCCTCATTAGTGTAAATAAGACAGAAAAATAGTGAGCAATGTTCACACTCATCATGATTCGATTGCAGTTTAAACGTGATGTAGACAATGTTTAGTCCTAGTCTAGTCCTGGATTTTACTGTAATGTGAGTGTGAACACAGCTTTAGTCGATATGATTATTATTGTGACAGTTCTGCAAATGTCCCTTAACGGTCATCCATGAGTCGGCGCTCCTCTCCCCTGACCCAGAAAAAACCTCAGAGACTTGAGTGTGTCATTACCGCTGCAACATTTATCTAAGCTGCTGGTAATACGGCCATTATCCCGAACATGCGCTAAAGATGGAGACTGTCTTTACACCTATAAAAGGCTTGCATCATCAGTGAATGACCAGTCATAATAAACCACTTAAACTCTACTTTTCACAGGCCGATTATTCATCTCAAACACAAGGAGAAGAACTACACAGCGCAGCCATTAAGGTTTTCTACTTATATATGCATTTTAAAAAGAAATATTACCAAGAGTTTCTGAAGATATACGGCTAAGACGTCATTTGGTAGACGCAGGCAATCTTCAACTAACTCAAAGTTGAATTTTTTTGACAAGGCAAAAGAAATATCAGTGTGGAGGTATTTTAGTACTTGTAGTAGAGTTGTATTTGTAGTTGCAGTGGGTGAAGCAGTAACGGTAGTAGGAAAAGAAGTAATTTTAGTAACAGCAGAAGTAGCAGCAGAAGATTCAAGATCGTATTGTCATTGTCATAGAGAGCATAATTTCATTCAGAGCATCGGACATAGTTTTGATGTAAAACGCAATACAAACATGCAAGAGCCAAACCAATAACCTCTGAGTAAACATTAGCACAATAATGACTCAGTCCAGGCACACACATCATAAACAGTAACAGACGTAGCAGCAGCAGGGGCATACAGTCAGGTCAGATAAGTGGAGTGCTTATGTCATTATGCAACAAGTCATAGTAGTAGTAGTAGTAGTAGTAGTAGTAGTAGTAATATGGCAGAATAAGTGACAGTGTTACCTTGAGGTCGCTCCCATTGAGGCGCATCCTGTTGATTTTGCGCCCGCTCGGCCTGGTCGAGTCAACCCAGTAGATAAACTCCTTCTTGTAGTCAAAGTCAATGTGGATGATGTTATTGAGACCCTGAAAAAGACAGAAATATACTGTATATAAGATGGCTGTCCTCCACTACTCAGGAAGAATGACAAATGCGTAAACTTTTGTATTTTAAACAGTGGATTTACACAAAGACTGGTATGTATTCTTCTTGCAGTCCTGTATATGTGACATGAATTTGTTTATGCTCTGAAGAGGCCTGCTTCTGCTTCTTTTGTAAAGAGTATTGATTTTGGATTTTCTCATATTTAAGGCAGTGAGTCAATCCTGCAGTGTGTATATAGTCAAGTTTTTCTTTTTTTCTTTATCTAACATATGTTTAAAGGTTAACCAAAATGACAGCTACAGAAACAAATGTAAACAAACCTAGGGTCAAATAAGAAACTATTACAAAATACTTACAGAAAAGTACATGGCAAGACAAAATCTATACTCCACTATAGCCTAATATTTCTAGGTTTTTTCACAGGGATTTCATCACCTCAGGAAGGGTTAAGGATTGCACTATCTAGTCCTTTTTTCAGAGATAACTCTAGACAAAATCAAGATAGCATAGGATAGCATGCTTACATAACATTTTATTATGCCACATGCATATGACATAACAAAAAAAGGTACTTCTGAACAACAAACAAACAAACAAAAAACCCTCCCCTCCCCTATTCTGCGAATGCAATCTCCGTGTGAACTGTGAAGGTGTGGGATTAATCTGACAGGAGAAATGAGATGTGTTCATCAGATCATCAGCCTCTTTACAGACAGGTGCCAAAATGTCCCCCGGGAGTCCCCTTCTGCTGGTGCTGTGATTCTGATAGCAGTTGTACACATGAGAATCACAGCACAGCGCTTCTATCCATGCCTCTATATCTGCTACCACCCTGTCAATTTGTCCTCCTTTAACACTTTGTGAAAACTAACCAGCCAAAAATGAATCAGCACTAAGAGGACATGAAAGTTACATATTAAAGGTCCTATATTATGTTATTTTCTGATCTATGTTACAATGCTGTTTAATCATCAAAAATAGTCTGTTGTTTCATTCACGTCTAACACAAAAACCCAGCACATCCGAAAACACTCGTTCCACCTTGTGATCTCATGTGGTAATACAGGAAGTGCTCCACTGTGTTTTTAAAATCCATACACCTTCACTAGAATCAACAGTAAAATGCAGCTGTTATCTTGAAAACTACCACAACATGACATCACAAGTTGGAACAGGGCATTTTGAGCTTTGCAGATGTACACAAACACACATAAGGGTTACTCAAACATGTGTGAGTGATATAAAACACAACTACATACATGTTTTTGAGGAGATAACAACATTATTTCATGGCTCAAAGCTGATAAGAGTCAATTCTGTGTAATATAGGACCTTTAATTTGATGTCCATGGAGATACCACTATGCCAAGTTACAGGTCAGATCTGTGGAGAGGAAACCATGCTCACACTAAGACTGCATTACTGTCTAGGTATTTCTGATAAAAAAAAAGCACATTAAAAAGATAAGTTAAATGCTATACCAAGGAACATTCATGGCAAAGCAATCGCCATGAAAACAAGCCAGTGTCGGACCCGCCACCGTAAAAGTTGCATAGTGTAATTGGAATATAGTAGTAAGTGTGTGTTTTTGTAAGGTAAAAGGCTTGTATCATTAGCACATTCAGTAGAGCAGTGCATGACAGATCTATATTTCTGTCTTTGAACTTTCGTATATTTTCTCAGTTTGTTTTGAGTTCGTTCTTTTTGCGCTTTCAAAGGCTTTTTTATGAATAAATATTGATTTTTAGTCAAAACACTAGATATGCTGAAGATGACGCACACTGACAAAATGTCCATAACAGAGTGAATCTGGGAAGAAACATTAAACAAACATGTTACGCCTCTGTGAAAGGTTCAAGAACAGGACTGAATTTAAACACGCAACTGCATTTTCCCCCTTTTACATTCACACTTTCAAAGGCCTTGTATAGATAGATATAGATTTTTGCACCAACATATTTATTACTTGCTGTACATTTAGTCCATTTGCTATAGATTCATAAACTATAGCTATACTGCAAAATGGCCCAAAACGTTATGTGAAGAATACCCTACCAATGTGTAGTACAGAGTCATAAAGTGTATAAAGTGGACCAAGAGACTGTGAGGTCACCCATAGCATTCAGCTCCACTCAAATGAACCTCATGAGGCTAACAATTATAGTAGTGAATTTGGAGCCAAGTTCCATATTTGGAATAGAAACTTATTTACTGATATAAAAGCATCAGGATCATGTAGAGCAGGTAAATACGAACATTTTAAGACCAAAATGACGAGACTCACTGCAGCAGTTACAGAGAGAGTGGTGACATTTTTTTCTTTTTTTTTTTTTGTCGGTTGGAGCCAGAAGGGTCCCGATGCTCACTTCCTATTTGGAACATGGCAGCTAGGGGTTTAGCTATACCCTTTTATATATACAACCCATAGGAAGAGCAGTAGATCATAAAATTTGAGAAAGGTTAATGAAAAGATTGAGAAGATAATAAGATAATAGTAATAGGAAATTCATGGCATGATTTGCTACAGTGAATGAGTGAGTAGTGGTTATACAGAAGAATTGCTTGCAGGAACAATGAGGTCCAGATTGACTCAAATGACTGACAATAGGGAAATGGTTTAATTTTGATGACAGGAGTGACAATTTCTAACAGTTGGATGATAGAATTCAATATGAAATATTTATTGTTTCTGAGTGCTTTAGATCCATTAGTTCTGAACTACCAGGTGGTAATATATCAAGTAGGATCTGAATCAGGGCAGGCACAATACCTTTTATTTATTATAACGCCTACGCTCTGGAACTCCCTCCTACCAGACTTCTGCGATATAGACTCACTATCCGTGTTCAAAACTAGACTAAAAACTAGCCTCTTCTCTCTGATTTTATTTTTAATTTTATTTTATGTGTTACCACTTGTATTTGTTCATGTCTTTTAAGCCTTTGTAATGAGTCCTTGAATGTCAAGAAAGGAACTAATAAATACATTTAATTATTATTATTAAGATGTTTCCAGTGAGTCTAGCTTTGATTACAAGTTACAAGATTTATGAATAGGGTAGGGTGACCAGATTTTCAAATTAAAAAAAAAAACTGGGACATCCCTGGTTTAGGTTGGTTGGTATAAATAAAATTGGAAAAAGAGTGTTGTAATTAAGGGAAATAGTTCTGCACTTTACCAATGTGAGTCAGCATAGTCACATTTTCTTTGTGTTTTGGTCATTTTTAAGCAGCTTTTCTGTATTTTACCGAAGCAAGTGACAATTTATGCCTCTCTTTACTGTTGGCGGGGATCAGATTAGTCAAAAAGAAATCACTGGTTTTGGATAAATCTGATGGGACAGGGGACACAGGGCTCAAAACTGGGACTGTACCAGATAAATGTGGACATCTGGTCACCCTAGTATAGTGTATACATTTTTTTTTGACCATCCTAATATCCAGAGACTTGCATGCTACATGTATGAAACTATTTACATGCTAGCATAAACTGTTTAGTATATCCAAGAGACTTCTTGGATACTATAGAAATGCTCTAATGGAACAAAATTAGAGATAATTACCTTGATTGACATGTGCTTGCATTGTATAGTCTGTACAAAGTAGTCAAGCTTTCCCTAACTTCTTCAACTAACAACATCAGATCTGTGGACAGAGCTCCAATGTGGGTCAATTAGGAAGTGACAAAACTGTTTCTCACCTGCTTCAAGATGGTGTAGTTGGAGCCATCCACACTCAGTTTGCGGATCTCATGATGGTCAGCCATAATGAGAAAAGGCTCCTCAGCTGTAATATGAATCACACTTTGGTAAGAGGACCTGCACAATCTCAATAATGAATGCATTTGGGTGCTGTGCTGTGTAATCTAATGAGGCCGACCTGACACAGCCTTGCAGATATTGGGGTTGCGCTCCAGGGCCTCGTAGCCGTCCACGCACAGACACTTGAAGGAGCCGTAGGTGTTGATGCAGCGCTGGCTACAAGGCAAAGTGGTGGAGCATTCATCAATATCTACACAGGTTTTACCATCGTCTTTCAAGTGGAAGCCTGGCCAGCATTTGCACTGCGGAGGACACAGAGAAGACAGAATGAAAAACAGAACAAGTTTGGTTAGAGAATGTTGATGACATCAGCTGCAAATAATGAATATATTGAATACAATTGTATTAATGCACACTATAACTTGTGAGAACCAAAACATGGACTTGCTCTGTAACAACTTTTAAGAACAAAAAACCTGAACCCCTTCAATGGCTGCAGACACAATCACAAGTGACAGCCTAACTGATCATCACCTGCAACAAGATGTAGTTATGATACTTATTTAACCAGTCCCATGCGCCAAGTCTGTTAGCCAGACTAGCAACTGATCTCCGATATGACTGTGTATTCAAACTTGGCAAATTAACTATTATGAAATACTAAAAGCAATAATGAATTCTTTTTTTTTTTTTTTTACTTTGGTTAACTTGTATCGAGTAAAGGCATGATCCAAGGAAAAGGCAAGACCCAATCCTACAAAAATATTTAAATGAACAATCATATAATTCTTAAAGAGGTTAATAAATAAAATTTTAAAATTCATTTTTAGAAGAAAAATTATACTTTATATTTAAAGGTGAAACCCAACTGTGCTGTGCTCTGTCTCATGCAATAAAATGCCAGTGTAGAGCCTTGGATTTGGTGGCTTCAATATTTCATCACACTTCAGTGACCAGGTCCAACCAAAAATAACTCTGGAGCGCTAGAATCAGCGGCCATGAACCTTTTCAAATCCCTCTCTTATCCACAGTTATAACCCTGGGCCCTTTGTGATGCCCGGTGCCCAACACCACAAACAGATGACGCAAGAGACTGCAGTGATGTGGACCTGTCCGTCTCAGCTTACCGTCAGGTGAGAACACTGAAACATGTCACTTTTTTTCTATGGCTTTACTTTGATTTGTGATTGAAATGCAACTTTATTGTCCATATTTAATCAACAATGGAAGTGCAATAGTGTTTGGAAAGTACCGTCTTGTTTAAAAAGAAAGCCAGAATTAGCATTAGCATGAGTAAGCCATATTGGCACTTACGTAAGATACACTGCTAATAGACTAACTTCACGCTTGTTCTTTCCTAAGCCATTTTTCTGTTAATTTGCATAAGATAACTAATGTTTTATGGTTTGTTAATTCTTACCATCTGTAACTTTGTTTTTTTGAGTAGAGTTGTAAAAGAAGGGTGGCTAATTTTTGAGTGCACAAAAAAATTAATAAATAAATAAAAAATTGCCAGGCTTGTTACCACTCTCAGTTCCTTTTTTTATTGACACTTTTCCCGGAAACTCCCAAATGAACCACTAGTCCACTTTCCATACATCATATCTGTTTGAACACCTTGGTGGAAATGCTAAACAAGTGACCATTTCTTTGACTAACTTTGAAAAGATTTGATTCAAATTTAAATGGGAAACCAGCTAGTGCCAGGGACCTACTTTGAGCCCCTTTTTGACCACAGCTCATCTTCAACCCTCAAAGACAAGAAAGCGTGTGATAAAGTATAACAGCCTGTCCGCACTGATAGCCACACTGAGTCCTGCCAATATGGCCTTGACCCCAGAATGCACCTCTTCATGGCATGCCATCACTGCCAGGCATGGCAGCATCGCCCCTCTCAGCAGGGAGCCGAGCATTTGTTGGCATATTATTAAACTCCTTACTTTGTGTTCAAGGTTATTTAGAAGAAAAGGCATAACATTTCCACCCATCTGTTCAATTTTACAGGCTAAATTTTAATTATTCTTTATGAATATTTTATTAAGGATGCTTTCAACAAATCACATATAAGGTGTCAATGGGAAACGGAAAAAGTTACTGCACCTTTTAAACCATAATAATTCGTTATCACTATTACTCAAAAGAGATGCTTGAGTATAATGTAAGTATGGATTAAAGTTTAAGAGCAAAGGTTACAATTTTATGTGTAATATTATTTATATCAAGAACACCAGTGGATTTTTTAAGTTCATATGACAATCCCCACAGAGCAGGCTTTAAGCAGGCTTGGGGCCAGCACAAACACAACACTTGTGGTTAGTTGTCTTTAAATTTCCTATGTTATACAAAATTGATTATAATCTAATTTCAAACATTGTTACCTCCTCAAATCTGGAGTTGTCTTCTTCACATGTTTGAGTTACTGTTAATTATTTATTCCGTCTACATTTCCAAATCTCAAAATGCTCTGTTCCATCTTGTGATGTCATGAAGCGGTAGTTTTCAAGATAGCATCTACCTTTTACCTTTAGTTCAGTAGTGATTGACAATTCTAGGGCTGAAATTATCCAAATTATTTTAGTGAAGAACTCAACCTAAATATGCAGGGTTTGTGTGTTTAACATGTGTGTATGAAATAGAACACAACTCCATGTATTTGTTTGTGATGAGGAAACTACACTTAACACTTATCCTGATATGGTGACCCATTTTTTTCTCCTCTCTATTTGCTGGTCTTGTACAATCATATAACTCCCATACTGCTACTTTTCCATTATTCTCGGTAGGTCTGCCATGATATATTTATACACAGTCGACCAGCTTCTGGGCTGCTCCCAAATGAATGGTAAAAGTGCTGAAGTGTCCAATATTTTACCCTGCACATCTAAAACATATAGACACACTTTAGTTTAGCCTGACTTCTGCTTTCTCTGCTCTTCTTTAACACAGCTTGTCTAGATGAATTAGCCTCATGGATTATCTGTAGTCAGCAGTAGTGTTTCTAATGGGATGGTTGATGTCATGTCATTCTACATAGCCCATAGTTTAAAAAAGGGCACATTAGATTTCTATGGTAGAATTTGTAATTAAAATCGTTGTACCGGTTTATTTCCCTCTCCTGTACAGATATATATTGTTAAACAGTGGTGTGTGGTGAGGGTTACACCTGAAGAGGCAAAGTGCAGTAGGCCCAAAAATGTCAATTGGCACGATACTGCTTATATTTTCATTACAAGCACATAATAATCACCTTTACTAATAAAAGTATTAAGCTTTAATGATTATTTGGTTTATACCTGAAAGGGGAAAATAAAAAAAAATAATAAAAAAAAAAATAATAATAATAATAATAAAATCTGACCCGAGTCTTGAACCCCACTTATCTGCACGACCAAATTAACCAAACAAACTAAACTCCATTATACCATTGCGAAGCTGGTTAATAATATAGCCTTCCTACAAATAACTAACAGCCAGCCTCACCGCAGCTCTGGTCAAACGTCGTTTAGTGTCAGATTAACTCACTAAACCTGCTCCTTCGTGCACAAGATTATTTGTCTTGAAGATAAGAAGACATTGTACTTGAAAATGTAAATGAAGAAACAGTGAGGGAGCACTGAATGAACACGCCCTGTGTATGTGGCCACTTTTTTTTTTTTGTATTAATTTATTCTTATTGACACTGAGAAGTTTTTTTTTATCCCCAAATGACCCCCTGACCGCACGCCGCTGTTGCAAAATTAAAAAGTAGCTCATGAGGTCTGTCTGCAGCCTTTTATAAAGCATTGTATCCTCCATGAAGTAATCCTAAAGTGCTGTTAGCTTGTTAGCTGTTTTAAGCTTGTTAGCCGTTTTTAGCTTGTTAGCCTGTTTGTAGCATTACTGTGAGGGCACTCCTGCCTCTGAAAATTGTGAAACATGCTCCTAAACTCATTACAATGAATAATTAGGATGCTGCAGCATTGGGAAAGAGGATTATTTTTTGATGGCTGCCAATAATTTTAAATGAATGAATTAATTTGTGTTTTTCATATTCTTAAGACAATAGCAATTAGGTACAGACTTTTTAACATGGTGTATGGTTAATATTTTTGTAATTAGTGTGAGTTTTCTACATGTATCCTGTGTGATATCTTCTTTGTCAGCAAAATGAACTATAAAGTTTGGACACTGGTCAAACAACTATTGTCAAACAAAGTCAAAAATGCGAACTGAAGCCCTGACAAAAAGTTTCATCATACATTAATTATTCCTCTCTAAAACAGTGAAAGGCCCCATAGAGTTGCTATAGCACTAACCTTGTATCCCACGGGCAGGTCCTGACAGTCCTGGGTGCACCCGCTCACTCGGCGGTTGAGGCACTCATTGACATTACAGTTCCTCTCGTCAGAGCCGTCCCCACAGTCGTCTCGCCCATCGCACAGGCTGCCCTCCGATATACAGCGGCCGTTTGAGCACATAAAGAAAGAGCCATTGCACAAGCTCCCTGGATGGGTAACAACATATAATACAGGTTAGTGATTGGGCAATACCTCAGTCCTTGTTATCTGGTGTACGTCATCAGAGGTTGTAATATTCCCTACAATAGACTTAAAATTGCAATACCAACATTATGAGCTGAGGGGGTCCCATACTGATGGTAAATAAACATTAGACATCCAGAGTCTCTTGTCTCGTTTTACAACTCTCAAGCTGCTTCAATTTATTCTACAACAGGTACAATGGCTTTTGATAGTGTCTATGTTTGTAACAATGTGTTCGAATGGAAATGGGAATTACTGTATATTATTTATATCACGATTGTGTGTGGGCACATCAGTAAAGGAGGACTGAGCCTAAATGAAACCCTTAAACCCTAAATGAACTTGTTTAAGTAAATATGTGCATTTACTTGTACTGGAAACATTGAAATTTTGGGAATGAGACGTTGGGAGTGAGACGTAAATTTGAGTCTCCAAAGATTCTCAGATCGCTAAAAGTTTAAAATACAGACGACATGGGAATTGCTTTTATAAAGTATTATATAATGATTATTTTTCTATAATATTATCTTTATTAACTATAAAACAATTAAATTTTTACTAATTAAACAGTAGCCTCTAAAGTAGGAAAGTAAAGGTTGGGTCTCCAGCGTGTGCACTGTTAAACTAGAGGACCTTGAGAGAAAAATGTTGGGACCCATTAATGTATTTTTAGAGACTTCTATTTCTAAAGTAGCTCCTTTGTAAAAAAACAAAAAAAAACAAAAAAAAAAACAAGCCGGTATTCTATAAACTACATGTGTATTGGCTGAACTGCTAAATCGCTCTGTCTGTTGTGCATAATATTGTTTCATCATTATAATAGTCTATTTTGGCATCATTTCTGCTCACTTTCTGACAGACTTGGCCGAGACTTTGAGCTTCGTGGTGGAGTGACAGACTAATTCCTATCAGAAACACTCTCTTCTCTTTTCTCCTCAGCCCATATGTCCCAGTAGATTTCCCAGTGACAATGATGAAGAGTTTCCAGCTGGGAGCCAAGCAGCCATCTTACCTGCGGCCAGACATTTGAGGTTGAGAGGCAGTTCGTCAGAGTGGTCGGGGCAGTCGGCGTAACCGTCACACTCCCACTGAGCACTGAGCAGGCAGCGCCCATCCCCACAGCGAAACTCCTCTGATCGGCACGAGCGATATTCTGCACACAAAGACCAGGCTCGCACTCATTAACTCACAGCACTCAGACTGCTGCTAGATATCTCTGCACGAAAGTTATAAGCCTATATCTTCTGTTCTAAGATGAGATGGAACCCTGTGAATACAGTGTGCTGGGAGGAGGCTTTGCTAAATGATATAGCAGTGATCAGATCCTGTGACGCTTTGCCAATTTGCAGAGACATTGATTCTTTGATGATGTTTTTCTGTTTAAATATGCACTATGTAGCTTATGGTGGAGAGTCTGCCACTTACTTGCTTGTCTCATGGAGATGTTCCACTATGGCATTATATTTATCCTGCATCCATTCAAATAGGCATGGCCAAAAGAAAATCAGAACAACTATTATAAAATTTTGTATATTTGTTAAAGGAGTGGAACAATTGCACAGAAAAACTTGAACTGTGCACCACTCTCTTTTACTTTAAAAAGAAGTTTAATGGTTGAACTGTTCCTTTTCTTTATAAGTAAGAATTATGCTATGACAGAGGAATAAAGGGTAAGCCTAATAATCTTAAACTTCAGTCTCAATCTTTTCAGTTTTCCTACATGTTTAAGATATTCTAGAATAATGTCAGAATATACCGATGACTGAAATAAACAAATCAATCAATCAAACAATAGAACCTTGAAAACATTTATTCTTATTGTGATTGACTTGGAGATAGATACATTTAATGTCATACTGTGGAACATTTCCGGCAAAACATTTACAACTCCATAGACACAAGCAGGCACCGTAACCTCCATCAGAAAAGTTACATAGAGCACCTTTAACGCAGCTGAGAGTTCAAAAATGAATATGCTTCCAAATCCGTATCTGTGACTGACAGGTGATGTGTCCAGTCACAATGAAAGGTAGACTGCTTTAGTTGCCAGTTCAAATCATTACAATCCAAAAAAAATCCTGAAAAAATTCTTGACATTGGCATGAGAAATTTGTGATTTGCCATATTGAGACTATTAAGATTAAACCAAATTTACATACAGGTATTTTCTTTATGTTTATTGGCATCCACACTCAACAGATAACAGATCAGCTAAGAGAACAGTATAGAATTATAATTAGATCACTAATAAATGTGTCTTGTTTTGTCTTGATCATGTTAAAACACAAAACACAATTACAAAGTCTATGTAAGAGTTAGCTAGAATTTCCTGTTTCTAGGTTTTTTTCTAACGAATCATGATCATCATATTCCTGGGTAAATGAAAAGTATCGCTTTCACATGTAGCCATCATTTTCCATACCACATTCTACGGACTCGTCAGACCCATCTCCACAGTCGTCATCGTGGTCACACACAAATCTCTGAGGGATGCAGGCTTTGTTGTGGCAGCGAAACGAGGCGTCATCACATGTGTTATTGGGTGCTAAGGAAAAAGGTGACAAACAGTGATTATTTTTCACTCAAAACATGGCATACCATATGGCTGCAACAACACCAGATAAAGAACAAACATGCAGATCCACATACTGTACATGTACATACATTGCATCAAGTCTATGACATTGTTGCTCAAACTATTGCTATTACTATAAAACTTGGCTTACTATTTGGGATAAAATTAACAAACATGCAGGTGATTATTGTTTAACATTTTATCAGCTATGTGTATTTTTTCGTGTTTCATCAGAACTACCTCTACTACTACACAACAACTCATTCAGTCTTGTTTTGCATATTCTTTTACAGATACACAATATTATGTGCAATATTATGCATGTTTTTATCAGGGTAGCCACGGGGTCTTGAAAGTCTTAAAAAGGTCTTAAATTTCATGTTCTCAAATTAAGTGTTAAATTATGTTGTCCAAGTCTTATTTTTTCACAAAGGTCTTAAATTCCATTAGCCTATTTTTTTGTATACTCAACTGGGCTGCAGTGCAATGTGAAACAGAATAAAACAACAATGTGAAATCATGTAACGTGAATGAACGTCTAATTTGGAGTATCTGCAAAAAATACTTTTGGTTTCTGGCATGAGTAAACAATCAGTACAGTGGAGGAAGATGTTGGATGGATCACGGAGAAGTGTAGGTTTAATCCACAGTGGCTCTTAGATTCTAAATCTAGTAGTTGGTTGGTCATTATTAGAATTGGATCTGGTGTTTTTTGCCCGCATAATGGATGCGATGTTGGTCTTAATTTTCATGTAAGTGGTCTTTAAAAGGTCTTAAATTTTTTTTTAAATCTGGGGTAGTCAAACCTGGCGATACCCTGTTTATGCATAGTTTGTGTGATTTACTATAATAACCACACCTTAACTGGCTTCAATAGGCGGACTATGTAACTTTCAACTCCTAGTTTCTATGGATATGCCATCGTATGACATTAAACACCTGTACCTTAGATTTATTAAATTATTTGCGGTTTTATTGCTCAAAAATACCTACAAAAACAGGCACTCTGACTGTGAGTACCATGAAACATTTCAGACAAAGCAATAGCAAAGCAAACATATCCATGTAGAAAAGTATTTGACAGACCCTCCACCAGCAAAGTTACACAGTGCACCTTTAATAAACCATGAACAAACAAAACTAACAAATAGTTTATTATGAATGATTCAGGTAAATATGTAATTATGGGTTAGGGTTTGAAGTTACAGTGAAGGTATTAATTAAATATTTTACCAAACCTGAATCATTCTTAATGAACTATGTATACATAATCATGTGTGTATTATGTGGTTATTATAAAGTGTTCCCCATATTAAATCAACTGATAATAGAAGTGCACACTCCGGTCAGTAAACATATCCCAGTGTGTTGCTGTGTGAGGTCGTGTTTACCACATCCAGCAGCAGAGAGCTCGTCACTACCATCAGGACAGTCCCTCTCCCCGTCACAGAGCCAGCGTTTGGGCACACAGGCGTACGACCCAGGACAGCTGAACAGGCCGGGCGCACAAGTCACTGATCCTGAGAGGGGACACACACAACACAACAAGACCACAAGTGTTAGAGGTGAAATACACAACGCAGAGGTTAAAGAAATGTTTACCAAGATGTTTTTTTTAGTTCTGGGGACTTTTGCAGTTTTTTCCTGTGTGCTTTGTGAAAGGAAGAATTCTGCTCTGAACTAAACCAACTACTACTACTGTACTACTACAACAACAACAACAAAAACAACAACTACTACTACTACTATCACCACTACTACCTACTACTACTACTACTACTACTATTGTACTACAACTACAACCACTACTACTATTGTACTACAACAACTACAACTACAACTACAACTACAACTACTACTACTACTACTACTACTACTGTACTACAACAGCAACAACAATTACTACTACTACTACAAACAACAACTACAAACAAAAGCAGCAACAATAACAACTACTACTACTACTACAAACTACTGCAAACTACTACTGCTACTACTACTACTAAAAACTACTACTACCACCTACTACTACAACTACTACCACCTCCTACTACTACTACTACTACCTACTACCACCTACTACTACTACTACTACTACTACCACTACCACTACCACTACTACTAACTACAACTACTACTGTTACTACTATTATATTAGTAATTAGCAAATGCTCTAGTGATTAAACAACATATTTTTTGTGTTAAGGAAATGTTTGACCTAATACACCAAACCACTAAAGTTACTTATCTCATCCTATATTATTTTATTCTTTTAGTTTACAATCTCATCAAAATGAAAGGAAAATACTTTTCCTATTGTTACCAAAGAGAATGGTATAAAGCTTAGTGACAGAAAAGCTTGTTCAGCCCTTGTAATGTATGTAATGTCCAATCGCATTAGGGACAATAAAATAAAACTTGTGCTGAGACTGATGTCCCCTTATGAAGCCAAGTCACATTTTCATTGTGCATCAGCTCCTTTTCAGTAAATGCTACAAACTTATGACTTATGTGTTTTGTGTACAGGCCAGCATTTCCGAGCAAATGAGCTGAAATCACAAAAAACAAAGAAACAATCATATCTCTTGGACTTGTAGTATAAATTGAACGTGTGTGTTTTTGCAGCAGAAGATGTCATTATTACCTCTTTGCCATTTTATTATAAGACACAATAGGCATTCACAGGACTATGAGAAAGCCAGACTACCTATTGAAATGTCATTATTGTATCTATTTTCTACAATATTCATGTGTAGGCAAAGGGAGGATATTATTGATATATTTTTATAATAGGAAAATTGTACAGGGATGTCTAATGAATAGCACTTTGATGGAACCCTTCGTCAAATCATGTTGGTGGAGTGAAACAATATTGTATACATTTTCTAATTAACACTGTGTTAGCCTTGAATTTGAGTTAAAATAGCATCTGATTCAATGCTTAAACTTTAATAACTACTATGACTTCTTGATGTGAAATGGATTTATTTACAGTATATCGATTCTACTTTTTAGTACATTCATATCTACAACTAATTACAACCTGTTTTATTGTTCACGAATCAGGAAGTTTGCTGGTAGCAGGCTAGCTGTTTGCATTGCCTGCTGAATTTTTGTGTTTTTAGACAGTAAAACAGCAGGTCCAGCATCTTTAAGTCTGGTTGAAAATGTCTACTTCTCCCACATTATTAGAATGTTACATAAGCCTCCTCCACTCTGCACTAAAGGGCCACTCTGAGCTGTCAAACTTGACCCAGTGGACTTGGTCCTCTGCTCTCATTGCAGCCTCACCCCGATGTCTTTGCTACTCACCACAGATCTGCATGCTCTCGTCCAGCCCATCCTCACAGTCATTCTCTCCATCACATAGCCACTGTTTTGCGATGCATTTGTTTTTGGAGCAGGCAAACTGGTTCCAGAGGCAAGAGGAGTCTGCAAAAGAGTGGTTTACATAATGGTAATTTATTTCATGTTCTGTACTTGCCTACGGATGACACATTTTTGCTATAATTTGGCATACAAGTATTTTTGTTGCAAGTGGTCATGAATATGCACTTTCTAAACTAAAAAGTAACAGTTACCTAACGACACAAGCCCTAAAACTGGGCTTACACTGTGCCATTTTCGGGCCCATTTTCATGAATTTTAACCTCATGAGAATTTAAAAAAATCAGGGTGAATTTTGGATCCTCCATGCGTGTCATGCAGTTTAAACAGGGTTAAGAGCTGTGATCACCTGCTTGTGATGAATGAACGACAACTGAATATGTGGTCATATGGAGATCATACATGTTTGATATTTGTTGTGAATGGAAGGGTCGGAGCCCTGCTATAGCCAGGTGAGAGTAGTGTGTGCACAGTAAAATACAGCTGCACGCAAGGTAAACACATCTCCAGTGTCCTGGAGCGAGGAGGAGGTAAGCTGGGGCACTTCTTAAGCCAATTTTAACCAACAAAATAAATAACAAAAACAAGAATTGGACAATGTTTTGGCTGAGACTAAAATAGAACTAAGGGTGTGTTTAGTCCTGATGCAGACTTGGTTTGGGTTTTGGGACTGTTGTTGGGAATTAGTTAGTCCTGGTTTATTCCAGGTTTATTTTTGGGTTCAATCCAGACATGGTCCTAATTTTGATCTAGGGTGTGCAAACTTTCATATTCTTTCGTTCATATATCTCTGTACCAGAACTAATGAACCAAAAATGTGTCCAAAATCTGAATCATCAAGGACAAAACCGAGACTAAAGCAGCAAAACAAGGTTGGACACTATGTAACAAATGGCCAACCCAGGTCTAGTGTGGTAATTTAAACAGGATTAATATGCATAGATTTCAGAACAATTTAAAATATAAATTCTATGTAGATGTAATATCTTTTTATTGGGTGCTTCATTGATCCCAGAGCTCCTCTTTCTTCAGAATTGCTCCATTTTGCTGCTCAAACTAATTGCCCCTGGTGGGATTAATAACGTCGTCTGAATCTGAAAAACAAAATATTCTATCTTTTGAATGGTGAAAAGTCCGTGTTGCCTATTACTGGAAGCTGGAATCCATGAATAGGTTATAGGGAATTTACGTTTATTTATTTTTGCAACAGCATACAATTTAAACCAAAACCAAACTAGATCTAAACCAGCATTAAAAAAGACTAAACCAAAACTAAACCAAAAGTACAAATTACTTGAGTAGCACTAGGAAACATCTGCATCCCAGCATTAGTACCTGCACCACAGATTGAGACCCACTGCCATAAATCAAACAAAACAAACATGTGAAATGGCATTGCCTATAGGAGCGTTTTTAATCACAACTCAACAAGAGGCTGCCTACCATTTGGCCCTCAGCTCCTGTCTGCTCTACTATGCCCAGGACTGCGCATGGATATTTCAGCTTGTGTTTTTCACTGGATATATTTGATGGATAGTTGTGGTTAGGGCATAAGGGGGAATAAAAGAAATGCTACTGTCGCTATTGCTTTATGAATTTTACAACAGAGCTATACTTTATTTATAAATGCAGTCAATGTACATATAATCTGTTTTATGTGGCTTTGATATTGAGAAAAATAAAGCAATGGACAGAGGTCACGCTGCAAACACAGATACATAAATAACAATGATTTCTGTTTTCATGTTGAGAGCTAATATCACCATGAATTTATTTGTAAAGGTCTCATATTACGCTACTTTCTGATCTACTGTATGTTATAATGTTTCCTCATCAAAAACCATATCCGGAGTTGTGTTTTGTTTCATTCACACATGTTTAACACACAAACCCTGCATATTAAGAATGACTTCTCTCAACGAAAAAAACACTCTGTTCCTCCTTGTGATGCCAATCTCTACTGTACAAAAGGTAAAAGGTAGCTGTTAAAGCAACCACTTGATGACATCACAAGGTGGAACAGAGCATTTTGAGTTTGAGGGTTACTCAAAGATGTGTGGATGAAAGAAAATACAACTTTGAGTATGTTTTTGATGAGGTAAAAACATTGTGACATGGCTAAAATGTTACATTCTGATAATATAGGACCTTTAAGTGTCGCATGTATCAGTATATCAGTATATCACATAACAGTCATATTAATTATATTCATGATGAACTACCATTTTATTCCCATATTATAACTACTAGTACATTACAACTTCCCCCAACAAAATTGTTGCCACATTTAAACCTACTTTTTAAACTATTAACTGTTTTTAATTATTTTATATTTCCTTCAAAATGTAATAACATGTATACCAGGGCTGGGACATATGACAATTTTTGCTCATATTGACTGCCAACAATTCAAAAGTGAATTTAATTTTTTATTATTAAAAAAATATAATAATTTCATGATTATAAACAAGACACTCTTTTAATCAGTGAGTCGTTTAGTACAAACAATTGTGAAATGTATTCCTCCAGTGTCTGAACTCTCAACAATATCCTTGATGATCTGACACGATTGGATCTCAACTTGATTAAGATTAATTGCACAGCCCTAATGTATACATTTAATTATGTATCAAGAAATGATCAATTACTTCAATATAAATCTATATACATACAGCTATTTTCCACAATTATTCAAGAATAACACAAACAGATCACATAATAATATAAACAACTATTATGACTCTCACTCTGTGATTGGTCAAACATTTGGCCAAGAACTTGAACCTAATTAATGCTGCTTAGCCAAGCTTTACACGGCGATGAGACAAAGATGACAGCTAACGAGGCGTGTTGCTGATGGTTCAAACAGCATTGTGCAAACTACGGATGTGCGTTCATATAATCCTGGCTGGGTTTGTGTCACCCAGCCACCCACTCTCCCCAGGGTGCTCTCGTGCGGTCGCTTTCTCTCCATGTCAGGCCTGGCAAATCTGACAGCCTTTAATGAGACGTGGAGAGAGGGGAGGTGTGGTGAGGAGGTTAGGCTATAACACAGGGAATTAGGGCTCCAGTGCAGTGTGTTTGTGTGTGTGTGTGTGTGCACGTGTGTGTGTCATGTGAGGGTCTATTACACTATGCACTGCTCTGCTCCATGTCAGGCTTTGAACATTTCACGCTGATACCGTCATGTAAGATAAGGAGGAAGAACTTAAAATAACTAAATGAAGGTGTAGAGTAAATTCAACCATGAAGACTGTCACCTATGCCTCTTGTCTGAACCAGTCACAGTTAGAGATGGGCTATATTGACAAAAAATGTGTTTTTTACTTATACATCAGTGAGTAATATATTATTTTTGACTTGACTTGACTTGTATTGTACTCGACATGCTTTCCAGAGTGCTAAGTAAACCATTACACATTTCCCCATTTTTTTACGTGTAAGCAGTAATATTTGTTTTTGATGCAAACAGACCACACATCTCTCTGATTGGTTAGTCCTCCTGTCAATCACACCCTCTGAAGACAGGATATGGCTCCAGATCCACTTGTCTTTGTAAAGTTTGGTCCGAGTATGTGGTTTTAGCTGGCCAGGTAACTAATTTTCATCCAAACTATCCATTGCATTTGTCCATATCTGTCATGGTTGAAATGTAAGAACCATGATTGTTCAAAGTCTGTGTTCTTGATAGTGGATTTACACTTCAAATGGGCACAGCTGCTTCAAGTGTAGAACAAATATCAGGTCTGAAGCATATTAACTGTATCACACCGAGTCTTTCATGTCGGCTTTTCAATAGTGTTTCAGTCTCTCAGTGGCACAGCGTGTCAGGCATTGTGAAGTGACAAATGACTATTGCATCTAATCAGATGTAGAATTTCAAATCCAAAAACGTAATGACATTTCAGTAAAACCACTTTGCGCATGCCGCCAGATTATCAAGGGATGGAGCTTTTTATATGATAATTAACCCTGAGAAATGGGAATATTGTCTATTTGTCCTGGAAAGCTATTCTGAATTTTGAATAATTCCTATGGTTTCTACTGATAGAGCTGCAATTGAAGTCAAGGATTTGTCGTTTTACACAGAAATGACATTCACAGATAAAGAATTTCAATGGCGTTCTTATGTTGTGCATCATGCTAACAACATTCACAAACATGATACATTCAGATACATTGCAAACATGAAAAACTGATTACGCTGCTGATTTGATCTGGTTAGAGGAGAAATGTAAATCTACCATGTTTAAATTATGCAGTGGAAATTATGACATCTTCCCCCACAGTAGACACATAGGCTTGTTATGCTTCTCCAGCCACGACCTAAAGGAGCTCCAAGAAAACTGATTGTAAAATGAACAGTAAGTAATAGGAGCATTAAAGTTGCATTATGCAAAGTTTCTGGTAGAGGAAATGTTTCACAGTATGGCATTACATCTATCTATCATGCATTTATTCAGTTGCAGGTGTTTTAACTGTAAATAAACGCCTTACCTCTGATCTGATTTGTAACTTAGTAGTTGTTGATGAACCCTGCATCACAAAACTTAAACAGTGCATCTTTTACATTTGATTGAAGACTATGAAATGAACAAAACTACTAACATGCCTTACTGAACATGTATAGAAGTTTAAATGACATTAGCTTAAACAAAGAATCACAGCAATTATCTTGCTCTTGCGGTTCTGAAACATTTCTAGTTTCGAAGTATGTACTGCCAGTATAAGCAGTATACTATTTTAATATAAGGTGAATGTCCAATGATTTGAAATGGCCATACAATTGTGGATACTTTTTGTTATTGCATTGCTTTGTAAGTTATTTAAAAGTTGCTTAGATTATCAGTAAGAGTATATAATATGTCTACATTTAGTTTTAGCGATTTTGTCAAAGTTGTTTCAAACTTCAGCAAAGTCAGCTCCTCACATACATCTTGTCACATTCGGCAAATTATTGTTGACAGCAGAGCAGATAATGTTGACAGTCTGGGATCGCACAAGTGAAATATATGCAAAAAACAAGACTGATTGCCAGAGACGCATGTTGAATATATATGCATATATTAACCAATTCACACTGATGGAGAAGTAAAAATATGTATATCGTCAAGTAAACTTAAAGGTTATTCCAATTTAAACATAAATATAGCAAAGAGGCAACAGACATTATGGGGTCCAGAGAACAGGCCAGACAAGCTGACACTTTGGACATGTTCACGCTCTCATAGGCCACATCAAATTTGAGACTAAATTGGTGCTAAATAAATCCAGGACAATGCAGGACTAAACCAAGACTAAACCAAGACTAAACCAGGACTAAACTGGGGCTGAACGATCTATCGTTTTGGACCAAAAATCACAAACTCAGACGACACGATTTTGGGAGTGTCAAAACCATGTTTTTTTGCAGTGCTCCTAAAGCCCAGTTTTAAGGGTGAAGTATAGTTCTGCATTAACTCAACGCACACTGCTGCTGTTGCCTTGTCGCCGTCATTTTTGATTTATGGGTCTGCGTCGAGGTGTATGCGCCGCAAAGTAATTCACCACCACAACGCTAGGAGGCGAGGATTTAAACCTGGCTACGGTGTAAAGTTTAACATGAACCATCAATGCACAGAACAGACTCATCATCAGCAGCACATCCTCTGTCACAGGAAGAACACCCATATTTCAATCTTGAATCATGAATCGTGCCCTTTAGTCCAACAGAAGGAGCGAGCTTATACTTTATGCAAATGAGCCATGTGGTTTTAAGTTTTGTTTCTGTAAAACATAAACAAATGTGCACAAATGGTCCAGTGTCAAACCGTTCGATGCAGGGCTCTGGTATGATCAAAGTTTCTGTGATATTTGCAAATGTTCATGTAAAAACCCCAAAAATATATATGTATGAAATCGCAATATCTGCCAGAAAAATCACAATTCAATTTTTTCTTAAAATCGTTCAGCTCTAGACTAAACCAGTATCCACTTGCAGGCATAAAAGCAACCATTCGCCATATTGTAACCTTAAAAAGTCTTCAAGCATCAAACCCACAACCTTCCCGAGTAGTGGCGGTGCCTCTAACCACTCTGCCACTACGCATCCCATAGAGGACAATTAACATCAAGAGAAAATGCATCACAAAAACACCAACTTCAAAGCTCAGAGACCAAAAGGCTGAGCAAATCTCTAGAAAGACTTTGTTAGTTTACAAAGCTCAGGCCTATGTATCAGCACTACACTACTATATATATATTTTTTTTATATATTTAAATTAACATAGAAAATTTTAATTAACATAGAAAATGAAAAGTTTGATATTTTTAAATAGGGTCAACAGTTCACTTTTTCAGTGCAAGGGCTTATACAATTTATTCTAATGTTAAATCTACTTGTCAGTTCTCATTATGTATAGTACCACCAGAAAACTTAACTTCAGTCAACTGTCAAATATGGGCTCCATCAAAACTCATGCACGTCAACATAGTGCTACTTATTAGGCTCTGACCACCTCGACCCCCCTCTCCCTACCCCCCTCCTTTCTCTCTTTCTCTCTCTCCTTCTCTCTGCTTTGATGCCAGGAGCAATGACTTGAGAAGTGTTGGTTTTTCAGCGCAACTTCTATTAATCCATACCATGACTTAATTAGGGCCCTGCTAGTTAATTGGACAGATCTCGACTTTGTCATGGTGAACCGCAAATGCATTAGCACGCATCAAAGCACAAAACGCTCCCTGCCTCTTGTAAAAAGGGAAAAACGGCAGCAGAAGTGGCACTCGCAACCTTCCATTTTCTTTAAACTGAATATTCCTATCTGCTAGACCGCTACTTCCGTGACTGATGGCTAGCTCATTAATTAAATTGTTACACAGGAAAAGATACGATAATAATTCAAACAGAGCAAGGGGAAGCGCTGAGTGTCTTTTTAACAGGCGCGGCATGAATTTAGGGTCAAAATTAGACTTTTAAACAAGCAGTAACACCCACATGAGATCTCTCAGACAAACAGGAACAAAACAAAGTGAGGAAATACTGCCTTGTGGCGCCATAAACAATCACCTCGCCTCTCCATGTCGGCTCATTATATACTGTATGTATTATTTGTTGTAGCCCTGGATCTATTTAAATGACAAAAGCATTACGACAAATAGGGGCCTGTTAATGGAAAATAAATATCTCTCCGTTCAGCAGACAGTGCACCGACTGTACACCATCTATTCTCAGCCATTAGGGAACATTACATCACTGCTGACTGTGCCTGGAGTAGAAAGGGAGAGTGGCACTGTGGGGTTACTACTGTGTGCCTTTTATAATTGAAAATGCAGTATATGGATGGTTAAAGCCCCACTGTATAACTTTTCAACCAAAATATAGACTAAAATAATATTGTTTGTTTGTTTGTTTAACTTTTTATGGTTTTAATGCACTGAAAAACATGATGGAATGGGCTTGTATCTCCACAAACCTACTTCTTACTTGGCTTAGAGGAAGGTTTCGACCTGCTTATCTTCATGGAATGTTGTTGCTTTGGCTATAATGTTCTAGCCTAATTCATCAGCCGGTTTCACTTTGTGGAAACCGTCTGACCTCACAGCGTTAGGATTTGGCAGGCAAATACTTTTTTTATTTAACCAATCACTGCTATTTGTTCGTGATGTATGTAATGCACCGCTAACAGGGCTAACTGGTACATTAAGCTTTTCCCATATAGGAAGAAGGGCAATAACGTCTTTCCCCTAGATAAAATTCACCAAACATTCTCTTTGTTTCAGCTTTAAATCCTCGATCTCGGGAATCGTTGCCAACACAGAATGCATGGCTTCGTCTACATCCATCTCCACCGCTTTGTTTACTGTTGTGCTGTACCACAAAATGGGACCCAGTCATGGCTTCACAGCTCTTTGCTGATTGGCCGGTGTGCAGTCTATAACTTCCGGGGTCTAGTGTAATTTGATTCCTGAGTTACTGGAGAGAAATGAAATTGAGCGGAGGCACTAGGTGGTGCCAGCCTGGCTAATAATGTTCCACAGTATGGCAGAAATCTCACCCATCGCCATGAAGAAAGTTCCTAAGTATGGTTGTGGAATCATGCATCTGACGAGCCACCTCCAGAAACGTATTCATTATAACTTTAAGGTTAAGGCTTTGTGAACCATACAATAGGTTCGTTGTAATGCCTGTAAAGTGACCGAGGAAGTGGTCTCAAGGGGTAATTGACTAAATAAAATCTGCAGTAAGAATAATTAAAAAACAAATCGGAACCAACTATTTCTATCTGTTCTAACCAATAACCAAAATATGAAAAATACAATGAACTTTTAAGCAGTAAATTAACATAGAATATATCTGACTATCTAGCCCAACTATATCCAGATTGGGAAAAAAAACAAACTAGCACAACAATACATGACAAATTACCATAAATTTGCAACACTGGCATGGTTGAAAATCAGTTTAGTTTTTCTTACCGCACTGAAACTCGTCAGCTCCATCCTCACAGTCCTTTTGGCCATCACACAACCAAACGCTGGAGATGCAGTTCCCACTTGGACAAGCGAAGTGTCCCTCCTCACACTTCTGCCCATGAGAGACTAGAGCACAACAACATGGAGTCAGTGCACTGGGTAGAGTACATGAATGAGGTTAAAAGAGTCTAGGCTTAACTTTGGATTATATAGTGGAATTTTAATTATAAACGTTTGGATGTGGCATGTAACCTAGTCCTACTCTTTTGTCCTCTTACCCTAACCCTCCACAGTCTAGTACTTCACTAGACAAGTCAGTGTGGGTAGCGTACACTCTCTTGTACTATATTTTTTATGATAATATTCAAAATGATATCAAGGGTTGCCAATCTTGTCTTGTCAACTTATCTGTATCATTCTTTCAGTATTGATACTCACTCAAATTAATATCTACCAGTAGTTTTGTTACTAGTTTTAGTGTCAGTTAGTATCTGGATATCTTTTTAACTACTCCAGTCACTGGTGTATGGAGTTTATCACAGTAAGAAATTTGGAGTCAGTAATTCTATTAATGTGTTGAGAAAGTTTGACTTTTGCACTGTTGTTCTGCGCATACAGTATATTTTGTATTCAGTCAAGGCCTATTTTTTATTTACCTTATTTTAAATTCATGCCCTTATTTTGAGTTTATAATACCGTATATATTCTGACATAAAATTCCATGCAAAAAAAAAAAAAGCGTGTTCACGATCTCAGATAAACCAAATCATGAAAACATTGTTGAGAGAATTCAGCGGGGATCTAATCATCTAAGATCAAATTAAGGCTTGTTGGTGGTGAGCCTGAGTGATCAGACGAGGCAGTGCTGTGGCTGTGGCTCCGCTCACCCTGACAGTTGGTCTCATCGGCGTAGTCTCCACAGTCGTTGGCTCCATCACAGATCCAGGAGGGGTGGATGCACAAAGAGGTGGAGTTACAGCTCACAAACTCTCTCTCTTTCACCCCCAGCTTGTAAAAGTGGGAGCAGTCGGTGTGGTCTGCATACAAAGCAGAGGAGAGCGGAGTGTGTCACAGAGGCAGTGATGGTGTGGAAGGAGGAGGAGAGTAAGAGACAGAGGGAGGGAGAGGAGAGAGAGACAGAGAGAGAGACAGAGAGAGGGATAGAGAGAGAGAATACAAAACACAGGAGAGCAGAGTGTGTCTCAGAGGCAGTGATGGTGTGTAGGAAGAAGGAAGGAAAGAGACAGAGGGAGAGAGAGAAGGAGCGAGAAATACAGAGGCAGAGAGAGAGAGGGGGGCAAATGGAGAGAAAGAGGAAGAGAGAGACAGAGAAAGGGAGAGAGAGACAGAGAGAGAGATACAGAGGGAGAATGCAAAGCGGAGGAGAAAGGAGTGTGTAACAGAGGCAGTGATGGTATGAAGAGAGAGAGAGAGAGAGACAGAGAAAGAGAGAAAAAGAGAGACAGACAGAGAGGAAGGGATAGAAGGAGAGAGACAGACAGAGAGAGAAAGAGAGAGAGAGAGAGTACAAAGCATATTAGAGCAGAGAGAGCAACGTGTCACAGAGGCAGTGATGGTGTGAAGGGAGAGAAGGAGAGACAAATACAGAAGGAGAGAGGAGGGCAAATGGAGAGAAAGAGGAAGAGAGAGAGACAGAGAAAGGGAGAGAGAGACAGAGACGGATAGAGAGAGAATACAAAGCAGAGGAAAAAGGAGTGTATAACAGAGGTAGTGATGATGTGAAGAGAGAGAAAGAAAGAGGAAGGGAGCGAGGGAGAGAGAAAGACACACACAGAGAGAGAGAATACAAAGCAGAGGAGAAAGGAGTGTGTAACAGAGGCATTGGTGGTGTGAAAGAAGAGGTAGAGAGAGAGAGCCAGAGAGAAAGTGATGGAAAAAGAGAATTATAATTCAGAGGCAAGAGGAGTGTGCCACAGACGCAGTGATGGTGTGGAGAGAGAGAGACGAGGAAGGGAGAGAGGGAGAGAGAAAGACAGAGAGATAATACAAAGCAGAGGAGAGCAGAGAGAGCAGTGTGTCGCAGAGGCAGTGATGCTGTGGAGGGAGAGAGTGGATAGCGAGAGAGAGCAAAAAAGAGAAAGAGAGACAATACAAAGTAGAGGAGAGCGCTGTGTCACAGAGGAATTAATTTATGGTGTGGAGGGAAGAGGAGGGGGGTGAGTGTGAAAAAATAAAAAATGGAGAGAGATGGAGAGGGAGAGAGAGACAGATATAGAAATTGAAGAAAGAGAGAAGAGGGAGAAGCAGAGAAAGAGATAGGAGAAAGAGTTGGATCGACAAGGAAAAAAGAGACAGAAGAAGAAGTGGAGAGATAAAAAGATAGGGGGTGAGAGTGAGGGACTGTGAATGAAGAAAGATGGAGTGAGATTGAGAGGGAAAGAAAAAACATGGAGAGAGTGTGAGAAACAGAAAAGGGGGAGAGCGAGAGAGATGAGATGGAATATGAAAGGAGAGGGAGAAGAAAGGAGAAAAAGATACCGCGAGAAGAGTAAAAGATAATAATAAACGGAGATAGGAGAGCGAGAGAGAGAACGCACAAAGGGAAGAATAAAGAGAAAAGATTGTGAAAGAGAGAGAGAGAGAGTGAGAGAGAAAGGAGGGAGCAGCGTTCAGTCACATCAAGCCGACTAAGCCCCAGATCTGAGCCACAGGGTTAGTGGATCTGTTAGCGTGTGATGTGCTTGTTTACATTAACAGTATAAAGGCAACGGAAAACACATGCGTGGGGCTGCAGTGGCAGTAGCTCGAAGATAAACCGCTTTGCCCACTAACTGGAAGACTGCCGGTTCAAATGTTGTCATGCTCTTGGTCGATATACTGTAGTTAACCATTTTGTGGGATGCGAAGATGTAGCCAAAGAAAAATAAGGCAAAACTGAAAAAGCGTGAGTTCACATTTGCACAATTACCACATCAAAATTTGGACTAAACCTGAACTAGGCAAGGATTAAACCAGGACTGAATCAAATCTACATTAGGACTCAAACTTGGCCAAAACCAGGCTAAGTGTGAGTGCACCCTAAATGAAATATAAGATTGGTAAACAATAGGGATGTAACAATAACTGAAATATTGTGATATCATAGCATCGAAGTTTCGCAAAATAATATCATGGACCATCACAACATATCAAATTACAAGTCTCTTTGCTTAAATTAAGAGTTATGATGCAGCAATAACTAAAAAAAGACAGAGAGAACTACATAGACCATGATCCTTTGCTAGATTTCAGCATAGAGTACATGAAGAAATAACAGTTCTAAGCACTTTTAAGTCTTAGTTCTTTGAGTTAAGTCTTGTCAAGGCATTTTAAGGGGAAAAAGTAGCATAGTAACAATTTTGTTTGCCTCCACAAAATATCGCAATAAATATCATACCATGAGATGTATATCATGAAAATATCGTCCAAATATCTCGGTATGTTATATCACAATAAACATTGTACTGTGAGACTTGGATATCATTACACCCCCAGTAAACAACTACAAAACTATTAAAAGAGCAACATATACATCAGCTAATCTAAAGTGCATGATTAAATATACAATAATGAAGTATATAATGATTCCACATGTTCACTATAACAGGGACTTACTGCAGTTCTTCTCATCAGAGGCGTCGGCACAGTCTATGACCTGGTTACACCATGAGGAGCTCGGCACACAGCTCCCGTCTTTGCAGGATGTTTCTGATGAGCTGCATGTCACATCTGGGAGACAAGAATTAGCATTTCAAAAAGATAAGAGAGAGGAAACAGCACTGCAGACACTTACAGGTACAGTTCAAAACAATACTTAGAGCCCCTGTCTAGAGGGCTGGAATTAGCTCAGGGTTATGCTCAGTTTTAAAGCTCAAAAAGAAGTGTGCGTTGAACTGAAGTGACATTTCTGTATAAAAGTGCACATAATGTCAGTCAGGTCTAACCAGGATCTATCCAGGATTACATCATGGCTAAACCAGGTTTAACCAGGTCTAAACCAGGACCATACAAGGTCTATTCCAAGACTAAAAGAGGTCAATACCACATCTATACCAGCACTAAACCAGATCTAAACTAGTTCTTAAAGGTGCAGTGTGTAACTTTTCTGATAGATGATCCAGAACGTCCATAGCCTGATTCATCAGCCGGTTTCACTTCGTGGAAAGTATCTGACCTCACAGCATTAGGATTTGTTTGCTCGACAGTAGATGGGTAAGTTTTTTTATTTAACCAATCACTGCTATTTGGTAGTGATGTATGTATTGCACCAAATCCCATAGGAAGAAGGGCAATAAAGTCTTTCCCCTTGATAAAATTCACCAGACATTCTCTTTGAGTGTATGGCTTCATCTACATCCATCTCCACTGCTTTGTTTACAATTGTGCTGTACCACAAAATAGACACAGACAGGCGCTGGACAGCTTTTTGCTAATTGGCCGGTGCGCGGTCTACAACTTCCGTGGTTCTTGCAAACCATCTTGTGTATTCTGATTCCTGACCTAGTCAGTAGAGAGAAATGAAATTGAGCAGAGGCACTGGGTGGCGCCAGCCAGTCCAGAACCTCCTTGCACCCATGCATCTGTTATTGCTTAGCTTGGAATGTCCCACAGTATGACATTAAACTGTCAAGCTACAGCCAAATTCATGTTTGGGGATTTTTTTTACCAATAAAAAACCCACCAGAACAATACATGTAAATGCATTTAATGCCATTCTGTGAAAAATTCCACGCAATGCTATAACATTTCGTGGCAGAGCCTCCATCAGAAGAGCTACACTGCACCTTTAATTGATTCTCAAACAAAATTAAGCATCTAACCAAAGCCCCCCAAAATTAAATTGTGTATTTTAGTAGTAGCGGGATTAAACAGCATTTTAAACACACATATGATTCAAAACAAGTATGTAAAATTAGCTCACTATGAAGAAACCAAAATTACACCTTGTAATGTGGAGTTCATGTAATTTAAGTAACTACAAAATGTCATGGCCTTTTAGTGAAAGATTTTCAGCAAAGGTTATCATCATTTCACACATGTTAGCCGTGTTGCCTGAAAAACCTTAACTAAAGGTTAGATGGTGTGTGAGTAAGAGATGATGTCAGGTTAAAATGATGGTTATGAGGCGATGTATATGCCATTTTGAGGACTTCAGTGATCATTCAGCAGGTGGAATGTTTGGTTTTGGATTGATAATTGTAATGGCTAAAGAAGCAATTTTCCATCACTGTGAAAACCTAGGCTAGAGGACTAGAGCTTTAAAACTCCAGATGATTTACTACGGCAACCAGTAAAAGTGAATTAAAATTGTGAAAGATATGATGAGGAATTACTGTTTACATCCAATTAAAAATGAATCGGGGGATAAAATGACATAGAAGATAGGCTTTCTCCTTGTCCACTGAATAGAAAAGTTTTTCATTAATTAGGAAATAACACAAAGAAGCTAAGCTAGACTCACACAAGCTCTCCATGTGGGTTCAATCAGCTTGCAGCTCAGGCATAGTCTTTCTCCACAGACCAATTATAGCATGGAAATAAATGTACGGCATAGACTTTCTGTAACATTATCGCACCTTTAAGTTCATAACAATTCATCCAGGGCATAAGAAAGGACAAGGAAGGCTCAAAAAGTCATTTCAATAGGTTTAGGAGACTGAACTTTTGAAGATCTCTAGTCTCATTATACGGGCGAGGCTTAGCACAGCGTGAAGTGGCGTATTTAATCTAAAACTTGGAGCGGCCGTGAGAGGTAGACAGCATTGAAGCGGGGATCAAACAAGCCTGACTTACTGGAGCAGAAGGCTTCGTCAGAGTTGTCCCCACAGTGGTCCACCCCGTCACAGAAGAGACTGTTGGACACACAGTGCTGGTTGTAGCACGCTCGGAAGCCCCGGCGACAGCTGCGGTTTTCTGAACATGATAAAAACAAAAGGACAGTTCAGTCTTAAGGCTCAGTGGATACATATGGGATTAAGTGGCGTCAAGTTTGAGATAAATTCTATTTTGTCTGGAAAAGTATATGATAAAATAACAAAATGGTGAGACACAGATTAAAATATAAATATGAAAGACTATATATAGTTTCTTATAAGACATTGTAATTTTTATCAGTTTTATACGTATGATGTTTTTATTGTTTTTATGTTGTAGCACTATGGTCAACTTGTGCGGTTGTGTTGTAAAGTTGTAGTTGCACTTGCAGATTATAGCTAAAACTTTAATTCAGCCACTCACTGATTCTGAATTTGATGGCAGAAAAAAAAAAAATCTAAATCAAAATAGATAAACAGAGAGAAGAAAAAAAAAAAAAAAACACTGACATGATCATTACCAATATACCAAAACAATTAACATCCCAATATTAATTGCATCATGTTTTGTGTGTACTGTGACTTTACAGTGTTTCTATAACTATCTGCTTCTCCTGAGAGTTCACGCTTCTCTGTGATTTATTTACAGGGACAGTGCACAATTTTTACATTAACCTTAACAGAAGAGATGCATTGTACCAGGTAGCACCAGTGATAATATCCAACTGTAGTCCCTGGGCAGATTCATAGATTGATTGTATTTAACTGACCTTGACTATCAACTGTTCTTCATGGGGACCTATGTAGCATGTTTTTGGGTTTTTGATGGGGAAACTGGAGTGCCCGGAGGAAACCCATCCAGACACGGGGAGAAACATGTAAGCTCCACACAGAAATGCACGGGCAATCCGGGGAGGCATGACTACTAGCCACTCAGCCACCGTGCAGCCATGATTGGTTAAAGTCACCTGTCCCTCAGTCAGAGCATGATGAATAGGACTGAGTGGGTGCAATGTTTGAGCATACAGGCACATTAAAACAGAAACATCATTGAATCACAATATACGACTTTCTCACCAAAAAATCTTATTACCACAGGGATGGGATCACAATTCAATTTTGAAGGTAATCTCACCCAGCGTTATATAACACCCCCTTTTTTTTTTTCTTTCTTTTGGCTTTAAACTTAAAACATTGGCCATTCTATACAATAATATTTGGAATAAATGATACCTTTCTGTGCAATATTACCTTTGTTGATACATATTGTGATTTCGTGTTTGTTGTTTTAAAGCTACATTTTACACAATGTTGGTTTGGTATTTTATTGCTTTAATCTTTCACCTTATCCAAACCCATAGTACATCTCTTACCACAGTACTGCATCTTCTCGTCTGATTTATCCTTGCAGTGCGCCACTCCATCACAGGTGAGCTGGTAGTTGATGCACTCTCCATTGCCACATTCAAACTCGGTGTGAATGTTACAGGACGAGTTTTCAGCTGCAGAAGAGGATAAGGGAGGTCAGGAGAATCTACCAGTCCAGATGTTTACAGCAAAAGCACCTCCAAGTTCATTGTAATTAACATGGAAATCCACGGAAGCTGCTTAATTCTGTATCCTTCACAATGCAAGCTAATGACAAGGCTAATATAACAAGTTTTATAATGAGATAAGCTAATCCGTATGTGAAACAAAGAAGCATTATATACGTGGATGGAGCTTAAGTCAGACTGATTCTCAAATTGTCTGAATTTGAAGTAAATTTTACCTTTTCATAAACTTCCGATGCTATTATGATTAGATTTGCACATTAGCCTACACACATATGAATTAAATATAAGTAATATATTGAGCAGGAACAACTCGCTCCCAAGTAAAAATAAAATAAATATAAAAGCACAGAATTGCTAATGCTTGATAAAAAGAAAAAAAAATGTAGCTCTTCTTTAAAAGGACCAACAATTTTTTTCATGATTTCAACATTTTCAAGCATGGAAAAAAACAATACATAAGCACTCATTAAATACACAGACTATTGATTATTTTTGGTCGATCCGTTCAGGTTCATTTGACCATAGTGACCTACAGAGGGACAGGTTAATTGAAAAACAATATGCGTTTTCTATGGCCATCAATTCTGAACACAACTTCACAATTTTTCTTCTTATATAATATAGAGTTGTTTTTTTTAATGCATGCAGCTAATCTCTGTGATACTAAACAGTTGTATAAATAAAAATACTTCAAGTTGTTTCATATTTTATAACCCAATCAGCCCACACCATTGCACTCTTATCATAATCATAACTTGCTGAATGTAAACAGTCTCTGATCTTTAGATTTCAAAAGCAGATGCTCAATTAGGGAAAAACGCTACAGTTTTAGACCTATTTGATGTGACTTTATGAGATAGAAGATGTGGCAGATTTATCCTTTGGTTGTGAGCAAAAGTCAATTAACATTAGACAGGCAGAATTGACTTTGGGGATCATTATTTCTGCCTAATCAAACAGCAATCGCATCTAGCTATGAATGCGTTCCTGTTTATGTTTGGATACTCAAAGCAGGAATCAATATTGAAGCATCAAAGGTTTATGTAAACACTACAAATAGGGCCTTAAGAGCAAGTAGGACGCACTATGCATGAGAAACGTCGCCGATGACTTTGTTCAAAATAACCGATCCATAAAAAGTGGCAGCGAAATCAATAAAGTGTACCAAGGATGTTCCAAAGGTTAGCACTTGTGGCCTAAGCGTATTAAACAGGACTTACACACGCATCTGTTGTCATCTAGCAGGACGCGTTCCCCTCGGCAGGAACAGTTGACCCTGCCCTGTGGGGTCAAAAGGCAAAGGTCGCCGCACCCTCCGTTCATGTGTCGGCACGGAGACAGCTCACCTTCAACGAACACAATCAGCGTTAATGATTTGAACATCAGCGAGAGGCACAAGAACATCTCCCCAGGGACATGTTTTCTTGTCAAAAAATAGTCAAGTGATTTTGTGATCTTGTGAAGAAAAGGTTTTAAGTGAGACTTACTTACCCTTTTGCCATTCTTATCTAGTTTTAATTAATGATTTTTGCAAATAAAATCAAAATATTTCTAAAGGGCATACTCAAAATGAATCTTGAAAATATTCAAACAAGTCTAAGCTCTGGTGAAGAGGCTGAACCCAGTGACATTTGCCAATTAGCTCTCAATTAACAATGTCAAAAGGGGGTCACTGGAATTGTTAGTTTGTGCTAGCAGGCAGAAAGGTCACCGCAATGTGAAAGTCACCACTCACAGTAAAAGACTTTTTCTTTGTTACTAGCAATATCTTTGACTTGAAACAGATTTTTGCTTATGGAGGATTCCTTGTCTTGTAAAAATTCAAATTGAAAAAATAAAAACCAATCAAACAAACTGTGAATTAGTTTATTTTATGAACAAACAACATATAAATAAACGCGCTAAAACAAAATGTATCAAACATTAAAAGATATTCAGATTGGTTGGTTAATGGAAATTCACCCATGAGGTAAGAAAATCTTGCATGCCCAAGTTATCATGTTTCACTTTCCAGCTTATATATGCAATTTTAAGTACTTTTCACCAATCAAAAAAATAAATAAATAAATAAAATGTTTTAAATTGTTAATTGTGATGGCAATAATGCTTTTCATCACTCCTGAAACCTATAGCTAGTATAGTCTCCAAATCTTAAGTACTTTATCTCTCCTACGTTGGGCTAATTTATTGATAAGAGGCATGTATTTTACAATTACTCTAACTGAATGGGACATGTTTAACTGCTAAACCTTATTAGTGATCAGGCTGATGATAAATAAAGCCACCCACATGATGCTGGATATAGGACTCATTTGAGCTTGTCTTAATCTAACATGGAGGCTGACCCTGTCCTCTAGACTAATTGGAGCAATATTGTGGACATGCTAACGACACGACATTGTTACACCCAGCAATTATTCTTCAAGTATCATGTTCTCGGGTTTTAATAAAGCCAGCTAATACATGTCATCTGAACATGTAAAGAGGCAATTTACGCTTGTCAATGCAAAACACATGGACCATGACAGATCAGCATGGTTCTGTGTGACCCTTAAATTGTGTACGTAAAGGGCCCATATTGCGCTATTTTCTGATATCTGTTATAATGTTTCCTCATCAAAAACATACCAGAAAACTGAAAACTCTCTGTCCCACCTTGTGATGTCATTTGGTAATACAGTAAATGCCCCACTGTGTTTTTAAACTCAATACACCTTCCCTAGAATCATAAGATAATTTGTTCTCTTACATTTTAAATTTTAAATACTGCTGAATTTCTCACTTTGAATTTTTTAACTCTCAGAAAAGATGTTTGAATTATTTTTATTCTGAATTTTAAGTATACTTTTTCAATATGTTTTCAAATTCACTAAAATATTCACCTTTAAAATATTCAGCACAGATATTTTCAAGCCCTCAAATTCAACAGTCAAAATTGTAAGTGTAAAGTTCACAGTGAAAAATTTCACAGCAAAGATAAAAGATGCCAAGAGAGCAATCATGTGTGAGTGAGGACAGGGGCTGTTTCCTATTGGCTGTTCTCATCTGTAGGCGGGGTTTACACTTAAAAAATAAAAGAGATGAGGTTTGATGAGGCTAATCAAACGCCTTGGCAACTTGGATCTTTGCTTTGCAAGTTTTACAATCTGAATTTTCAATGCTGAATTTGAGTGCTTGAAAATATTTGTCCTGAATATTTAAAAGTTTTATTTTTTATATGTTTTTTAAAACATGTTTTTAAAGTTTTAAGATAAAAAGTTCAAAGTGAGAAATTCAGTGGCATTTAAAATTCAAAATCTGATAAAACAGATGATCTTCCATACCATTCTCTACTGAATCAATGGTAAATGGTTGCTGATAACTTGAAAACTACCGCTACATGACATCGCAAGGTGGTTCAGAGCATTTTGGGCTTTGGAGATGTAGACAGAATAATAATAAAGGGTAATTCAAACATGTGTGAATGAAACAAAACACAACTCCACATTCTAACTTGGCTTAAACTCACATCAATCAATGTTGTATAATATAGGACCTTTAAATTACAAGTCACACACTGAAAGTATTGCCTTGTTTAGATTATAATATGTAATATATGTATTATGTAATATATATTCAGTAAACATTTACATTTATATTCAGAGTACAGCGTGAACTATTTGCTTAAGCAGTGGAAGTTCACAATGCTTAAAGCTTTCATTATAATTGCAAAAAGTATGCAAATCACGTCTGTCAGTAAACAAAATAGAAAAACTATCCAAATTGCAGTATAATTTGAATGGAACTTTTCCAGTTTGATGGTACACTGTGTAACTTTTCTCCTGTGGGGTTTTGCCACTTGCTTTTCTCCATGGAGATAGTGTACCTTTGGAATATTCCACAGTACGACATTTTTGCTTCTTATTTAATTCCAGTAGCGCTAAAAACACCTTGAAAAATATGCTGTAGATATAAGTTTGATGGCATACTATGTAACTTTCTAGACATGAAACTTTCTAGACAGTGCAGTCACATCTAGCAACAAGCAGGTCACAGGCCCCCAACCAGAAAAATTACATAGTGTACCGTTAAGGTCTTATGTTACACAAAATAGACTCTTATGAGCTCTAAGCCATGTTATAATGCAGTTACCTCATCAAAAAACATACCTGGAGTTGTGTTTTGTTGCATTCACACACGTCTGAGTAACCCTTTTTTACTATTTTATATCCAAAGTTCCACCTTGTGATGTCATCTAGTGGTATAGTTTTCAACTTAACAGCTACCTTTTACCTTTAGTTCAGTAAAGACGGGCAGTTCCAGGGCTGAAAGTGTATGGAGTTTAAAAACACAGTGGAGCACTTCCTGTATTACCACATGACATCCATCACAAGGTGGAGTCTTTTCCGTTTGAGACATAGATTCTATAAACAAGCAGACTAAGACTGTCACCTATAGTATTCAGCTCCACTCAAATGAAGCTTGAGATGTTAACGGTTACAGGAGCAAAGGCTGAATAGGATTATTTTAATGGAAAAAAATAGCAGAAAAAAACAAGTTCAATATCATGTTCTCAGTTTTAACAAAGAAAGCTAATACATCCGGACATGTTAAGACACAATTTATGCTTGTCAATGCAAAACAGAGAGAAAACAGACCTCAGTACACCTAATACTTCCCTAGAATCATAAGCATCATGTCAGCCCTGGAATTGCCATTCTAATGGAACATAGTTTGTTCCATAAGATTTGAATTTTAAAAACCGCTGAATTTCTCATTTTTAATTTTATAACTCAAAAGATGTTTGAATTAGTTTTATTCTGAATTTTAGTCGCTGAAAATTTAATTGTATTTTTTCAATATGTATCAAATTCAAAATAAAAATTTAATCTATTAGCACATATTTTCAAATTCTCAAATTCAACAGTCAACATTCATTTGTTTGAAATTCAAATTTGTTGAGAACTAAATATGCAGGGTTTATGTATTAAACATCTGAATAAAACAAAACACAACTCAAGTCCAGGTATATCTGAGATGAGGAAACAACATTTTAACTTCAGAAAATATTGTAATATGGGTACTTTAAAAACACACATAAGTCATAGTAACACGTGTCCTGCTCCCTCCGCCTATACACCCACCATTTCTTTTCCCTTTAGCTTAAGCTACATGTATTCTCTGGAGCATAACTAAACCTTTTATATTATTATTTATAACTTGGATATTCTTGACAAGCCAAACACAATAAAACAAACCCGGCAATGATGGGGAATTGGGTAAAATGATTTTAAAGTGCCGTACTGCTGCTGCCTGACTGTAGACGCAGGTGTAGCAGTAGCTGGCTCAGGTCATAGATATGATTATGTCCCATGATGAGATAAATGAGTAACAGTGTAGCTCTCGGCGTCCGCAGTCCAACCGTTGGGACGCACTTAAGCCTACTTCACTGCGTCCTACTTGGAAAATTAAACTTTATATGACACTTTAGAGACTCCCACCTCAACACAGGCTTCGTTTTTATTAATTACCTCAGAAATGGAGTCTTCTAAGCATTCTAAATAGAATCACCTTCATTTATCATTCCAGCATTTTGAACGTCAGTATGAGAAGTTTAAATAAATTAGTGTGACTTGCTTGTTATGAACGTCGTATCTGACAAATATTGACAAAAGGAAAAATCTTTAGGGTATAATGACTAAAACATAACATAAGAAAGCAGGGCAGCCTTATTTGCATTATATATTGTGGCGCTAAAATAAACAGACCTCTGGTGAATAACACAGCTTGGAGATCAGTAAAGTTAATGAATTTCTTAGATAAAAAGTGCACAGAGTAACATATTTATTTTGGCCTTTTGCAACTTCATGACCGTAATGAAATATGGTTAGCAAGCAAAAATACATATAGCACAATGTGTGCAAAAGCCATTTAAGGCTATGGACTAACAGAAAGATAGTAAACATTAGAACAGCTCATAAGAAACATTTGCCAAGGTCCTATCTTGCAATATAAAGTATGCTGTGCCCAGCCTTGGACTCAGATTCATACACTTTTTATTTCAGGTGTAAATATTTCTCAATCAATGTCAATCTCTCCATTGACCAACAAGCCCCCATAGAACACAGGAATACACTAAAACCTATTAAATAATAAAGAGGTATTGCAAAATATGACAGTGACCAGTGAATCCACTTTTAAATAAATGGATGGCATATATTGACCTTGCTAATACTGTACTCACAGTTGTTGGTGTCCCTGGCAACAGCGATGATTCCCATTGGCTGATGAGGTATATCTGCCCGTAGTACTTTAGTATCGGCTCCTGTGTACTTGTTGGCGCGCAGTACTGCTCTGCGACCCCAGTCCGACCAGTAGATGAAATCGGCATAGATGGCCAGTCCATAGAAGTTTCCAGACCCAGATTTGATTATTACCTGAAATTACAGTGAAAGGAGAACATTAGAGAAGACCTGGAAAAAGCCTTTTAGAAATGTTTAGATTATGGCATGGTCACTGAGTGGCGAGCACTCTTGCATTACATCTGCCAGCTGAGGTAGTCCTGACTAAGACTAGCTCAAGATCTGGAGATGGTTTCAGCGCTTTATGATGGGTCAAATGCAGAGGACAATATTCTTAACCTTTCAGCTGCAAAATTTGTTGCAACTGAATCAATATCACAATTTAAATGGCCACAATTAATATATCAAAATACCATGACAGTTTGATTACAAAAACTGCAGCTTCCAAATATCATTTTTTACCATCTTTATTCCAGTATTAGAGAGATCAATTAAGCCAGAAATATTTTATTCATAAACAAACTTTTTGATCGTGTCCTCTGAAATTAAACTTTTAAATGTATTTAATTAAATCAGACAAGTACCTAGATCTTTCCTATCGCTGTTAATAATACAACACTGTCAACTTCCTCCACTTGTAAACAGCGTCAATATTTGCTCTGCTTTCCAAATGCAAATCAAGTCGTAGCCAGAGGAGGCACCGGCATCATTCTGAGACACAACCCTCACTGAGCCAAATCTGCTAAATAATGTTTCTCCTCATTAATCAACACATCACCCCCGCTGCCCACATGCCTGCCTAACCCAGATGTTACACTGAACAAATGACAGTTTTGTTGGGAAAAAAAAAAATCCAGAAATCCATCAGAATCCTCCTTTTGGGACCGTGCAGGATTGTACAGAAGCAGATCCAGGTTTTTAGTATCTGTGAGCAGTGCTAGAGCCATTAGCGGGACAGTGCCGTAAAGCTGCGCGCATTAGCCTCATGACATGTTAGGATTAATAGGACAGGTGTTGATTAAAGGGCCCGGTGTGTGAAAGAACAACTGGGCATCCAGAGAGAAGGAGGAGAGAGGAGGAGAAGAGGAGAGAGGGAGGAGAGGAAAGAGATGAGGTTAAGGGAGGAATGAGGGGAGGAGAGAGCAAAGAGTAGAGAGGGAGAGGAAAGAGAAGAGGAGAGAGAGAGAGAAGAGGAGAGGGGGAGGAGAAAGAGGAGAAGAGGAGAGAGGGAGGACAGAGAGACGAAGATGATGGGGGAGGAGAGAGAGGAGAAGAGGAGAGAGAGAAGAGAAATAGGAGACAAGGTTAAAGGGAGGAATGAGGGGAGGAGAGAGCAAAGAGTAGAGAGAGAGGAGAAGAGGAGAGGAGAGAGGGAGGACAGAGAGAAGATGATGAGAGGGGGAGGAGAGAGATGAGAAGAAGAGAGAAAGAGAAGAGGAGAGAAGGAAGAGAGAGAGAAGAGGATAGAGAAAAGAGAAATAGGAGACAAGGTTAAAAGGAGGAGTGAGGGGAGGAGAGAGGGAGGAAAGAGGAGAGAAGAGAGAGAGAACAGAAGAGGAGAGAGGGAGGAGAGAGAGAAAAGGAGATGAAGAAAGAGGATAGTTGGGTAGAGGAAAGATGGAGGTGAGGAGAGAGGGAAAAGATGAGAGAGGGGTATGGAAGCGGGAGGGGAGGAGAGAGGGATGAAAGAGAGAGGGATGAGAGTAGAGGAGAGAGAGAGAAAGAGAAATGTGGAACGGACGCGGCGCCAGATGGATTGGACTGAACATATTGACAGGAAATTAGATTTGGGACACATTTGGTTTACAGCACGTAATGCATTACTATAGTGTCAACATTGTTTACATGCTACAAATTAAGTCTTTTCCGTGGATTAAAATGTGTTGCCTGGTATTGTTGGCAGAGGAGAACAGCTGGGTTTCGGATGACATCACCACAGGACTGGGTTTTGTTTTGTTTTGTTTTTTAGAGAAAGAGAAAATCAATGTTGTTACTGAGCAGACTTTTGGTGTGAGCTAGGCTCTGCACACACCACAGCAAAATTCACCAAACAAGCACTAAAGCTGGAAATAAGCCTGGACCAGGATTCAAACAGGATTAGACCAGGATCAAACCAGGACTAAACTAAGACTAAGCCAGGACCAAACCAGGACTAGACCAGGACCAAATGAGGGCTGGACCAGGACCAAAATATTCGTAGAACAGGACCAAATCAGGATTAGAGCAGGACTAAACCAGAATGGGGCCAGGACCAAGCCAAGACCAAGCCAAGACCAAGCCAGAGCCAAGCCAGAGCCAAGCCAGGACCAGACAAAGACCAAAGCAGGACCAAACCAAGACCTAACCAGGATTAGAATAAACCAGGACCAAACCAACACTAGATGAGGACCAAAACAGGATCAAACCAAGACCAAACCTGGACCAAACCAGGACCAAACCAGGACAAAAACCAGCACCAAACCAGGAGCAGCCCAGGACTATACCAGGACTGGAGCAGGACAAGACCAGAACCAAAGCAAGTCTATATCAGGACTAAACTGGGCTGAAACACATCTATAGTTCAATGGATTGGATGGATTTATAGCACAATATAATGATTTTATTTCATCCTTTGTGGGTTTTCCTTTTGGATACTTCTCCTAAAAACCATCATCTAATCCATTTTAATACTGCCCCCTGCCTGCCAACAGAGAATGTGACATCACCCATTTCTATAATCTGAAAAGAACCAAGTCATGGGTTTCATGGATGGAGTTTCCTGATACAGGCACCATTTTGATGACAACTGTGCTAATTTCTCTTCACACAGGTATAAGAAATACCACTTTTCAGTTTCATCCCGGCATTTTTTTCCCCATTTTGACTTGTATTTACTCTTTTTAGCTACCAAATACATCAGCAAATATTCAGCTGATACTTATGGCTTATATCCATGGAGATTTACGACTTTCATACCATTCTGTGGATTTTTTTTAGGAAAAACAACATTCACAGCATGAGAAAAACTTACTAAAGTTGGACTCTGTAACTTTTCTGGTAGAGGGCCCATTAGTTACATGTCTCCATGGAGAATTGATTGCTTTAGCTCCAATACCCCAAAAGATGGCATTAAACTTTTCAGTCTCCACAGAAATAAGCAGGAAATGCCACCAGGGCAATTTACAGGGGAGCTCTATGAAGAGACAACCCAATTACAGTTAGAATGCATGTTTTTTAAAAGGTATTTTTAGTAATAAAAACACTCGAATCGAATAAATGCATCTTACATAAGTTTAATACTATACTGTGGAACATTACAGGTGAAGTAATAGGATCTCCATGGTAGCGGTGCACCTATTAATGCATGCATATAGAAGCCCTAATCATGCATGGCCATAGGCATAGGTCATAGCATCCATGTGGTCATGTAGAGTCCCCACAGCTTGTCTCCTCATTCATATTGTGACACTGGAGAGCAAATACGTCAATCTCTCATGAAAAGGACGCCGTGTATTGGCAAACGTCTCTATTTTGGGCCCCTCGTCATGATAAAAAGGTCATCTTCCCTCTGTCAAATACTGTGCCATCTTCCTCCCATCATGCACTTCACTGGCCTTTGTCGAGGCGAGCTTTCATCAACATCGCCCTCTCCAAATGGCACTGCGGAGCTCTGCCGCTGTACGGCCAGTGTCTGCATTGTCCAGCATGTAATAACACCAAATCCCTCTGGTAGAGTGATCCAAGTCTACAGCAGTTCAATTAATGTTAAACTGTGCGCCAATACTGTGGTTAAGGCAATTATATACTCAAGTACAAAAAGGTTAAAAAAAAAAATACTACAATAATAACACTTTTACTGCCTCTATTAATAGGGCTAAATATTAAATTCTATTCTCTGATCTGTTCTAATGTTGTTTCCTCATCACAAACTGGAGTTGTGTTTTGTTTCATTGATTGTTTTATCTCAAACAGAAAACACTCTGTTCCAACTTGTGATGTCATGTGGCAATACAGGAAGTGCTCCACTGTGTTTTTAAAGTCACTGGAATTGCTTGGATAATTTCAGCCCTGGATTTGCCAACCTCTACTGAACAAAATGTAAAAGGTAGCTGTTAACTTGCTTCATGACATGTGTGAATGTAACAAAACACACCTTGGGGTTTTTGAGGAGGTAACAGCATTTTTAAATGGCTTAAAGCTCACAAGAGTCAATTTTGTGTAATATAAGAACTAAATAAGCACCCATAATCCTAGCCCATTCTATTCTATTCTAACCAGTGTCCCAAATTGTACTAAAGAGAGCCCGGTTACTACTGCTACTATTAAAACTTGTGTTGGAAATACCACTGCTACTGCAACCATTTCTGCTGGTACTTCCATCAAATTCCATCTATTTTGGAGAGATTTTACTGTATCACCAGCTACAGCATTGTCCAGATTGTGATAATTCCATGAGCCCCTTAGGACACAGTGTCATTCGAGTCAACATTTGTTCCATTCAACTGGAGCCCAATAACGCGTTTCATTAAATCTATTCTACGATTTTGGATTACAAACCTGCAGGCTTCCACAATTATACACAATAGGTCAGTGCCAAATATAGAACAATGAATTAAATTAAGTAATCAGAAAGCTGCTGGCATTTCACAGAAACCGTGCCTTTTTCCCTTGGTTTAGTCCAGTCGGAAATAACAATCAGTTGAGTACACGTTCATCAAATCTTAAAGTGCAGGGCCAATGTGACCAAAGCGATCTCTGACCAGAAAGTAGCAGCACCAGCGAAGTCTATAAATAGTTACACTGAACTGAATCATTGCACCTCTTTTTGGACACTGCTTTTGTTCATTGTTTTCCTTCATCAACCCAAAACATGCACAAAAAGGGAAAATCCTCCAGCTCCTCCAGCTCAGGTCCAAGCCTTGCTCAAGATTGAGAGATTGTTCCCAGGCGCTGTAGTGTGGTGCCCTTGCTCAGCGGGTTTGAGGGACGGGTCTAATACATAAGACAAATTTTCTTACAGGACAGTGAAGTAGGCTATCTTAAGTTTACCACTTTTCATTTCATGTGAATAGCTCCATAATTACAGAGATATTGGCCATAGAATCAGGTAAACAAATCTGCAATATATGAGGAAAACTGTAGTGACACTGTATACCCCATGAATATAAGACAATAGTAATCCAATCATATTAAAACCACATGATCCAGCCTGTACCCTGTGGTTGAGTGGTTCTAATATTTCCGTAGTCTGAGTGAAGCGCTGGAGCCGACCATGTGCTTCCTGTTTAATTCACACATTTTAATTGGGGCGGAGGATGAGCACCCACAGGGCTTTACTGCACAGCTTTCATTAGCGAAGGCAGTCTGCAGTCGGGGTAGTGGGGCACCCAAAGGTGAAGTCTTCCACAGCCTCACGACCCCATTCAGCAAACATATGAGTAGCTAATTGAGATGGGCCAAGGTGCTGAGCGGCCAAGGTCGTGTCAAATAAAAAAAAAAGTGAAATCCTCAGCAAAAATAACACCTTGAACTGCGAGCACACTAGGGTCCAAAGATATATACACCTATCTGAGTCTCAATACATTATGCATGCGATGTTCAAAATGAGGTAACTTAAGTGTGAACTTCAGCGTGGACTTCAAGCAGTCTAATATAAACATGCAGTGCTTTCATAAGATGTTTAATATTAAAATGTTAAGTTCTGAGGGAGATTGGTAGATGTTGTCTTATCAGTAAGAAAGCTCCAGCACAAGGATCAGGGTATTCTACCACAACGACTAACACAAAGACTGCAATAACAACTGCAGTTATAAGCCTATTGACATATTGCATTCCAGTAGTTTTATATTTGCATGTGCTTGGTTTTATGCTCTTCCTTATAATTCTCAGTATGAATAATGAATAAGTATACCACTACTCACATATCTGTTGGAGCCATCAAAATCACATCTCTCAATCTTGCCCAGGGTCCCGTCTGAAAAGTAGATCTTCTCCGCTCGGTGGTCGATGGCGAGGCCGTTGGGAGTGAGGATGTCTGCGCTGACGATGACCTGCATGTTTTTACCCGACAGAGTGGACCTCATGATACTGGGACGCTGCTCATTCCAGTTGGTCCAAAACATCAGGCTGCAATGTGAGAGAAAAACACATACTAGTGTAATTAGAGTGTCAGTGGGAAGCCTTCTTCAGCTCTGCAGATGACAAAATGCTCCGCTTTAAGTGTACTAATGTGTGGATGTCACTGATAATTGGGACTCTTTCAAACAAGGATAAACAAACAGCTAAATGAAAATGTAAAGCTCTAAATTATATTAGCAAGAAGGGTGCCATCTATACATTTGGCAGTGTCTATCATTAAAATAAAAATGCAGAGGACAAATTTCCCTCGGGGAAAAAACTAACTATGGTGACCCCACATAGTATAAAACAAAATGAACAGCAGTTGGAAAAATAAATTAATTCATGTATGTTGTATTTTCATGAGCAGAATTTATGTTTAATCTTTAATTTGTGTGGACCATTAGAGGCAAAGAGTGACTTATTTATTCTCAAAATTGCATTAAATAAAATGATTGAAATGCAGATTTCTTGATCTGTTGTGACATTTGTCACTCTGATTAGGGAATTTGATTTCACTGCTAACTACTTCTGCCAATTCATGTAATTTACTGTAATAATTAAATCAGAGCATTTACAATAGAGTTTGCATGTATGGGAGATCCTTACTAATTTAACAAGACAAACTACACCATGTCAAATTTTTACTATAAAGAACTGAAAATATGAGCGCACAGACAATTTTTTTAAGTTAACCAATTACCCAAAATATTCGCCAATTAGGTGGCATATACTCTAAAGAGATATCAATGCCACCTAGAGCTGGGAGAATGTGCAAACTAGTTTCAGTGGCACAAGATTAACTGAGTTAACTGAGAACTTATTAAGTGGCCTTATATTTTACTAAACATTATCTGTGGAAGTTTATAGCCCCTATAACTTGTATTCTGCATAATGGCACATTCAGCTCCCAATCCGCTGTGTGAGGAGTAAAATTGCAAATTGTCCCTAAATTGTATTACAAACTTTTTTATGCTTCTGCTGGGCCCTTTTTTCACTCTTCCCTCCATAATGAAGTCCAGTCCAGCAGGATAATAAGCTTTTCGGTCAGAAGTCACAACCAGGGACTGCTAATTAATCACTGCAGTTTGAGTTCTAATTATGAGACAGTGTTAGGAAGTGGGATGGATGTGGTGCCAAATGGCCGAGCAATGATATAGTCCACTGCGGTCGAGAAATTAATTTAGCTACTACATGAGGAACAAGATATGAGCGCTTTTCAAATTCTCCGTAATGTACTGTGATCATGATTATGCAGGTGTTATGTGAGGGTGGTTTAACACGAATACTGATTTGGAGGTTCATCAAAAGAAGAGTAGCGTTTTCTCAAAGGGTTTTTAAAATTAAACCGAGCCTGTAGCGATGAAATTGATTGTTTGCTTTGACTGTAATCTGTTGTTAATAAGGCTTACCAAAACATGTGACTCATTTACATTTGTGATTTGTGTCTGCAGACTAAATCACGGCGACAGAAGCTACAAGGGGCAAAGATAAGAAAAGCATCTAATATTAACAGGTAAAAAAGTACTGCATGTATTAAAAACTTTATTAAAAGAAAATAGTCACAGCTACAACTAACGTGCACAATATGTACTACTAAATGCAGTCAATCATGTGCAAGGCCACTTTCTTCTTACCATTATTGTCATATTGTAAGGAATTAGATTTAAAATGATGTCATGTTTGCTGAAACTGATAAAAAGTATCATAGTCTTTGTAGTTCCTTTGTATTTTAGCTGCTGCTGAATTATTGATGGACTTCAATTTCCTGTTTAAGTACATTTTAAGGACTTTTGACTCATTGAAAGGTTTAATGTTTTGTCCAGCGTTGTTAATTTCTTGTTAATTGCCCAAAATGCGTGTCTCCTTGAAACCCAGAGATACAATAGCTTGCAAGTAGATAAGACTAGAATTGTATAATGTGTATATTATGAGACTTTTGATATTGCAGTATTAGATCAATATAACAACTCTACAGCTATAGCAACCATTTAGTGCAAATTGAGATTTCTTTTTTTATATTGGACATATATTTTATAATGTCCAAATAAGAGCATTCAGAACATTTCCATTGCCTTAATTTCTAACAAAACATGTGATTTATGAAGAGCCATTTTAACATTTCATCATAAGTCGTAAGTATAAAGTAATCAGTAAACATAGATACTAGTGATGGAATTTTCGGCTGCTTTATGAGATGCAAATGTTTTGGACTGTTCATTTATATGACAGAAGCCAATGTGAGAACTAATTTAACTACAAACTAATCACAGAGAGAAATGACCAAGGCTGAGAAATGGTTCAAACTGAGAATGGGAGTGTATACTCTTTGGAATTATGAAAAAAAAAAAAAACTCAAGCTCTCACTTGTACGGAGCCCGCCCGATGACATCGTACACTTGTGTTGGTAGGCCGGTCACCATAATTACTACTTCTACTTTTTAATATATGAACGCTAGAATATATTTTGGGGCTCAATAATTAATGTGTGCATATTTTTGTTGCAAAAGTGGGAAGATTTCTGCCATTTTTTTTATGTAATAAATTTGAGCTGTAGTGGTGTGGGAAATTAATTATTGGTTCTTTGTGCTATTTATTTGCTGTAGCCCATGCTTTTTAATGATACTGTATTTAAAAATGGTTCACTGGGATGACCCTGCTTTATTTTTATTGTGTCATAAAGTTGCATAAAGTTGTTTCAATATTATTGTTTATCAGATTCCTCTGGAGCAATACATCATACTTGAAAATGTATTATTGTGGCAGGCATATGTGATGGTTCAGCATTAATCAGTGTAAAAATGAAAAAAAAACTGGAAAGAAAAATATTTGATTCTTTTAAGAAATAAGATCAGATTCTCATAGTTCACATTAGAGATCCTACATTACACAAAATGGATTCTTGTGAGATGAAGCTCTCATCAAAAAACATACCTGAAGTTGTTTTTTGTTCATTCACACATGTTTGAGTAATTCTGGTTGATTTTTTCCACCTTGTGATGTCATGTAGCAGTTGTTTTCAAATGAGCAGCTACCTTTTACCTTTAATTACATAGAAACAAACAGTTCCAGGACTGAAATTATCCAAATAATTCTATTCAAAGTGTATGGTGTAAAAACACAGTGGACCACTTCCTGTATTACCACATGGCATCACAAGGTGTATTTTTGATTTGAGAGAAGAACAGAGTCTAAAAATATGGTGGTTGTGTGTTAAACATGTGTGAATGAAATAAAACACAGCTCCAGTTATGTTTTCGATTTGGAAACAACATTATAACATACAGTAGTAGTACAGAAAATAGCATAATATGGACCTCTTAGGGAACTTTCAAGAATCGATTCATGAACGTCACATCGCTGATACATACCTGTGGCATTCGTGCAGGGCGAGTGTGTGCGGGTGGTCCTCCTCAGACAGCAGTACCACAGCCTCTCTGTAGAAGCCGCTCACTCTGGTTTGGTCCACTGTGTGTCTGCTGATGGAGGAGGAGGTGGAGCTGGTCCAGTACAGAGTGTCCCAGCCGCGGTGGTACGCCAGGCCCTCCACAGAGCCCGCATCTGCAGAACACACAGAAAAAGACATGTGAGAGTGCAAAACAGATCCAAAATACTGAAAATCACACCAAATTGCTCTGCTGAAGGAAAGGAGGCACTTTGCTTTAGAAATTAGGGCTGCACACACGTCAATATTGTAATAAAGGCTAAGGCTCGATTTCATATGAAAATCTATATATTGCACCGACACAATATGACACAAGGTTACTGTTTTTTTTGTATCTAAATGTAAAAAAGGCAAATTTATGCAGTTTATTAAGTCCCACTTTTACATAGTTTAGTCTTAGTTTTTGTTGTGATTAAGGCTGGGTATCATTTAGAAGTTACCTCGATACATAGGCCACGATACGATACATATCTTGATACAGTGCACTTTCGGTTCGATACGATATATTTCAAATCGATTCAATACGGTTCAGTAAAAAGTAATGGCTAAATTATGGCTGTGATACTAAAAGTCTTTGTTAAATCACTTCTTGTGCAAAGTTTTTATGAAACACAAACATTTTAATCATCAAAACAGTGAAAATGTCAAAAGTGTCATATAATCGAGTTTCCTTCCTCTAAACAAACAACAAAACTATAGAGCTGTAACAAAATAATTTAGTAAAAGATACCAAAATATACTCTATATATCGATACAGGAGCCCATGATATTGATACTGTATCATCACATTAAACGATACAATATATTGATATTTCAATATTTTTGCACACCCCCTAGTTGTTTGAAGTTGTTTTCATTTTTTGTTCTAAAGGTGCATTGTGTAACCTTTCAGGTGGAGGGTACGTCAAATGCTTTTCATGGAGATGTTACTGCTTTGTTTGGAATGTTTGACAGTATGGTATTAAACCAGATCTGTGGAGAAGCGACCCTGCTCCCAGTCAGAATGCCTGTTTTTCTGGATATTGTTGAGCAATAAAAGCACCTGTAACTGAATAAATGTATGGTTGATCTGTTTAATGTCACATTGTGGAACATTCCAAGCAGAGCAATGACATATCCGTAGAAACAAGAAGGTGACAGACCAACCAAAAAGTTACATAGTCCACCTTAAACTTTAATTTTTGTTATTTTAGCTCACTGTGTCAAAAGGTATGTTAAAAATACAAAAGTAGCGACAGTATCAGTCAAAATATGATTTCTTGTACATAGCAAAATAAATATGTTTTTACTATTTTTGATTCTAATCACACTTGCTCACTATCTGCACTCATGAATTACTGGAGCAACAAGGTCATTTCTCCACTGTGAGCAAATTCTATGAAGTTCTCTTACGACAGGAGAAGAGCAAAACATCTTTTAAATTACAACAAATATCAGGGCCATTGAAACAACTATTTGCTGTTAGTTGGGGATGCATAATTTTCTCTGTCCAAAATAAACAAAATTTTACAGCAATTAATAGCTTTTTGGCAGAGTGAAAAAAGTTAGAATAGAGTTAGTTGAGTGGAGACAAGGTAAGGTCTCTATGAATGAATGCTATAAAAAGTCAACTGAGCTGCAGCATTTACTTCACAAAACATGTTATAAATGAACTGAATTACTGACTGCATCTCTCAACAATAAATACAAGACAATGTCCATAAACAAGGTCAAACAAAAATGACACAACAAGGCCACCAAACAAAAATAACAACAACAAAAATTAAGTCAAGAGATTTCATTTTCACCCCATCCATGTCAACACAAGTTGGGGACTATTGTAAATCGAATTGAAATTTTCTTTGTTTCAAACTTCATAAAGCCAGAGTCTGTGGAGCCACTGGGCCTTGAGAAGATAGACATGAGTTTATCAGGCGCTCAGAGAATTGCTTTTGTTTGCGCTGAGAGAGATTACCTGAATAAAACACAGCCTCGCATGTGCATCTGCTCAAGCAAAACCACCTTTTGTTGTTCTCATCATAAATAAGTAAATACATATTGAAGAAAGGCTTTCATTCAGAACACAGTTGTGGAGAGACATTGTCAGATCAATCAGAGAAACATGATAAATTACTACTGCAATTTGGGAACAAAAATAAGTGGATTTTCATACACACAAATGAGCCTGGCATGACATTTATAACTACTGATGCTGCTGTTGCTCCTGTTACTACTACTGCTACTAGTATTTCTAGTATTACAACTACTACTATTGCTACTACTACTTCCGCCACCACTAACAACAAACACCAGCACTACTACTATTTACTACTAACATCTGTTAAATATTTATCTATATACTATAACTTAAATTCTATCTACAGTTAACTCAATTACTAGAGATGTAACAGTAACCAAAATATCGTGATATTATATCATCAAAGTTCTCATAATAATATCGTGGATCATCACAATATATCGAATTACAATTAAGAGTTATGGTGCAGCAATAGCTAAAACAAAGACAGAGGGAACTACATAGACCATGATCCTTTGCTCCATTTCAGTGTAGACTATAAGAAGAAATAACAGTTCTAAACACTTTTATGTTTTAGTTCTTAGGATTAAGTCTTGTCAAGGGATTTTAAGAGGAAAAAGTAGCATATTAACAGTTTTCTTATCGCAATAAATATTGTACTGTGAGATGTATATCGTGAAAATATCGTACCGAGAGATTTGAATATTGTTACATCCCTAATCTAGTCTCCCCATCATAGCTTCCCCACAATATTGCAATAGATATCGTACCGTGAGGTTCATACCGTGACGATATCATATCGTGAGACTTGGATACCCCTCGCAATTACTATTACTAGTATATCTACTGATATTCCAACACATAAAGCTTGCCCCTCTACAAAGAAAAAAATTTAACTTTGTAGAGCTCTATTATTTTAACTGAAACTACCCACACAGTTGACTCAATTATTGCAATTACTGCTACGACAACTACTACTACAATTACTACTATTACCAAAAAATTATCTGTAAGGTGAATATGCTATTTTGTGTGTGTATTTATTATAACTTTATTTCCCTCAATTAGCTGAAATGACACGGTGTTTATCAGTCCCTTATTTATCTATGACATAAGAGTATGAAAGTCGTGACCCCATTGTGCAAATTATTCAATAAAAGTCTCATTTTACTCCTTCAAATAATGGATAAGATATTCACAGCAGCTTGTCAAAATTACCCAAACACATTTCATTCAGAGCGCATTCAGAGGGCACGCAATAAATTATTTCGGGCTTGGTAATGGGTGTCCGATCGATGAGAGCAACCGCATTAATTCATGAAAATGGCAAAAATACAGTTCCCATTATACAAATAACTTGGTGTCAACGGTTTGATAAGCATCTTGGCTCTGTTTTGTCCCTCCTCACATTTACATAATCAGAGTTTGTGAGTGTGGCCCGTAACTCTTGTATATACGACCGAGCACAGGGAATGTTGGCTGAGTTCCCTGTATCTCCAAGACTATAAAAAATACAAACATGTCCAGAATACACACATCTCCAATACTTTACGAGATGTGGGTCTGGTCACCGCTGTGTCTACCCGAGTTTAGATGGGCGTGACTGACAGGTGGATTAGCCAATCAGGGATATGTATGGTCTGTCCATATCAAAAAGTTGCTTGTGAGGAAAAGAGTGGAAAAAAATATCACAGAGAACTGAAAAACATTGTGGATTTCTGCGGAATTAATGAGCAAAGCACTAAATCCGGATAATCTGAGGTGAGACCAGGTGAGGCACTGGTCCAGCTTTTTCATTTCCGATACAGATTCTGCTAGCTTTGAGTACCTGCCAGTACCCCGGTAGAGACTGATAGCTGCCTTTATTTCCTTTAAACTAAAATAAAATAAGACAAAACTGATCTGAATGTGTTTTGTAGCTGTTATTTATCTCTCAAGTAACTGTAGAACAACAAGTACCTATGAGACTTTCAGGGCCCACTATGACCAGTAAATAATCAAGTTTTATCAATGTATATGTCCAACCAGGATATCAGCTGAATCCATATTTGGAAGCCACTATCTGATCCAGCAATTTTTTTTCAGTATTAGAGCTGATATCCAATACCATTATCGCATCATTGCATCCCTCGTGGAGACCAGACTGATATCCATCTGTAAAAAACAGAGATATCATTCCGGAGTCACCAGGCAAAACATTTAACCTACCTGAGTGAGCCCAGCGCAAATGAATAGTTTGCAATAAAATGTGTCTGTATCCTGGAGTGTTGAAGAGATCTTTTTAAAGCATTGCACTAATTAATGGATAACATGGGGTTTAATTATAGGGAAATATGGTGATTAGCAGGTTCACCTTTCGGAAATGGGAAACTAAAATTCTCTGTTGTGTAGAGTAATAATAATGAGGGCAGAAAATGAGGGCAGGCAAATTCTAGTTTTAATTAATATTTTGAGTTCATGCACTCATCATCTGTGTATTCCTGTTTTGGGTCAAGAAAAAAGTGGAAAAGTTAACTGAAAATATCATTTTTTTCCTGCCACTGCAATTTGATGTTTTTTTTTTTTATAAAATCATCAAGAACACACATTTTAGAGTTTAACTTTTAAGAGAAAGTTGTAGAAATGACTAAGATTAAGTGGGTTTTATAATATGATCCAAGACAAAATAATAATTTCCTAAATAATGGCAACCCTTCTGAATTAAAAGGTACATAATGTAAATTTTCTGGTGGAGGTTACATCAACTGCCTGTCTCCATGGAAATATTATTGCTTTGCCCAGAATGTTTCCCAGACTTGCATTAAACTTGGTTTAATGTGTAATGTATTTTGCAAAGTATTTTAATGTCACACTGTGGAACATACCAGGCAAAGCAATAACATCACTATGGAGACAAGCGGATGCCATACCCTTCATTCTGTAGAGAGTTAAACCCACAAGACTGTTGCCAACTTACAGATACAAATTCAAAGTTAAAGTACTGCTAAGCCATGCTAAAAATGTGTTTATGGTTACAAATATCTTGAATGTTGATATTTAATTTAAAATAGAGTTGATCAAATTCAGTGAATCACTTTAACAAAAATTGGATGTAATTACTTCATCAAAATTGTTAAAATATAAATGTATTACTGACATTGACATTAACAACACTAAATATCAGAAACTGGGTCAGATGCAAATAACATCTTGAAACTTTCTTAAGGCAAGTTATAATCAGTAGACCACCATAAATATCATAGGAAATCCCACACAGGGCTGTATACATGTCAAAATGTTAATAGCTCCCAGATTAATTCCTCCATCCATGCTGATTTAGCATTTAGCGCATGCTTTAAGTGTGAAGGACATTTGGGGAGTACACATCCCGACAGATGGTTCCCCACAACACGCGCTCATTTGGAGAAGTGATAAATAATGTGAGATGCTCCCAAAGCTGCACTGACTGACGTACAGGTGCAGAGAAGTGAAAAATGAACACAAGTCAAAAGAATGGGACTCTGCGAGAAATTATGGAACACTAAACTGTACTCAAGAAACTAAATATACTTTTCTGAAAGTCATGCATAGATTAGGTTTCAGCAGAGACAAATCATTTGACAATATAAATGAAATACAAGCAAACATACAAAAATTATAATCTAGCCACGTGTCTAGGCTGCTTTTTTTTTTTTTCTCTATCAAACGGACAACTGATATGAATTAGCTTGGTCACATTTACATAATTTTAACTTGGTAGAGAAGCCACAAACTGCATTCAATTAACAGGAAATTCTACTTGAAATAATTATAATCCTCAAGAGGAATTAAAAACATCTAAGTCACATATTCATAAAGGCTAAGTAGGTCACATTCACAAGTTCACACAGACACTATAGGGCAATTCGAGTTAGGTGTCTTGCTCAACGACGACAACAACTGAGCTACTGCTGCCCTTCTAAAGGAGAACAACTGCTGACCTTCAGGCTTGCCATGCATCTTAACCAACTCTCCATTAACATGTGAGCAGAATAAACCCATCAGTATTGTTGCGGGTATTCTATCTATCTCATCTTAAAGAGATTTCAAAAAAAAAAAAAAAAAAGTCTGATATAAAAACAAACAAGAGTTATTAGAGATGTGGACTAAAATAATAGATGAAGAAATGCTTTGAGTGTAATCTGAAATGTCTCGTGTGATTAAAAGCTGGTAAAGTTACACCGTCTGCATCGTTCAAAATAGTGACAGCGGCACATTTGTCAGCAAAAGAGAGGCTCCAATTACTGTTGTGAAGCAAACGCAATATGCACATGTAACCCAAATCCATTTATACAGCCCAGTTTATACAGGACAATGGACAGATTAGGCTCTTTATCAAAGTACTGCCAAATTACAACCGCGCAATGGCTAACATATCGAGCTTATTCGCAGAACCAAAACAGCAACAGAAACAATGCATTTAACAGGATATGGAAATGAACATATCAAGTTATAGCCTAATCTGCATGAAAAGAGAAGGGGGAGAGTCAGTGTAGGTAAAAGTAGTCTACTGGTACAATGGGAAAAAAAAGTGATTATTATTTAAATGTGATTTTCCTATACATCATTTCACTGTAAAAACATAGCATTTACCTCTGCCACTCCTGAAACTTTTCTACTTCTACAGCTGCTCTCTTGGTCTTACTACCACTACTACTATTAAATTGTGGTAATGGATTCTATGTCTAGCTCATATTTATACGAAACCAAGTATTACCTTTCTTCAAAGACAAGATAACCACCAAATTCATACTAAATAAGTATCTTGCCTAAGGACACAACAGCAGTTATGTTATGAGTAAAAATGTGAGTTCACACAGGAAAAGAAATACTGAACACAAGAGGAGCGCGAAAGCTAAGACATCAGCTTTAAATGCCAGAAAATCGACTTCATATATAAATTACTAGTCCACATATCTATATAGTACTTTTAATACACTACACTACTGTATATCGATGAATCTGTACTGTCACTTTAATGTCCATTAAAAACATAATTTAAAGGGCCCATATTATCCTAATTTTGGATCTATGTTATAATGTTTTCTCATCACAAACATACCTGGAGTTAAGTTTTGTTTCGTTAACACACGTTTAATTCACAAACACTGCTTTTTTATTTCAGCCCTGGAATTACCATTTGCTACTGAACTGAAGACACTTGTAGCTGTTAACTTGAAAACTACCACTATATGACATGGCGAGGTGGAACAAAGCAGTTTGAGATTTAGAAATGTAAACAGACTAATAACAAAGGATTACGCAAACATGTGTCAATTAAAATAAAACAACTCTAGGTATGTTTTTTGAGGAGGTAACAGCAGTATAACATGGCTAAAAGAGTCAGTTTTGTGTAATATAGGGCCTTTAATAATATAAATAATTTGACACAATTACTTCTTATATCTAAATAAATCCAATGACTTACTGTCCACCACCACAGTGCGCTCAGTCCAGTCGTCGTTGATCATCTGTATATTCCCATAGTGCAAGTCACTGAAGAAGATGCGGTTAGTCCCGGACATTTCCTGGCTGTAGTCGAAGGCCAGAGCGATGACGTTTTTGAGCAGAGCGGGGTTTTCAAATGGCTGCACAGGTGAGTTCAGGTCGTTCTCGTCTGACAGGTGAATACTCTTCAGTATGGTCCTCTCTGAGTAGAGCAGGTAGCCTTCATAACGCTCGCACGCAAATCCGTCCTCTGCCAGGCGACCATGGGCGCAGGAGCAGGTCCGACGCCCGCTGCCCAGGTGGAAACACAGCTGCTGGCATCCTCCGTTACTCCGGGCACACGGGTTAGTGCCTGATACAGTAAGTGGAGGAAAAATGGTGGATTACATTACACACATTACATATATACTCAACTGTGATATTATAGATTTAATATGTGAAGCTTGAATTATTAATATTAATGAAATAAATTATGAATATTATGTAGATTATGTTCTTATGAAAAATATATATAGCATAATAAATAATAATAAATACATAATTATAATTAAGGCCTACAGAAATTGAAACAAGACATGTATGTGCATATTTTTAGATTTAGAACTCCTGAAATAAATGTACAGTTTTATCATTTACATATTATAAGTGAAAATTTGAAAAGTTGCTATTGATTATGCATTTAATAAAAATTTGAGTTCAGTAGAGTTTCTACATCCAAATGATAAACTTTTATAGCAGTACTTTAAAATGATAATCAAAAGTAGTTGGTGTAAAAGACATATCATAGACTCGCCTTTCTCCCTGCCTCTGTTGAAAATGGTGACGTCCTTCAGATTGACCCCCAGCCCGCTCCTCACTGTCACAACGTCACTGGTGTCAGACTTCAGCCCACGTCTGATGGAGCCATTAGAGTGTGCCCTGGTCACAAGAGAGGGGTCAATAACACCATTTAAAGCAAACCTGTTATGCAAATTCACCTATTCAGAGCTTTAAAGTACGTTGTACTTGTTTCCTCTTCTCATTTACCCTCTCAAAGTTGTATTTGGAGTGAACCATGCATGTTTGAGCCATTTTGCCGATCAAGCCCCATTTTCACCACTCCTTGCATAAGCCCGCTGTTCTGTACTTACTTTGTTCTCAGATTTTCAGTGATATACGTAGGATTTGGCAGCATTGTGTAATCATTTCAGTCCAAATGAAAAAATGTGATATGCAGCGATAGATCGGAGTTGCCGACTCTTTGTCGTGATGACATTTACAGTAACGTTTGCTCCCATAGGGCACTGCATTTTTCTAGACATTTTAAATCAGTATTATGACTTAAAATGAGCTAATTTTAACATAATTATCCATGGCTGATTTTAAATTAGAACTATATAGTAGACTCAAGCACAATATGTATTCTTTAAGACATTCAAAAATATATGTTGTCACTCAGGGTGGTGTTAGATCTATTATGGCAATGCAATATGGTGATAAAAATTAATTGGGATCTGATATCACAATATCAAAGTAAATACTAGAAGTACAAAACTATTTTGACATATTGCCAATACCTACTCTCTTTTGAAATTCTCCAAATAACAAACAAATCAAATCATTTTATTGCCATAGGTCAGATATGGACTAAAATCTAGTACTGTAGAGTGGTTGAGGTTCAGATACTACACAAAAGAGAAGAGACTGGGCATAGATTCAAAACAACAATATCTGTAATATCTTGTAGACAATTTATCTCCCACCTCTAGATTATGTTTTGTTCACTGGGGAAGATATAAGACTGGGCACATGCTCACAGTTTCCTACCAAACCAAACACAAAAAAGGAAATAATGCATTTTTCATTCTGACTAAAATGACTGCAGTGCCACCATGGTTGAACACACACTGCTGTTTGTTTAGACATAAAACTAGTCATGAAAAGAGCTTAGGAGAGGATTGTGGTAAGATCTTAAATAACAGCTCTCTCTTTTCCATTTGTAAGAATGCAAACTGAGGCAAACTAAGCATAGTGGATTAGTGGTTATGGGTTTTTATTTAGAATTTTTAGAACCAATTCCAGCCCACTTCTATTCCATACTAGTAAATTATTATAGTTTTTGATATATATTCAATGATAATTAAAATGTCAAAGTATGAAATATGCCATTACAAACACATACTACAGATGTTGCCAGTAGATAGTCAGAACTGTAATTGTATTTATTCCCTAGGTTGGCATACTGCTGCTAAATATCCAACAAGTTTGGGGTAGTGGGATAACTGCACTGGTTGAGGGAACTATTGTTTTGTATTTGTGTATTTACAAATACATATTAAAAACAAGAAAATGTTAAATGTGTGTGGCTGTCCATTGGTTAACCTCACTACTGTTGAAGAAGCTTAGCACAGGTATAAAAGTTCACTAGCGTGCAAAAACTTGGATTCAAACTTAAGTAAAAATCATCTTAGTAATAGAAAATGTCATGAGATTTTCTGGGTAAAGCTGAGCTGACTCCAGGAGAGCTTGGACTGGGCCAAAGTCCATGTAATATTTTTAAAGAATCATCAGAATCCTTTACAGAAACGGACAGCAAGATTTACCCAAAATATACCACTTGTTAAATGGTTTGATTCCCCCTATGTAGCTAATTTACAGGGGGCACACTCTACCCCTTTTAAATCATACATGGACTGCTACCAGAATGCTCTGCTGACCCCGACTATTTGTACTCAGTGATCCTAATATCTCCAGCAGGCCTTACGGGGCAACTTTTAATACTGGGTTAAGAATGTATGCGTTGTGGTTCGATGGCTGTGTGTGTGCATTTAAAAAAATAACAAATTACCTGTCAGACCAGTAGATGTAGGGCCCAAAGACCGCCACGGAGAACAGGTCTACGTTAGCCGCTGACAAGACAATCTCACGACTCTCCCCCGTTTCAAGGTTGATCCTCTCTATCTTATCAGTGCGTGCATCACACCAGTATAATGTATTTTCCTGGAAGGTAATTTGAAAATGGATATCAGACACCCAAAAAGTCAGATGAGGTACTGTATGTGTGAGGGGGTTGGCGGGTAGGATTTTGAAGTGTTGTAAGGCTGTGAAAGTTGTACCTCGTAGTCTATGGAGATCCCATTAGGCCATGTGATCCCGGAGTTCACTAAGGTCACCTGATCTGAGCCGTCCAGTCGTGAGCGGCCGATGCAAGGGTTCTGGCCCCATTCAGTCCAGAAGAGGTACCTGCACAACACAGCACAGATTAGGATTTTATATTGTTTATATTTTCCATATAGTTTAGTTTGTTGTTTTGCACATTCAAGAAAAGAAAAGAGCTGCAAAAATGGTCAAAAACAAAGAACACATACATCTGTCTAATAGAGTGTTTCCCACAGGTTTATAATGAGACTTTGGTGGCATGAGCGTATTTTGGTGAATAAATGTCACTAATTACCACTACTCATTACAGAGTAAAAACAAAAAACACTGAGATTATATTCTTTTTACGGACAATCAGTTTGAGTCAGGATTAAAAGGACATTTATTAGTGCAGACTTGTGATGTGAGGAGGAGCCTGTGTGACTATATTGGCCGTATATATGTTACTGGACCTGCATTGATATGTAAATGAGCTGTGAATAGAGGTGTGTGTGATCGACATTTACACATACAATTAATTACTGCGGCACGCACAACATTACCGCTGAAGCCTAATAGCGGTAGTTTACTTTCTTTACTAGTAGCTAGAATGTCATGCAAAAATGTCATTAGGCCGACCTACTGTCTGTAAATATGACGTAAAGAGGTAGAATAACAATAAACGTTGCCAAAATAAACCCAATTTAAAATCCACTACAGCCAAACCAAAAGTTTTTTTTTTTTTAAACAATTCAAGATTTACAGCACATTTTTTACATCACTAAATATATCAGCAATTATATCAGCTACCGGCACCTCCAAGTCCCATTTTATCGGTATAATATTGGCTGCAACAAAATCCATATCGGTTGGGCCCTAGTTAAAATCACACTAAATAGCTCATAATCATTATGTATCTAACAGTGGCTTCACACTTACACATTAACTATTTCAAAATAAGGACTAAACCAGGACTAAAACCCCAAAAAGCTCTGTTGACCGTAGTAGAGAACCTGGTCGTGGGGACTTAGAGGGTGGGGAGGGAGGATTGTAGACGGATGAGACCTTGGAGATATGATGGTGCATTCACTGGATCTTGGAATCTTTCATATGCATAATACCAGGCACTTACTGCATATGGATATCTTTTATATTGCTTTGAATGAAAATGTCATTGCAAGATGACACAGAAGAGAAATATTAACAGTCCATTTCTGGTCGAGGGATGTGGAATATGAGAGGGTATGCATGTATAGGTGTAGAGTTCAAAAGAAAGCTTTCATGAACAGACAGCTGCATGGACATCAGACTAATATAAAGGCCTAAAACAGTGTATCTGATGATAGCAGTTGTCAGTATATTTGTATTATTAAGTTATTGCAAAAGATCAAATGTATTTAAAGGCCCATATTACACAATTTTATTTTATTTTTTTCTTTCTTTTCTATATTATAAAGTTGTTTCCTTATCAAAAACATACCTGAAGTTGTGCTTTATTTCATTCACACATGTTTAATACACAAACCCTGCATATTTAGTCTGTTTTCTCAAACAGAAAACACAATCATTTGGATCATTTCAGCCATGGAATTAGCAATCTGTACTGAACAAAAAATAAAAGATTGATGCATTTGTAAAAGCAAAGCAAACAACAGCAAGAAAGCAAGCCCCATATGTTTTTCTACACTTTTAAATGCTCAAATTTAGGTTTTTTTTTGTTGTTGTTTTTTTTTTTTTGTTTATAGTATGAATCTAATAAATAAATAAATAAATAATGTTGCCGAGTAATATATTATGCTGTTTTGGCATACACAGTTCTTGAATTCATATTTGACAAGCTATTTTTTATCATTTGGTATCATACATGCTACTGTATTTCCTCATTATACTGTATAACAGTGTAACACAGAAGAGCATTCACATAACATACCCCTTCTGTGGATGTACAGCAATGGCTCGAGGCTGGTCTAGCCCTTCTGAAATCACCACTGAACGATAGGCTCCATTCAAACGAGAAATCTCAATCAGGTTAAAGCCATGGTCGGTCCAGTAAAGGTTCCCTGAAAAGCAATTCAAGTTATTTATTTGAATGAGGACATGGTGTACTGTGAAATTCCTATCATTAAGAGCACTTTAGTTAATATGGTGCACAACGGTACTCACAATTTTCATTACTTATTCTTCGGTCATAGGGTTAAAGTATGAAGTAGTTATAATGTACTAACCAGCTATCCAGTCCACTGCGATGCCCTCTACTCTGCTGATGCCTGTGGTGATAATGTCTTCTCTCCAGGTTTGATCTCGTTTGGATCGGGAGATTCGGTTCAAGCCCATGTCTGTCCAGTAAACGGTGTCATTCCCTATAAAAGAAAAACAATGTGTGTATTTAAGAATAAGAGGTGATTAAATGCTAAATTATATATTCTCTTCAATATACAGAAATAAAAAATGTGTTATTGAGATGGCTGATAATATTATGATGAATAAAATACACAATGTACAAAGAAGGTGGATAACTGTCTGCTTCAGTGTTGAGAGGGATTTGAGCTTTGACAGTAAAAGCTATATATTGATACAAAAGAAAAACAATACTTCATAAACAAATAAAAATATGCATATAATATAATAAGAAGACTGGTCACATTGTTATAGAGCACTTTTCCACATTCAGGCCAATCAAAGAGCTTTACATCAAGAAACCACTCACCCATTCACACACACATTCATACACCAGTGTACACAGACACTGAGGGCGAGGTGGGTTAAGTGTCTTGCCCAAGGACACAAAGATAGCTTTCTTCTGTGGGAGCTGGAATCGCATTGCCAACCTGTGGGTCAGTGAATCTCACCGCTCTACCAATAATGTTTATGTCAAGAGCAGGATTCAACCAACCTTCATATCATTGGAAAAACAAGAAATATTTAGTTTTTTACCCTCACGACAGGATTGTTCTATAAAATCAGTACTTTACCACAAAACAGTGAAATTATTTTTTTATGGTACATTTTCTCTAAGCCAAACCAGTTTGTACTTTCTACATTGAATGTTGGTTCATTTGACCATAGAGTAGTTTTGTTGGTGTCATTTGCTCCGGAAAGCAACACTGCACATTTAAGTACGAGCGAAAACGCCATGATAAACTACACTGCCACAACATGGCCTGAAACAAAGCAGCCAGTGAAACCACATTTGACTATAGCATGGCCCATTTCACCAAATGTGTGCGCAGCTATAAAGTATGATGGTAAAAATACCCCAACCCTCCATCCACGGCTCTTTGTTGACACAGATTGCTGGAAGGGGAAGGCAAATGTCGGCCAAATTTTACAGGCCAGTATATTACTCGGTGCAAAACAAGATGTGAGTAAAACTATTATGAACCCTTTCTGTTTTTACAACCCCATTACGACGGCATATGAAACAGGCTCTGAATTATTTTCTCACGCCACACAAAGAGTAAATCTGAGCTCATATCAGTCAGGCCTGGTGAGATGGGGGAGGACGGTTGTATGCAAATGTGGCAATAATTCTACTCAGAGAGCCAATGCAATGGTTTCAACTGGATGTTTTTCTCTATATGGATTTCTGGACAATATAAACAGTCTCCGGTGCAGTAATACAACCATCTACCTAATATGCAGCCATTTACAATCTACAAAACACACTTTTGGCAGAAATGTTATGTTAGTTAAGTCTTAGTTATGCTATATGGCAAGATTTTTCTGTAATTATATTCAATTTCAAATTGTGTCTTATTAAAACAAATGAACATGGCATAAATGGGTCTTATATTATGTAAAATTGACTCTTAACTTTAGGTCATGATGTTGTTACCTCATCAAAAAAATACCTAGAGTTGTGTTTTGTTTCATTCACACATCTTTGAGTAATGCTGCATGTTAAGTCCGTCTACATCTCCAAAGCTCAAAATGCTCTGTTCCACCTTGTGATGTCTTGAAGTGGTAGTTTTCAAATTAACAGCTACCTTTTACCATTAGTTCAATAGAGATTAGCAATTCTGGAAGAATTCAGATGATTCTAGTGAAAGTGCATAGGGTTTGGAGCACTTCTGTTGTGTTTTCAGTTTGAGAGAATAAAACAAAACACAACTCCAGGTATGTTTGTGATTACAACATTAGATAACCTAGATCAGACAATAGATGGAGGCTGATCAGTGCTGACTATTTGATACTATTCAGCCTTGATTAGCTTGAAATTGTGTTAAGCAATTGCATACCAAAATACATACATATACCAAAATATGTATTTACACTAGATCCTTATTTACATATTAATATGACCTAAAGTGAATATATAAAGTTAAGTGTATTTTGAAGATGTGCTCAAATCCACACTACAAACAGGTGCTATGATGTACTGCTTATCTGCACCACTCACTCATTCATTAATCATATTCGTTGGTGTGAACAGTTTACCTACAAGATTTCACACGGGTGCGTTGCTAACACCACTGAGCTAGCATGTCAAGTCCAGTCTGTATGGTCTCATGTTTCTTAGCACTTTTCTTGTCGGCGGTGGCTTCACACACTGTTAGCACGCAGCATACATGTGACAGAAGTCAGCTGGGGGCCTTTCATCTGCTCCTCTCTTAGGCAGCCATTTTAAATCCATGTAAATGATATGCGTGATCCGGAAACTTCAGTAATACCATCACTCGCTCACCTGCTTAAAGTAATAAAGACAATATAATGAGCTTGGCTGTTTTGCGTCTTTGGATAAATTTAGCTCGACTTTGGCCTGATTTCTCTTGTTGAAAAAGCTGCCGTATCTAGATTAAAGGTGATTTAAGGAGTCGCTCATAGCAGGTTCTGTTGATAGTAGGATAACATACAGATTTTGTATAATCTCTTGTATAATGAGTGTATTAAACATGCACGTGTGATGCTGAACAGCGCTCGATGCATATGTAAGTAGTTCACGAGTTACACGCGTGTAGAATGCAAGGTGAGAGAGAAAATTTGAGCACAGATTACAGACAAGCTCAAACGAGGATCATAACATTACATTTTTACTTTGGTCAATTTAATACTGTAACATATTCCTGCTAAATAAGTAATTATGTTGTGCTTAAGTTTAGGTTTCACAGTCCATTGCAATGTACTTAGTGAGGTCTACATATAGTGTAGTCTAAAATAAAGTGTTATCTAAATAGCATAAATATCAACACACTTAAATTGATGTTTATTTTAAATTTTTTGATTTTTATTGATTTCTACATTCCATATGATTAATTTATATTTAACTGTACTTCAGTGCACTCAAGAAATTGGCTAATCTTTTCAGTCAATGTTCAGTCAATTTTAAATTTACACATTCCCCATTGTTTTGAAGTATATAAGATAGGGATGGGCATTCGATTAAATTTTCTTAATCAATCATCAGGAGAATTAACGATCGATTTTCGATTAATCTTTAACGTTTTTTTATATTAAAATGATCATCATTATTATTACTATTACTCATCTGCATAAATAAACTCAACTTTACAACATATAAACCATAACCACTATAAAGTCACATCAGCCCGTTTGAGATTATAATGTTTAATGCAGCTTTGCCCAAGTCTTACAGAAATGAAACTTAAAACCACATGGTTTATTTGCATAAACTAAGCAAAGAAAAAAACAGCTCTTGTGTGCTGATGTGGTCAGCTTCTGTCGGACTAAAGGACACGACTCAGTGGAATATAGGTGTTCCTTCTGTGACAGAGGGATGTTGCTGCTAATGGTGTGTCTGTTCTTTGTGTATGTCGTGTTGGAGATGGTTAATGTTTTTAGAGATCGTACATGTGCAGGGTTAGCTCTTTATTTTGCAGTAACCGGGGCACTGCGTATACATGCACCATGACGAAAACCAGGACACTGATGTGCATGTAAACACACTCACTGAGTGGCACAGTGATCTCCAAGGAGGTGACAGAGACAAAACGTGGGACTGCGAGGACGCAACTCCAGTGTTTGCGCTGTCAGGCGCAGCCTTGTCTCCTTTCGCTACACTACACACAGCAACCTAGATTTGGTTTATCGATTAATCGACTAATCATGCCCATCCCTAATATAAGATCATAGTAGCATTGTTTGAAGAAAGTCCTAGAACTTAATTTTTTTTTTTTTTTTCTGCTTTCCTTTATAGAAATCTTGTATTGTTTTTTTAGCATTAATTTATCTTTGAGCAAATGTGCATTAATCTATTTGGAATTATTGTCAAGTTTCAAGAAAATGTGGCCTCTTACGGGTTGAATATTCAAATCCCTCTCTACACTATTTATTTTTGAATTGTACTGTCTCTAAAGTACATTTTCATATGATTCTTAAATCCATATTTATATTCTACTGTTGATTGTTGTTGTAATTTGCACTGAAATCTCATCATTGTGAGACTAATATAGGTTCTCTAATCCATCTAATTTTATCTCTGTATGTAATCCAAATTTTACAAAGAGGGTATTGCATCTGGTTTTAGTTAGACATGTCTGATAAACCGTACTGTATAACTATTCTGTTATACAAATCATCAAACAATACCTTAAAAGGCTCAATAATCCACCTAATGCTACTATTTTACACAATATATGCTAGGCTACTATAGGTTTTATATCCTTATATCTTCAGAGCTAGATTTCTTTCTTAACCATTTTCATTATCATGCTTAGTCGGCACTATTATTTATACATGAGACAGTGCCACACTATAGACTATACTCGTAGCATTTGCCCTTGTTATAAATCTATCATTTTTATCACAGAAAGTGCAGCAAGTGAGAAGAGGGAGAATATCTACAATCAGGGGAGAGAAAGTGACAGCCAAAGCCACTGGGTACACACTTTTGTATTGGATGTTACATTGCTTTCATTTGATACAACAACCAGGGAATTGCTTTGTGTAAGGATGGTCGCAAGAGCTTGAGACAAATTTCTTTCTTTTAATGCTATTCCTGCAGTCTTTTTTGTAATGCAAACTTATTACTCTTTCATGTAGGCTGCACTCCACATGCCCACCAACCATTATTCAAAAGGTTAGAGCCCAGAAGAACAATCATTTTTCTTGTTCCTCTCTGTTTTAAAATACGAAGGAGTGCTGCGGGGAACAGAACCACGGAACAAAATCACACATGTCTAATAGTAGCCTGACTGGTGACTGAAATCGGATTTTAACCGCGTTATATATTAAGAGTTTCCAAATAGCATCCTCTCGACCCACATAAACGCAGCCAATCTATTTTATTGATAATTCCGCCGTTGTGTGAGTGTTTTGGCAGTCCAATGAAATGAGAAAGAGAATAACAGTATAAAAGGTGTTTGTTATTGAGGAAACTTTTCATCTGTTTTATATGAACTTTGGCCTCTTGTTTTTACTGAACGGGAAGCATTGATTTTGTCTGTCAATTTCCCACCAGTAGTAGAACCAACTATAAGAGAAAACATGTATTTTCTTAGATTGTAATTGTTTTGTACAAAATTAACGGGCAGAAGATGTGTGGTTGACAACAAAATCAGTACAGTACACAATAAATAGTACTGGTCTTGATATTTTCAGATATAACATACATGTTTTTTGGAATATTACAGTATTTAAATGCATGTATGTAACTTTTTCAATGGGAGATTAGCCTTTAGCTGCCTCCATGGAGATTTTACTGGTTTACAAAATGGTATTTAACTATTATTTTCGCATTCATTCAACTATAGGTGTTTTATTGCTCAAAGATGCCTTGAAAAAACTACTGAAAAAAAAAAAATATATATTATTATGAGCAGAATCAATACTATACATAGTGCACCTTAAAGTGGCTGTGTGATTAACTGGTGTAGGGTGACCAGACGTCCCTATTTACCCAGGACAATCCCAGTTTTGAGCCCTGTGTCCCCTGTCCCAGCAGATTTATCCAAAACCATTAATTTGTCCCAGTTTTATACAGACATGTCCCAAGTTTCCCGATATTTGACCAGTCTGATACTCACCAACAGTAAAGGGGCAATATACTATTATTATCATTTGTTTAGCTTAAACAAAAAAAACTAAACAAAAAAACAACAGAAGTCCATCAGAATATATATAATGACCAACAAGTGAGTCAAGAATGGACAATGTTGTGCGCTTTTTTTTACAGTTGTATTTATACCAACCATCCCATCCCAGGTATGTCCCAGTTTTGAAAAATCTGGTCACCCTAAATTGGGTATTGTCTATGGGTCTCACACTATCAGAAACACAACTACCAGTAATATCATACAAGGAATATGGCTGATTATTCAAATGGGAAAACTCCACATTAGCCGTCTCCTGTGTGTTCTTTGTACCTGCATGAAAGTCCACTCCCACAGCAAACAAAGTCCCTGTGATGGGCATGAGGGCCTCGCTGTGGTCGTCCGGGTCCAGAGCTATCCCTCTGATTCCCTCATGGATCGAATACATCAAAAAGGAATCCACACCTGCAGAAACCATTTTCAAACCATTTCAGTCTCAGATATTCAAATGGTGGCTCCGGCTGTTTATTAGCTGCAGGACCCCTACCTTCACAAGACATGCGGTCGCTGCGCAGGTTGTACCCCACAGTGCACGAGCAGCTTCGGCTGTTCTCTGAAGTGGGGAAGCATAGCTGTGAGCATCCACCATTGTTTACCTGGCATGGGTTCCTTCCTGAATTTTAAGAAGAGAAAAAATGGAAGATTGAGTATCGGTGGGCTTTCATCTGTATAAGCGTGATAGTTGGTAGGCAAATTTGCTTGTGAAGTTTATTCATCATACAAAAAGAATACTGAACACTCACAACTTCGTTTATGTTATTTATTTTGTATGATCACTTTTCAAGTCACTATAAGTTGCTTTACAACTGGGTACATTATTCATTCACCCCTGAGTCTTTGCTGCAATTCTTCACCCACAGCTTCCCTTTGCAAACACCATCAAACACATTCACACTTGTACTTCAAAGTGCCAGTGTGGATTAAGTGTCTTGCCCAAAAGCACAGCAGCAAATGTGATGCATATTTAATCAAGCTGAACAAATTGAATGCCATGCTGAGTTGTAAGCCCTCCAGAAAGTTGTATAAGGCAGTGTATAAGGCAATATCTTGTAAAGTGAATGTAGTTATTTACTGTATCCCAGGGCACACTTCACCAGTCTTGCCTATGTATGCATGTGAATGAGTTATTGGTGGTGGTCAGAGGGGCCCATGGCGTAGATTGAGTATTGGTGGGCTTTCCCACCGTCTAGCCCACAGTCTAGCCCAGGGCAGCTGTGGCTACAGAAGAAGTTTATCAGCAACAACTGTAGGGGGTAAATAAATAATGCACTCTTAATTGTCATTATCATTTTAATATACTGCGACACTTTGAGAACACATCAGATCTCAGTGTGAAGATATATATATATATATATATATATATATATATATATATATATATATATATATATATATATATATATATATAAGCTGGATGTCTATACAAATACGAAACAAAATGCCACCTCATTTAATGGAAATAACATTTATAGACACCTTGAAAATCAAAGTTAAATAATGATGTGGCAGGCTATATTGACAAAATTTAATTTCTGCCATTCAAAATACAATTTTGTGTGCCCCCATGTGCTTGTATGCATGTTTGACAATGGCATGCTCCTAATGAGACAACGGATGTTTGTCTTGGGGGATGTCCTTCCAGATCTGTTTAAGGGCATCTCCTGTAGATTCTCAGGAGGCAGCATTGCATTCTCCTTGTCTTCTCCAGACTCTTTTATGTCTATCACAGGTGCTCAGGGTGAACCCAAGGTGAAAGCACAGGGCACCAGTGGCAGACTTGCCAATTCTGGTGTAATTTAGCAAATGCCAATATCCATTGGCTGGGTAGTGAGCACAGGGCCCACTACAGGGTGTGGTGCTCTCAAGCCACGCTCATGAAGTCAAATTTGGGCACAGACATTCACACCAGCACCCTGCTGGAGGTCATTCTGTAGGGCATGGGCAGTGCTGTTTCTGTTCACACAAGGGAGCAGATATGGGTCCTGCTGACAGGTTGAGGGCCTTCTACGGCCCTGTCCAGCTCTCCCAGAGTAACAAACTGCCTGTCTCCTAAAATCTCCTCCATGTTCTGGAGATTGTGCTAGGAGACACATTAAATGTCCTGGCAACAGCATGTGCCATCCTGGAGAAGTTGGACAATCTGTGCAATTTCTGTAGGGTTAAGGAATGGCCTCATACTCCCAGTAGTGATATAATCACTTTAGCCAAAGCCTGCACTAGTCTAGTAGAAAATCAGCCAACAAAGACCAAAACTAGAGAGAAGAGAGAGAGAAGAGATCTGACATGTTTCCAATTTGCTCTTTTAATTTTTTTGAGCAATGTATATTAACCCATTGTATTGTTATATAATTGATTACTTTAAATCAAAATGCTGACAATAAAGTGCTTATTAACAGTACCACAGTAGACTACGTTAGCGCTGTTGCCATAGCAATTGAAATGAATAAAAGTTAAAGCGTGCTTATGAATATCCTCATTAAAGAGTACAACAGGTTAGACTACTTACTAATTTCACTAAAACTTAATTAACATTTTATTTATAGTTTTACAAAAAATCTTGCTTACTTAAAAAAAAAAAAAAAAAAAAAAAAAAAAAATATATATATATATATATATATATATATATATATATATATATATATATATATATTTTTTTTTTTTTTTTTTTTTGTAAACTCTAAACTGCACAATAGTTACGATTAGACTAATACAAATAAATAGCAATACTAAAAAATAATATTTAAACAGCCATAAAATGGCCTTCCTTAAATTGTCCCTGCTTTTTGGATGTAATGTTTGGTGTTGAGGATACTCAGCTACTTTCTACTCAACTATTTATTTATTTATGTATTTTTTTACAAACTGTCACTTGATAAATATTTACTTTCCCATGAAACCAAGTAAAAGGTAGCCGGATGCACTTACCCTTCTGTCCCTCGCGGTCGTACACTTTCATGTGCACCACTCCGCTGGTCTTGTTGCGGAGGACCACCGGGTTTCGTCCGTCCCTCTTGGTCACCGTTCCCAGTTGAGCTGATTCATCGTCGGCCCACCACAGTTTTCCTCCTGCAAAACAAACACGTATCACCAACACTGAGTCACATCGATTTTCTCATCCAAGAGATGCTCAGAGAGTGGAGCACTGTTTACAGAGCTATAGGCTGTGTACACGTGATGCCATAACTGCCTAATGCTGGGTCTCAGCTGGCATCACAACATTTTATAGGTCAATAATATTTAACCAAAGACCCAAAACCCTACCCACAATCACATCTCAGCTGCTGAACTGGATAGTACCTGGAGAACTAAAGAAAAGAGTGAGTGGAGAGGAGAGGCAGGGTCTGGACATGTGAGGAACAGTGCGAAATGTGTGTGAAATTGCAGTGGTCAAAAATGGAAGATTTCTGTTGTAATTCAGAGTCTTGTCAATAAAAGAAATGACCAGGTTCAACATTTATGAATTTACCTTTTGGATACTCCCTGGTAAAATACAATGAAATCAATAGTAAAAACTGGCTCTTGTTTCCTATTTGGCAGAATATCACCGTCACGTTTTATAATCTCCAATCACCAATAAAACTGAGCTGGAGAGGAGCTAAGAAATCTATGACAAGATTTACTATTTGTGTCCTGGCGATTGTTCAATATCTCCGTCTCTATCAAAGTTCAACATCTTCTCTGCCAACACTTATCAAACAGTCAGTCAACAATTATTTATTATCAACTCAAACAAATGTTTATGTTTGTCATATTTGAATTGGTCTATGCCATCCTACTATTGGCCTATACCTCTTACAATCCTCAAAATCTAGAACATGAAAACCTCTAGCGCAAATGGCTTTGTCCAGCTTTGTGAGTCATCATAGATTGAAGCTACTATTGGAAACTTTCGAAATAATTAAAGTTAGTGAGTGCTACTAAATTGAGATATTTTTTAATAGAAAACAAAACAGAAAACATTAGATTTTTTTGGAATTGATTTCAGCCTCACAAATAAGTTTTACACCTGACCACAAAATAAAAAGCAAAGTAATTTCCACTATTGATTTTAAACATTTTACTTCGACAAGTCCACCCTAGCCACTACACTTAATGCTGCCCTCATCTGGTCATTTTTCTTATGTAATGCACATACTATATCTACGCTGAAGCCAGACTTTGCACTTACCATTTATAGATAAAAGTGACCTTCTGTGAACCCATTACTGAATATAAAAGCACTTTTATAACTGGGGCGAAAGCTGTGACATCCTCTTTATCATACATTACTTTTAGAGGATATTAGAACATTAGGAACTTATTAATTCAAGTCTGGAAAGTTTGAAAAATAAAATGCATGATGCTAATATTACAATAAAACGTTAATTTGTTTGTCTAGCAGAAAACGCACAACTGTAGACTGAACCACCGTCAACCTTTTTCCTATTGGACCATAAATGTGAAGGCAAAATGAATCCCTTCATACTGATTTAAGATTATTGCTGCTATAAAAATCCTATTACTGAAACAATCATCACAAATATTATCTTTTCATTTCTTTTCACTTTACATTCGTAATGCCTCAATTATGGCTTCTTAAGACTATATTTAAGTTTTATCTCGTAAATGATAGCAGAGAGAGATAACATGCAAAATTTGGCAATATTAGTTGACCCACTTTAAAGACACTGGCCAGAAAGTAATAATCAAAAATCCAGGCTAAGATCTCCATAGTAGGACTCAAACTGTAAAATAATTCCCAAATAATGATTGTACCCCATTTTAGGTAACAGCACAAACTAAAGAAATATTGAGTCTTTCTTTTTTTTCCTTAGTTTAATTTTACTTTTCTCTCGTCAAACTACAAAAACAATGACTTTGAAACGTGTTTAGCTCAGTTTCTCAGTACCTTTTGTACAGAGCCTGAGTAGGAGAGTGGACTGACCCCGGCCCACACCTGTTTTCTCCAGCACAGTTTTGCCTGCAGGACCCTCTGTTTCACATTGTCTCCCTCATCTACATAATACACTAAGGAAACTTTTAAATATACAATGCCGCAAGTTATAACGCAATGAAATCAAGACAGACACTGCATAATACCTCAACCCCAACCAGCGACACTTATTTCCATGTCTTCTGGCCATAATACCTTAGCTTCCATTTATTGCCTGGAGACTGATCCTAACTTTAATCATAATTACTACTAGCCTAAGCATGACCTATTCTCCAACCTTAACCTAAATACTTTAATTTAATAATACATGACAGATTTAACACTGAAAGATTTAACTCTAGTACCTATAGTAGTCAATTTCCTTGTCATTGCCCATGAAATTAAACTGCACATAAAAGCATAACGGTATTGATACTTTGCAGCAGATCAACATTCCCCCGGGGTGTAATGCTAGCTATAGGCACTGCTCCGTCTGAGGCTTTGTTAAACTTTAATTTGAGTTTTGTTTTAACACAATTGGATTAGAAGCTAGTTGGAGCTAGAACAGGTGAGATGATTTGTGCTGTTAAACAAGTCTCTTACACATATAATTACAGTCACAAACAGCTAGCACAACAGTTTTGCAGTTAGTCACTCTCACCTTTTTGTTAAAAATCAAACACCTAAACAGAAACATGAAAGCTCAAATTAATCACAGGTTCCTGAAAACGTGTTTAAATCAGTTATTTATATATTTAATTAGTTTTCAGATTATCTAAAAACATTTTTGAGCAGTGTTTGCAAATGCGTGCATTGTGTAACTGATGAAGATTCGGCTGTACACATACATGTAGAACACCCCCAGCATGATGTCACCACAAAGTATCAAAATACCCCATCACCCATGGCCCAACATACATTCTTTCATACACATTAAAATATAAATATTGTACTTTCAGTATAATGTTAGTTAGGAATTAATTGCACTAAAAAGGATCATACCATTAGTACAATTTATGAATGCAGATTAGATTGAATAAGTGGTGGAAAAATGGGAAGTAATTACTTATGCCTAATGTCTTTTGAAAAATACAACAAATTGCCAACAGCTAATTGTGGAATTAGACAGGCTTAGTTTCAAAAGTCTGTATGTATCACTATTTACATCGTTAAATAGTGCAATATTTTAAGACTTTTTGTTTATTAATTCATTTTCTATGTGAGTAACAGTGTACCACTTAACATGTTTGGGGCAAGATTGAGGCTTCTCTTTTCGTATGGATGTGGTGCTTATTATATTGTTAGGAAAATAGCTTGGGCTAAGCAAAGCAAAAATGAACAGCTAAGGTAATTGAATTGTCTAAAGTAGAATAAGAATGAGTAGTTGGGCAAGCCATTTGCAGATAATAGAGCAAAATACAACTTTTTTTTATTTTTTTTTTATTTTGACTTATAAAACAACCTCTTATGCTGCAGAAAATCATCCTAAATTTCTTATCTGAGTTTGAAAGCATTTGAGCTAAAATATTCAATTAATGGCGCTATCGATTTGAGTCCAGGATCCTCGGGTCTGGCTCAGGCCAATATGTGGCCTTTTCATGTCATCAGTTCCATTTCCAAAGGTTGTTTTTGACTTATTCCCACATGCATGCTCCCAGACAGGACCAATTCCCACTTTCACGAATAGCCCCGAGCTCTCTATGTCACCCTTTAAGACAATGTAAAACTCATTTCCACAAAACCACAAGCATTCCCCAGAGTCAAAATGACAGCGGACGAACCGTTTACAAAGGTTTTGATACCCGGGGGCATGCTAACCTAGATTAGTTTAGCGCACGGTGTTAATTTGAAGCCTAAGGAGAGCGGGCTAGTGGTGTGATTTCTGGGCTAGTGCCACATCATATTCAATTTCCACTTGAACTGCTGCTTTGATTCAGCGCGAGTCAAGCCTGATGGATCACCCACACCTCCTAAATAGAAGCTTTCACCTTTTCCCAAAGCCAATCCAATTACTGCAACACCGCCGCAGGTCCCAAGTAGATCCAGCCATGTGTCCCCAACAGTGCCGTCATAATTAGAGCGTTTTTTCTCAAGACTGCATGACGACAATTCAAACGCCGCAACAAAGAGGAGGAAAAAAAGGATAAAAGTGGACAAATTGTTTCTTTTTAACACAATGCGCCGTGTTCATCAAAGAACATGCCATCTCAATCGATTTCAATCATTTCACTTTCCAAAACTGACAGTCAATTGTGGAGGATTTTTGATGAACATTTAGAGCTGTGCACTGTTGAGAGCAATTTTATGAACACAGTCTTGTGAAAGCTACATAGAGGTTCAATTAAATCTAAGCTTGAATGCCTCTTTTACTACTTTTCTCCTCAAGGTCAAAGAAGAAAATACACAAAATGTCCACCTAGATACAACCCATTCATTTGGACAAGTACATTTTTTTGATACAGTTTTTTATCTTCAAATCTAAATCAGAACTAGAGTATATGAGGTATTTTAAAGGAGGAATCGATATTATATGTGTCTGCTTTTATTACACTTTACAGCACACCAATAGCAGTAACTATAATAATATATTTGCACCCTTGTACATCATGTCTACCTACTTCTTACTACATTAAGTAGGATTAATAATAATATCATGAAATAAATTAGACCGACAGATAAATATGTCTTTTTTCTATTATTAAATGGACTGTCAGTTACTATAAAAATTCCATATTTTACCATATAATTACTGTTATGTAAAATACAGTTTTTATTTGGTAAGAATGCAGTGCTACGGCAAAATACACATTTTTGCCCCACACATCTCATATCTGCTAACATCCATCCATCCATTTTATGTCACTTGATCGTCTGCATCTATTTGTGTCTCCCTAACTAAAATTAAGGTAATTTCCTTGCAGGTACGTTGCTTTTGTATACATGTGTTTACTATGCATTTATTACAGATTTGTGAATATTATATTCAACAAACAAGAGATGGACAGTAATCTTTGTGATTTTAAGTAGACACTGATAAAATAGCATTAAGGTGAAATGATATCCTTGGTTTGCAACTGTTGCAACAGTATCACCAAGAACAACTAGCATGGTAACAGCATACTTCCTGATTCTTTGACAGTTAAATGCTTTATAT